CTTTGTGAAGAAAACGCTATCGATGGCATACAGAAGATATAGCCTTTCTTACCATGATCACGCAGACATGTGTGCCATTAGCTGGCATAATTGCAGTCAAGTTTTGCATAATACATGATATATATAAATAAATATTAAGGGTTTATCGAAAATATGCAGCTTTATTGCCTGATAATTCTTGTTGCGCAATTCGAGTATAATGATTGGTGCTTTTTGTTATTCGACTTTAATGCTTGATGCTTTTTGTTATTCCAACGAAATATAAACATTGTTGAGAGTCTTGCCCACGATATCCTCATCCACGCCTCGACAAAAACCGCGGCCCGACAGCTGCTAAGAATCCGAGTGTGCGAATGGGTAAAATCTTGGTTGGCCTAATATTACTTCAGAGTATATATGATGGTTAAAATTGGTCTCGATGTCGAGTTGCATGTTGTAGGTTTGAATAAAGGCCTTGCGTTTGTAATACCATGCAAAAAAATAATCATATTATCCATTTTCCGCGACGGAGAACAGACGGCAACTTGTGGTCAGACCTGGCGAGCTGGCAGGAGATAGCAAGAACCAAGGCGGAACCATGTCTTGGAGGGGGAAAAAAAAAATAGAAAAAAAAAAGAAATAGAGCCAGAACCCTTGAGATTCGATACGACTGGGTTGCTGAAACCAGGGTCAAAGACCAAGAGTTTCCATCACTATAAATAGTGGGCAGTTAACGAATCAGTGAGATGTCTGGCGTCTCTTCGTATATCCCTCAGCAGCCATAGAAAAAGAAAAAGAAAATATAAAAAAAAGAAAAGACTCAGATGCTTGACAGAATCTTTTTAAAACCGGAGGGCTGAAACTTTTGCACAAGGTCAAAGACCTGCTCAAAAAGTTTCCCCACTATGGGTAGTGGCCAGTTCGAATCAGCAGAGCATCCGGCGTCCCTTCGTATATCCCTCAGCAGCCATAGAAAAAGAAAAAGAAAATATAAAAAAAAGAAAAGACTCAGATGCTTGACAGAATCTTTTTAAAACCGGAGGGCTGAAACTTTTGCACAAGGTCAAAGACCTGCTCAAAAAGTTTCCCCACTATGGGTAGTGGCCAGTTCGAATCAGCAGAACATCTGGCGTCTCCTTGTAACGACCTCCAAGGTCAAAAAAAAAGAAAAGGGAGAAGGAAGCTGCGATGTTCTCATTGGATCGAAAGATTCCGCGTCTATTCATCGTAAGAAACCAGAGATTACTCACAAATAATTAGGAAGCGCAGGTAAATGATAAAAAAAAGATAGTCTATTACTTACTTGATGGAACTCTGTGAATTTGACGATCATCATGTTTGATTGTGTTGCGTGAGAGCTAGAGTGAAGGTAAGGAAGCAAAACATAGTGACGCATAACAGTTATTCAACGTCAAAGCCACTGACCTCTTCCGTCGCTCGGCGTGCAAATAGAGGACAGCGAGCCAAGCTTGCAAGTAGCGAACGACATCGGATTTAGAGTTGCTATTCAATACAATTCAATTTTCGCTTGAGTCTATTCAATCAATTTAAAAAATATAAGGTATCGTGACCAAATGAAACGGGCTATACATTCAATTACGACATTCACAGTAGAATAGTCCATGCAAAGATGAACACAAATCCGTTATTGATGTAGGCAAACCTCTGGCTCTCAAGCTGAGGGACCTTTTCAAAACAGACTATCTAACCATAAATATTGATGGCGGTCCTTGTACTGAAAAAGGACACGCAAGGACAGAACGACAAGTCAGAAGGTAGAAATATGGGCGCTTTGGAGAACGCTATGAACATCTTCGAGAAAAATCCACGGAACGGGGTTTGAACTAAGCTTCAACTCACGGGGCACATCCAAAAAGAAAGCCTTCGAGAAGCCCACATTCTGAGCGACCATGACAGGGGCTAACAGGCAACAGGCCTCGCCTCTATCTACGATGCCCGCCTGTGCGTATATGAAACAGACCCATGCATAAGATGCCATGGTGTGGAGGATGGTAGATTGTGATATCCCAAGACTTCAATTTTTTCGCGTATGAATGAGTCTACACCCCAGTGTGGCCTCCTCAGTGCCCTCAACGGAAGCTTGGGGCTTACGACGTGGACAACGTTATCCAGGCATTAAGCCCGCCAGCCCATGAACATCTGGTATTGTTCTGTGTGATCTCAGACAATGATTACTCGAAAAACCTTAAGATACCGGGTCCGATTAATAACCCCAGATTTAGTTCGAAACATTGCGTGGAACAAGAGCTACAATATAATGCTTCGCAGTTACCTTAGGGAGGCTAGCGAGAAGTTGGAGGAGAGTGTAGCCTATGGAGAAGGCTGTTTCAAAGCAGCTCGCCACGCCTTAGCTTCCGGCCATCAAATGTCGACTTAAGTGTTGCCACCAAACACTGAGCTCGATAACTTCAAGAAGCGTCTACTTGATGGAAAGAATCTCCGCCATAGAATGGCTCAGCAAAGGCGATCACAGCGTCGCGAAACGTAAGAGAGCTTAAGCCTTAATTTTGGCCTTGAAACCAAACATCTTTGGTATTAATCACTGGCTATTTCTTGGATATTTTTGAGACACGCAATCGTTCTATATAGCGGGAAGATCGCATAGAAGCCCATCTTTCCTGATAAGTTGAACATATTAGGCAGACCTACAGTTGATATTAGCAACTGTCGTGAACGTGATAGGTCGAGCCTTAAGAAACTAATTCAGGCACATGTCTTTTAACTGAAAAGTAAAAAAAAAATCTTCAGTTACACGCGCGCAGCGCTCTAAAAAGCGATCTGATCAGATCAACACCCTGCTTCATGCTCCATTCTTCATACCTTCATTCCTCATTCCTTATTCAAAGGAAAAACAATAAAAAATAAAAATAAAAAAAAAAAGTGCGCTTGACGCTTGAGGGAATTAAGCAACCAAGACCATTAAGATAACGATTGAATAATTGAAATATGAGGAAAGTATATTCTTGATCTTTGGCTTGATAATATCCATTAAAAGTATAAAACCATGCTCACTTATATTTCTCTCTTTTATTTTTTTATTATACATCATGCATCACCATTTATTACGATAACCACTACTTGCAACACTTGCTCGTACTCACAAATATCTACGCAATCCCCTCAATAATACAAAGCAATCTATCAACATACCCCGCAGAAATGCTATCGCTTCATCATCTTCTGGCAATGCTGCCTCTTCATCAGCAAGTGGTGCTTTCTTTGAATTTAGCGTGAAGCAAGGGAAAGAAGGAAGAAGTGGTTATGCATGAAAGGCTAAGAAAGCCAGAGATGAAAGAGAAAAAGGGAAAGAGATCCGCGAGGGCAAAAAAAAGGCCTGTTCTGTAGACGTCCATGATGTCACCGAGGAATACAACCCTCGCAAACGGGTCTATTCCCAAGGCACGATGATCGGTGCAGCAACAACTAGCTCTTCCAGCTACCCTCAGTCATCTTATTCGTCTGAGGAAAGAGCAGAACGGAGAAAAATCTGCGCCAACAATGTCCTTAAATCTCTCCTGGCCAACAAGAGTCACTCAAAGACATTGATACAGTACAGGACGTACTTGAAATCTTGGCAAATAAATTTCTTTTGTTTCTTTATGTAGGAAGAGAGAGAGGCAGGATGTATTCGTGGGTGCATGAAAGAGAACGAAACAAAACGCTGATGAATTTACCACAAATTTGATTTCAATGTGGAGCCGCTTTTTTTATACTTCGGCAATCCAACTCGAAACAAAAGGGTCACGTTTTTTGAAATAAACACACTCATCAGATTTTCAACAGAAAAACAAATAGGGTTTTTTTTTATTATTTTGAGTATTGTTTACAGCTCTTCTCCAATCTACATTTGCCAACTCCAGCCTTCGCCATGACTATCAACAAGAAATGAATGCACGGTAAAGGTTGCCATATGCGCAAAGAAGTCGAGGCAAGTGAATGGTAGACAGAGTGCATTGTGATTATATAGCTTGATATGTGCTAATTTTTTGCCGATTGATTTTTACTGCTTTCTTTATTCCTTGGCATGCAAAGACGGAAAATATATCCCAGTAGAAAGCACAGGGAACTGGGTCTGATCTGCCATGAATTGAAAGCTAAATGGGCAAATATTTCCCGTTTTACGGTTCAAGGGATAAACAAAGTGATTTAGCCTAAAGAAGTGTAATACTAAAATCTTGGCACCGGCTCGTGTCTCCTTTTTTTTTTTTTTTTTTTTTTTTTTTTTGCTTCTTTGGAACGCACAGACGGATTGGGCGCATGAACAATTTAGAAAACTATTAATTATATCAAATTTTAGTTTCTTTGCATCATATAGACACACAGAGCGTATATACGATGACTTAGAAGACGATATCATATTAGTATATGTATAAAATGTCGTCTGTCCTGAAAATAAAGGTCCCACTTTTTGTCCTATTGAACTTTAGTTCGTATTACACAGTATGTTTATCTCAATCAGGTTAAAACATTGCATTCTTAATGCCATGTTTGTCAACACTCAAGGCACAAAAATACTCTATCCCTTCGTCCGTAAAAAGGGTAAATTTGCCCATCTTCCAAACGACAAAAAAAAAAAAAGAAAAGAAAAGAAAAGAAAAGAAAAGAAATAAAAAAAATCATATAAATACCCTACGGGTTTGATGTGCAGACCCACATTTTATCCTTACTCTCCAATCCATCTTTCCTTCCAACACTTTACAAGCCTATCCAAAAACCCCATCCCAAATCACCCCCCTTCTATAATCCATACCATGGGTGTGCACGGCCTCTACCAGTATTTGAAGAAACGCAGGCTTCAAGCCTTTAACACAATCTGATGTGCATTTTGACATCGATATCTTCGGCACTTATTACCAGTTTATTTTGGCCAGCTTAGCCTCAACCTCCAGCCTCAATCCATATCAAGCGGGTATAAGGCTGGCGCACATCATATCATCGTCGTTTGACCCACGTTGTTCTACGTTACATCTCGACGGGCGCGCACGGAAGAAAAGCTAAAAGCATATAATGAGCGCCAAAATAGCCAAATACAGGCTGCAGGAAAACCTCGCTATGATGCGCGGTCGGTCAGCCCAGGGAAGATGGACTTCCAAACCTATTATCCACCGAATTGAAACTTGCCTGAGGAGCCTTCGTCGTCACCACTGAGACAATAAACAGATTGGCAGATGGTCTCGTGACCATGTTCACTGTATGCTGTCAAGGAAAATCTGATGCATACATTGCTGCTTTATGTCGTGGCCAATCCCGGGTTAATAGAGGCTTGAATGTGCTTGAAAGGTTTGCTGTGTCGTCAGATAGTGATTTCCTAATCTATCCAAGTATCTCCTACGTAGTTAGGAGGTTAACAGGGCAAGAAGGGTTTGTTCTGTTGAGGAAGATCGATGTAATGCAAGCTCTTCGGCTACCGTCCCCTGATCACCTTGAGGATTTTGGAGTGGTGTCTAAAAACGACTATACAAATAATATCCCACAGTATGGCCTATCGAGGAATCTAAACATCATCCGAAAATTGCCTCAAGCTCAATCGGCTCGTGCGTTACTAGCCTCCTATATCACCACGATGAACCAAAGGCCAATCACGGCTATCGCTTCTGAGTACTTTGCTCTAGCTGGTAATGTCTTTTTAGATATCACACCTCATCTATGTAAGACCCATCCCCTACCAACCAGATGTTCATGTCCGGGCTCACCACTTTCAATCAACTGAAAGCTCTTCATGTCACTGAGATTGTAGTTCAAAAGTTGGTTCACCGTACCTCCTTCTTGCTGCTGCTATCAATACTAGCACACAACTAATCAGTGGTTGACATAATTTGCAGCTGACAAACAACTAATTATTTATCTTGTTTTTATTTTATGTTGAATGACTGATAGGCCGCTCACAGCATATATCCGCGAAGGATCAAGCCCCAATCAGTTCCGGCCACACTTCAAGAGTAAAGAAGCAAAGCTGCATCCCCAAACAATGACCCTGAATGCTGACATACACAGTTCTCGTCCAGCGTCACCGCGAGATCCGTCTAGGAAGGCTACATAGCGTCGGCTCTACAAGAAGAAGATACTACCAAGGAGAAGTAGTACATCAGAACCAGAAGAGAGGAGAGGCCTTATTGCTACCACAAAAAGGGACCATAGCTTGCGTAAGAGATACTTCACCAAGGCCTTGGCTGTAAGAAGTATCAAGGCAAACACGTTGCGGTGTAGAAACATGTCCAACCCTGCAGCGAGGAAGCTGTCTAATGCCCTGCAGTCTCATGTGTTCTATCTTCATTCGGCAAGGATCATAAGTTATGAGGTTATTGCCCTCGATATCGCCAGGATCCTCGGGCGGAAATACAGCTGCACATTTACTCCACCGGTGATCCCTTCCAATACGCCTTTGGTGGCTCGGACGCAACCAGGACTCTCACAGCAAGATATCTTCCATATCTCAAGGGCTCTCGAGCAGCAATCCAACCACGGGTACGGCTCACCGACAATCCTCCTCAATACCCTGTCGCCGGCTCAGGTGCAACACATCCTCTCTCAGCAAGATATCACGGACCTTGAAGACATCCTCGAGAGCGAGGACTTTACTTCTCATTGAGTACGCTAATCCAAAAAGGGCGACTTGGGAGGATGTCTGGATATGAAAGAGCTTTGCGTGCTTCACAGACAACCATAGTAACGCGTTCAAATCCCGTTCCTGGTCATCGGCCGCCTCCTCAAAAGCCCCATACCCTGCGAGCCTTCGTACATTACAAGGCTAAAACAAATTTCCTCGGGTTCGCCGAGCGGCCAGGGCATACGTCGGCTCATGTCCGCACTACTGTACTGATATTGACAATGATCTCCGTTAAGCATGCTATGCGAGTGCATTTCATGGGATCAGTGGTGGGTCGCACTTTTATGTCCAAGCCTAAACATGAGGCGGCACTCCTGCATCGCGAAACAACAATTAGGTTTTTTTTTTTTTTTTTTTTTTTTCATTTGGATGTAACTCAAGCAGTTCTCCGAGACTGGGCAGCGGCCAGGAAACAGAAACCCGATTGGCTAATTCTTTGAGAAAAATAGTCAAACAGAATGTTGCAGACTTCCCAAAAAGTAAACACAAGCCTACATACGTCTATCTATCTGAGGAGGATTTGTTCCACATCTTCCACGGTCACGAGGACACGCGTCGTAAGGCCCCCACGCATTAGAATTCGCAAATGATGCGAGCATTGATGAGGCTGCCCAGCTGGTTCTGAGGCGTAAGGGATTGTCGATCAGTAGCTTGCTCTGCCCTGTTCGAACCCGTCAGCGCATAAACGGATATCATGGCAAGGTGGGACTATGGATACATTATCGGATCGGTTCAAGTTGAAGGGGACCATCTGCACCAATGAACTCGTGCTCAACCTGTTAGCATATGACACCACTAAGGAACGCCCGAAGCCTCGAGCGTCTTCATCCAGGCCCCCCGATGATGAAAATGACGATGACATGGAAAGCGCTCTTTTGCAACTTGAGGAGCAGGAAGCTGAAAGCTCATCATCAAGGGCCCACTTACGTACTTGTGCTAAGCGAAAGCTCAGCGCCGCCCCGCCTGCGACTGTGAAACGTGCGCGAGGTGGAGCACCACGTACTCCCGTGCTTCCAAGGGCTCCTGGCTCTGGACCCTCTCTTCGGACGATGGATCAGACACTTCGGATACGGAAAGAGCGCGTGTCTCTAGCATCAACTGGAAACGAGGCTCCAAGATGCTGAAGAATGTCTCCTCAAGTTCCGGTCCGACACCGCTTGTCGTTGGGATGGATCCTGGAGAGGTAAAGACAATGGTTGCAGCAGCGCTGAGTCCAGGGGAGCCCCAAGTCCCTCGCTTCACCACCATCCGTCGATCGTTCTTGTACGGGCCTTATATCAAGTACCGTCACTTGCTTGAAGAGTGAAAGGCCCAATTCGGTATCGATCTGATCGAGTCAGTGCTGCCGCCCATGACGCTTTCAGGGATCAATTCGTACTTGGAGTACCTGTACAGGGATGGAGAGGGGAAAAGACTCCGATCTTTTTATCTCCGCTAGTGGCATCTCCGAAAGACTTGGGACTTGAGAAAAGCTCAGAAAACTGCATACGACTATGGGATTGATTCAATCCCTCAACTTGCTGGAGGGAACAACGGGAGGAAGATGGATTCCTCCAACCCTGCAGTTTTCGTAATCGATCTTGGTTCTTTCAACACACAAACTGCATTATCCTCGAAGCGTTCCGAGTTCGAAAAGCGATTCATAACGAGAGTAAGTATCAGAAAAAAAAAAGAGACTTTGGTCACTCTATTCTCTATCCTATTTATATTCATTTATTTACTTTTTCCTCAAACAGGCGAGGCCCCTTGGATACGAAGTTGTTGGCGTTCATGAGTATTACACTGGTGCTAAATGTCCCCGCCCCAACCGCAACGCATTCCTAGAAATTCATGTCAACAGGTCCAAGTATTGTCGAAGCTGTCAGATATATTGTGATCGTGACATGGTCGGATCCGAGAACAATGCGCGTGTGTGCCTGTCCCATATAACTACACAAACGAGGCCCAACAAGTTCAAGTCAACAAGTTCATAGGCGTTAGGAACGCCTTCAAAAATTTGTTTCATTTATTTTATCAGAAATTTAATGCATCTTGATAGTTGTTTCATGTAAAACTCCAATTTGCCTTTTTTTGTTCAAAAATATATACTGTAATGGTGTACGGACGTTCAAAAGCTCCTGACAATAGGCAAACCCCCTACACAAATATTGTCCATCAAATAACTGATCCTTAAAAGTGAGTTTAAGCGAGTAAACATGGCGAGAGCCATAGAATTTAGACAGATCCATACAACATACTCTAGCCTAGATTCTCCTCTAAAGTTGTTTGACCTCGTCATGAGAGATGCCAAATCCCTCTAAAATACTGGGAGCTTTCTAAAGATGTGTTCTATTATATTTACTGGATTTTGAGAGCACAATCCTTTTTGAATACAGCCTGAAGGACTTCACTACAGAGCATGTTGCCATTAATGGATTTGAGTAAATAGATTTTAGATACAAAACACAAGAGCCATTTTTTTTTTTTTACACTTCATAGGTAATTTTTAAGCCAGTAAAGCAATAATGTCTCGAATTGCTCGTTAGTGCGAGAATCTCGAAGACCATGACGCTCAGTTGGGTAGAACTGGGTCTGGTGTGGCTTATTATTTCGCACGAGAGCCTCCACCAAGGTCTCTGTGTTCTTGACGTGGACATTCTCATCAATTAGTCCGTGCGCAATTAATAGACGATTTTCACTACAAAGGTCCAGAAAAAATAGAAAGGCATGCCAATATTAATATCAGCAAACAATATTAACAAAAAAGCGTGTTTCGATCATTCTTTACCTGTCTGGGAACTTGTCGACCCAGTTGAGTATATTGCTTTTAGCATAGCCATCCTTGTTTTCATGAACAAGCCCCATGTAGCGTTCCGTATAAGCCGAGTTGTAGAGTTCCCATTGTGTGACAGGTGCCCCTGCAATAGACAGCTTAAAGATGTGGGGATATTGCACCAGAGCCATCAGAGACAGATAGCCGCCTTTTTTTTGTTACAAACACGAGATGAAGGAATTAAGAAACCAATTAATCTACTCTATCCAATAAAAGATACGCGCTTTTGGCTGTATTTGTTGCAGTACTTACCGTAGCTCCACCCAGAAATGGCAACGCGGTTCATATCGACTATACCCCCATTTTCAGGTCTCGCCAGAAACTCCAGGCCCTCAACCTGATCTCGAATCTCGACCAAACCCATTTGATGACGTAATCTCCCTTCAAACTCCAGTCCACGATCATTACTACCTCGCCCATCGATCATTACTACTGCATGGCCTAGACTAGCCGCTAAAAACACACGTAAGAATCTAGGAAGTTTGTATTCGTTCAACACCATCTGTGACCTTGGCCCGCCGTAGATACAAACCAACGTCGGATATCTCTGACCTTCGATATAGTTCGCAGGCCTGTACAGGCAGCCATGTAGTTTTATATTATCAGAACTCATGAATGAGAAAAATTCCCCCACAGGGTGATGAGTCGCATTAATAAGACTACTACCAGATGATGAGTCAGCAGATGAAGATGGAGAAGACCGAGAGGAGGAAAAAGGAGAGAGCGACGGCGCTTTAGAAAAAGAAGGGGAGGACCGAATCGCTGATATAAACTTAAAATTGGGTAAGCGCGTCCCTGTTGAACTGGATCCTTCGGTATTATGGCTATCATCAGTAGAGCTTACAACCATACTTGAGTCACAATGATTGCGACGCTGATGGTGATGTTGAGTAAACATTTTTGGCAGACTGCTTGACAGTGAATGATTAGCTAGGAATCCTGAAACCGAGCTCATGGGTCCTGCTTTGAATCCATCCAACGCAGAATCCATTCGTGGAGAAGGCGATGAGGTAAATGGTTTTACAAATGACTCTGAAAAAGACCGCGTGTGGCCTTGCTGTTGGCGACATGAAGAAGCCACAACAGGGGCGCGTCGGATCCTTTCAGCATTTTGATTAATAATCCCTTGCTTAATAAGATATGCATGAGATGAAATTTTTGGGAAGTGACATCCACAATCGCACCAGCATATCTTTTCTGTATGGTTGTTTCCATAATTTTTTCCAATTGAGGTCGAAGGTGAAGCCGGTTCTGTAAGACGACAATCATTCCACCGTAGATGTATCACTGCACATGCCGGGCTTTGATCCATGCTTGAATACATGGTCAAGAACCGATCTTTCTCCACATCTACAATGGCCTGATGGCTGTATCCAAGTTCTGTTAATCGCTTCATATTCTCAGGTCGAGCGCTGCGGGCGTAGCTTGCCACATAGAGATGAGTTTCCAAGACAGAATCACGTTTAGCAGTAAAGTAAACGAGCTGGCGAGATGGGTCCACAGTGATCTGCTTATCTACAACTTGGAACTGCCCTGCAGTAATAGGTCTGACCGTGGATCCAAATTTGAAGGAGTGGGTTACTAGATACAAGTGACGATATCCCGTACGTTCCGATGGGATGATAAATTGAATTAAAGCGCCTTCCTCACTTTGGGCTCCCATAGAGTGATTGTCGGTAATATGATGCTCTGATGGAAGAATATGTATGATGTCTGTCACCTATTAATTGATATTATTAGTCGATAATACCAAAGGGCAGAAGCCAATATAAAAATCTAACTTTTATTTATATTTTGTGCACGGAAAGGCTTTCTATAACTTACATTGATCCAGTATTTGCTTTGCTCTTCGTGTATAACGCGGATACGACTGGCAAGTTTGTCTTCGATTTCTTCTGATGAATCCGACTTTTCCGCCACAGACATAAAGCATTCTAATGGAATCACAATAATTGCTGTAACCTGCTGTCGGCGATCTAAGATTTGTACCCATACACTGATCAAAAGTAGAAACAAATAGCAGTGCTATATCAATATCTACACTTTTTTCCAGTTTTTTTTTTTTTTTTGCCTTTGTCCCACTATACCTTCCTCCATCTGGCATCCATCCAAAGCGTACAATGTACTCGAGCCAAGGGAATAGTTTGTACAGTGATGCCCTACCCCATAGACGTTTATGAAGGGGCTCTGGTACTTCGTCCTACAGGTTAATGTAGCATGCGAAGCAACAAAAATATAGACTATTAATTAGTATGGCCAAGAAGGATAAGGAGCCCTATAAAGCCGTCATCAGGCTATTTCGCAAGCCGTCCAGCACGGTTACCTTCTCAAACCGTTTCGGGACAAATTCTACAATCTGGAGATCCGAGACCGCATTTGGAGTGCCCGCATGCGGGTATCTATATTCCTCACAGGATGGATGCATTCCTTGCCTTGGAATCACAACCAAATCCACCATGGCTTCGGACACTTGCAGATACAAGATTTTCTCAGTTGTTCTACAAGACGCGTTGTTGGCTATTGACACAGGAAGAGCGTCTATATCCTGCGATATAGATGATGGGTGATCTGAATGCATATGCATACATGGTTGCATATCCGCCTGTGTGTTTGTCTGCATATGTATTTGTGTCTGCGGCCTCCGACGTGATTTTGACTGCGGTGGAGGCGGAGCCCAATAATAGTTTGTGGAGCGATGGAATTCCTCTTGCATCACAAACTCGGCAATGCCGCAACTGATGTCGGATTTCTTTGTGTTACGAGAGCAAAACGTCAGCTGTGTCTCGACTCCTGTCATCGTAGAGACCCAAATATCCTGATCACGCGTAAATGCGATTAGATCCATGGCTGATCCGCCGAGCCTCGGATCTGCTCTGGTTCCTGTTGATCCAGCACCACTCTTATCCAGATGAGATGGAGATGCAGACGCTGATGTAGATGTAGATGTAGGTGTAGACCCATATCCTGAAAGTGATGCCCGTGGCGATGTCAAAGGCCCAGAGACAGAGACAAGGTTGAGTCCTGCTGTTAGAGCATTGTGAACCATGTTGGAATATGTTCGGTTGAGACTCGGGCTGTCTGTTGAGGGATGTGGATCTGATTGAGCAGGCTGCGGGTTGACTTTACCATCCTAGTGTAGAGTGTGCCATAAAAAAAAAAAGGAAGTAACCATAGTTAGTAGCAGGAAATGGTGCCATTCAGTTTAGGAATGATTATATAAAGGACAGTGCGCCAAAGGATCCATAAATACCTCTTGGACATCGCCAGTGTATATGACTGTACCGAATGAAAACATGAGACGATTTACTTGAGGCTCAAATTGAAAGGAAGATAATCGATCGCATGGAGAATGTCCCCAACATGTACTGGCATATTTAAGCCATTCCTCAGTCAAGACAGGGGTCCAGTCCAACACAGGTGCAGCTGCAAGGATCTGGTCCGTGGCTGTAGAAGCTTCGAGTGAAACATCAGGTGTATAGGCATTGTGGGGGTATCTCTGGTTAGCTGAACCATTAGCGCCAACAGAACTAGCACATGAAGTAGAGGTGGAGGAGGACCCGATTGCTGCTTGGATGGGCTCTGTCCTAGGACTAATAAAGATGTGGATCGGTGGTGCTAGGGAGGCAAAGCCTTGATATGAGTCTGGATTGAAGGGTATAAGATCCATGTCATGATCATTGTGTCCATGTCGTCGTCTGCGTCGGTATCGAGTGTGCCTGGGCCGAGACTGAGACTGGGGCTGAGACTGACATTGACACTGCTGATGATCATGGCAACGACAATCATGGGATTGGCTTATGTGGCGATAGGATGAGTGTGAATGCTGTGCAGCTTCTGGACCTGTTAAGATTGAGACCTGAATAGTGCTATTATTTGTGTTAATGTCGGTATCTGAATCTGCTGCGGTATCTGTCTCTGTCTCTGTATCTGTATATATATATGTATCTGTATCTGTATCAATATGTGATTCCATGTCGTCTTCAGTCTTGCCCACTTCGGGGGAATATGAAGACAAGGTTGAATAAGATGGCGGAAGGTCAACACGGAAGAGCATGGGAGATTTGAATGAGCGCGAGAGGTCGCTGGCGAGGAAGTAGATGCGGTCTCGAGTGGGATCAAAAACGACGTCGCAGATGGTAACAACTGTGGGTTGAACTAATGCCCGAAAAGAGCGCACCTCATTGCGAATCTGGTCCCAAGAGAATGATGCCATGATATGGTAGAACGAGTGAATGAATTGAATGAATGAAGGCAATAATCTTAAGAATGAATGGTAAAGGATTATAACTGCAACAATAAAAGAATGAGCGAGTGGAGCGTGAGTATAATGTTTATTTTGGACTTTCTTTTGATTGGCTACTGATTGCTTCGGTAGAAGTGCATGCCATCAATCGCCATTCATAGTTTTGCCTCTTGATTATATTTACAACTCTCAAACAACGGAATATGAATTACTGAGTTCTGACATAGTTACTGTGAACCACATGACCGAACATTTTCCCGCCACGATATGGCCTGCGCCTCCTGTCCAGAGTTATTGACTGCGGCATTGTAAAACGTTGACATCGGTGCATTGCCCACGGTTGAACATTTTTAGTATAAAAACTTTGAACTGTTTGGTTATTAAATCTTTTTCTTCCTTTCCGTTCTCTCTGGAATCTTTTGCTACCAAATAGTCCTCAAGATATCCCGCATCAAAACTCAGTCGATACAGCTACTGCTCCATGGCATCAGAGTCAATATCAACAACTTCCTCACTCCAGGGCGTCCTTAACCCAAAGGTCACTGCAGCCTTGGTCAAATCGCCAGGAGAACCATCACATCTGGATCTAAAACCTCTTTTGGGTCGACATCGTCAGGACCAATCTATTGTGGCCTTCACACTCCAAAACATCTTGACGCCTCAAGAATGTCAATCTCTAATTGCTCGATCCGAAGCGGTGGGATACGATATTGCGCTCGTCAACACTGGCAGCGAAGGCTCTGGAGTTCATATCCCAGGATATCGCGATGGTCAACGATGTATCATTGATGACCATGCTGTCGCTGCAGAGCTATGGAGACGAATTCAGCAACATGTCCCCACCATCTATCAGAAACGACCCGTCATTGGGATGAATGAGCGACTCCGGTTCCTGAAATACAGACCTGGTGATCAGTTCCAGCCTCATATGGATGGCGAATATAGGCGAACCGATGGGTCTGGTCATGTCACCAAGGTCACGGTTCAGTTTTATTTGAATGAAGGCTGTGAAGGAGGTGCAACTACGTTTTTAGAGGAACGGATGGCGTGGGCCAAAACTGACGAGGAGATGACTCTGCGCAACTGTGTGGCTGTGTCCCCAAAAGTTGGACAGGCCTTGGTCTTTCAGCATGATTTAGTTCATGAGGGAAGTAAAGTTACACAGGGAGAAAAGTATGTCATCAGAAGTGATGTTCTTTATGGCCCACAAATGTTGAATTGATTAGCTTATCCTACATATTAAAATAGGTTGACAAAACTGTGGCTACATGTATCCTTTCATGGAGCTACCCTGGCTCCTTTTTTACACAAATATATATATATATGAAGACTTACTCATAATCCCAGTGACCGCTTGGGGGCCTTCATGGCATTATTTAATGATGTTGAGAGCATGATTTTTATCCAGTACTTATTGACTGATGTATGTAGTGGTGATGGCTGCTATCATCGCCGTAGTATCAACTTGAAACGAGGGCAATCTAGGTTGATCCATTCTACCGCATTATGTAGCTTGACTAATTCGATCTTTTCCTATACAATTCGGTGAGGCTTGGTTTCCCACATCCGTTGCTTCCTTATCTTCCTTGATAGACCTAGTTTGGTAAGCACTGCTAATAGGATTTGTGGGGGCTGTTGGAGTGAGTGGTGAAATGTCTGTGTATGATTTGAGTGTTGTGGTTGTAGATAGTGTTGAGAGAATGTGAGCGGTAATGAGGGGAGTTCAGCGGGGAAGAATGGGTCTATATATCTTTTCAAGTTCTTGGCAACAGAGACAGAGCACGATCGAAAAACTCATGTCAACATGTCAATAGAGTCCATGCGTCCAAGTAGCAGTTGTGATCACAAGTTGATTATGGGGAGTCTGCATGAGGTGAATATAACAATAGCCATGGTGTCAAGGCTCTATCTTTCATGCATGGTATGCTGTTATCAAACTTGGTACCGATCATGGGAATGTGTTTTTTTTTTTTTTTTTTTTTTTTGGATGTGGGTATTCTAGACAAAACAAACACGTTAACAGTAAAAGATGTATGTGTGTGAACATGAAAACATTGAACAAACAATTTAGGCGCTTCTTTGTTGTCTATAATGCGGGGCGAGAAATTTTTTTACATACCACACCGATGGAGTATTTATTGAAGTTTTTATCATATCCAGAGCAGAGCTACAAGTCTGTGTACGAGTAACATAGATAGAGCGTGTACAAGGTGCTACGTCCATTAATACAAGATGTATGCTCTTATCCACAAGAAAGTATCTATTTCGTTTAATCTTTTACGCAACAGACGTTCTGTAAAGTATGCAACAGTCCCCATCCCTGTGCAAAATTATAGTTTACTATTTAGCAATCAGATTTTTATTCAAGACAGCATGGTTTGACAAGTATAAAAAAAGACAAAAAAAAAAAAAAAAAAACTGAAAGAAAAAATATATAAAAAATATAAAAAGGGACAATGATAATAAGGAGAGGAAAGGATCTTAGTATTAGGATGACTGGAGGGCAGAATTAGGTAAAGAAAGTAAAGAAAATTAAGCATTAGCAATAAGAAACAAACGATATGGGCAGAAAGGACGAATAAGCTAATAAAACGAATAAACAAAGGGTATTATGATAAAATTAAGTAGGTAAAGATTAGTAATGAAATAGGGTATTGAAAACGAATGGTGGAGGATGAAGAAACAGGAGCAGAAGCAGTTAGTGGTTAAGTATTGGTAGCGTCAACTTCCTCATCAGTGCTTGCTTGAATGATGCCGCCGCTGACTTGAGGGTTCGCCCTTTGCGAACTAATGTCCTTCGACGTAACTGACTCGTGATCTGCTCCCTCTTCCTCCTCCAAGATCATTTCAAACGTGCTTGTCTGTTTCCCAAGAGGTCGACTCTGGATACAAGTCGCCACATGCTCTTTAATCGGAACATCCACCGCGGTCTCAGCTGCCTTCAACTCCCTATCACCATCTTTGGATTCTGGCGTGGAAACCTCTGCTGACTTGTCCCCTCCTTCTTTTGTATCAGCAGTAGTAAGGTCATGAGACTCATTCGCGTTCGTGATTTTGGCCTCCGCTTCAGTGTCCTTAAAGAGCTCTTCCATGCGCTCTGTCTCAACTGACAATTGTTTCTTAATGTTCTGATCCTTTACTTCAGCAAGCGAAGTTGGAGAGGTGGATTGGTTGGGGATGGGTGGCAGAGCTGTTTGAGGTGGATTAGGCACAAACACTGTGGATTCCAACGGAATGGGAACCAAACTTGAAAGACGAGCTGAAAGTCTCATAGATTCTCTAGTGGAATTTTTCTTGTTCAACCCTCCATGCGACACTGTCGAGAAGGATCCAATTGAGGATGAAGAGCTCACAGATCGCAGTGATGAAGTTGAAAGGGAGTGTTTGTGACTCGAAGGTCCACTTTGATTGATGCTACCATCATTGGAAGTCGCTGTTGACGTTGGAAGGTCTGGCTGTTGTCCAGTTGGAGGCGGTGGTAGGACCAAACCACCATTGTGAAGAAGCGGAAAATGCTTAAAGACAGTATCGCCATTCATCTTTATGCCCGATGGTGAAATTGGAGGGGTCGGCAATGCATCGTCATTCAGATCATTCGTGGTGACAATAGCACTAAGTCGAGGGGAGGGAGTGCTCGCCCTGTTTTTGGCCATACTGATCTGTACATCATTCAGACGGACGCTTAGAGCTAACTCCTGTGACCTTGAACGATTGCGGGACTTGGATGGCCGATGCTTAATCAACCGCTCGGGATCATGATGGCGAGGCACTATCGCGATTCGCTGTGATGATCCATTCGAGCTAAGAGATAGAGAATGCTTCAATGCCATCACAGGAGATTCAGAGCGCGGTGGCTCTGGCAGCGGTGAAGTTGGGGCCGAGGAGAACGCTATCGGTGTTGGGGACGTGGGCCGCGAATGGTAGTCAGTAATAATGGTTGGTCTAGAAGGTGATCTATACGAGCGCTCCTGTAACGATCCAGTCAGCATACTGCCCCGGAAACTAGTCGATCTTGCAAGAGAACTATGTAGAATATTAGCAGATTGACCTGGAGTCGGTGACAGCGAGCGTCCCGTCATCTGTAATGGGATGATTTGTGCAGATTGTCTAACAGAAATACTGGGTCGATGGATACTTCGTGGAGGAGGAGATACCACCAATGAAGAGCGCGGGCTGTTACGGTTGGGACTCATTGGCCGCGGTGATACAGGGCTCAATCGCTGTGAACTTCGACGAGGCAGTTTCATCATTATCTCAGGTTGGTCAGTGACGATCGAGATACGACGTCCATTACTGCTGTTAGTGCTATTTCTATTGCTATCGTTATTGTTATTGCTATTGCTATCGCTTGTGCTATAGGGTATCTTGGATTTTATCGTTGCGGCGTATGGACTTTCACTCAATCTCTTTTGTTGAGATATCGGTGTGGGTAAATGCTCATTCCTCTCAAGTGGGAGGGCATCCGCTTGCTCCATAACGGTCCCAAAGCTAGCGTATTCTCCGGGAATATGTACCGAAGATGAAGAACTGTCCTTTTTCCATTTAATCTCTTGTTCTGAATTTGATGATGATTCCAATAACTTGGGTGTTCCTAACTGGGTAAAATCTGTCATGTTTGCAAACTGATACAAGTCGAGCCGCTGTGGGGGATGAGAGAGATGGGAAGAACGAGAAGATGGTGCTGGTGACGGCGTTCTACCAATAAGGACATAACCATCATGTTGACTTGGAATATGAGGAATAGCTGGAATGCTGTCTGTCATGGCTGCAGAAGATGAGGAAAGGTCTGACATTTCGGACGAGTCCGAGTAATGAGTGCCTGGCCTAGAGTTGACAGGAAGACCCCTGATTCGAAGCACCGTGCCTTTAAGCTCACGAAGCCAGCTCGACATATCTGCAGCTGTATCTGCAAGCACGTACCAGTTCTTTTCACCAGGCGATGTGATTTGAAGACAATATCGCTTGCCTGAAAACATATCAGTGACACAAATAATGGTATCAGCACAGAGCTTTAGAGACTCTAATAGTGGATGTTGTGGGTCCGAGGACTTGAAGCAGTGCAGGGAGGACTGGTTCAAAATAAAGTAGCGACGTTTCCATTGCTTGCGCGAGAAGAAGGTCCTAGATGAGAATTTAGCCAAGTAGCCCGAATATGAGGCTTCATGCTCGAGATGTCGGACCCGCAGAGCAGCGCCATTTGGACTGTCGTGAAGATTGTCAGAAGCGTCATCCTCATCCTCAATCTCATGACACTCGCTCGCTGTCTCGGTAATGTGTGTACTGTGGGTAGAGAGTGCGACTGAACTCCCGTTCGACAGGAAAGAGCCAAGCGGTGATGATGGAAGAGAGCCAGATCTACTTGATCGGCGTGGTCGCTGGAGACGAAGAGGGTGACTAGTAGTGGAAGAGCTATCGTCGTCTGTGGTGAGTGGGGTCATGGTCGAGTTGGCAGTGTAGAGGGAGTCAGAAGTACCGTTGGAATGACTCAGGGGGATGCGACGATTGTTAATAATGGAGGTATAGAGTTTGGTAGGATTGGTGTTGATAGAGCGGTAGTTATTTGCGCTGAGATGGCTTTGTTGGTCCGAAAGGGCAAATATTCTCTTTTCATCAGAGGACAATCTCCGAGCGGGATGTAACGCGTTCTGGAGACTAGACAGAGCACGTCGGACCCCGCTAGACTCGTGATGAAGAAGGGAGTGAACAGGTGTGTTGGGACGCGCAGGGATAGGTGAGGGTGTTGGAGAGGAAGTACGACTAGAAAATGATGACTTTTTGCGCAACATGAGCGGTGATAGCGACAACGGATCTGCGATCAAGCAGAGAATTGTAATACTTGTTAATGGTTAGTCCAAATTATCAAGTTGTCAAACTGCAGGGGATGTGTTGAAAAACAGAGACAGAACGTGGATGTGTTTGAGGGAGAAAGAGACTCGTACCTGGTTTGGGTACAGTGGAGTAGTGTTAGGCCACAAACGTAATAACAGATTGCATGGTCAAAATCGATTATTCAAAGAAAAGCCCTGTGTCGCCAGATTGAAAAAGATATGAGTTGGTTAGGACACATCGGGTCTAAAAAAGATCGCGGGGATGCAAGAAAGAAAGCGGCGCATGGATGGGTGTTGAGCTCACTCCAATGACCAAATAAAAGAACGATGGCCAATAACTGAACAACTACACATGCATTACAGATATCGAGTGTGCGTTTCAAGTGGCAAGTGCCCTGAAAAGCACACGACAGGACTGTCTCGTTAGCTTTTTTTTTTTCTTTTCTTTTTTTACATTTATATATAAAAAAAAAATAAAAATAAAATAAACGCGTCCGTTGGAGGGATTAGAAAGGGGAAGGGAAAAAAAAGAAAGAAGGATTCATCATCCTTTATCTGACATCTAAAGCTGTTTGGATGTAGTAGTTTGATGTCGTTATGTGTAAATTGAATACTGTTTATAGTATGAAACAAGGTGAGGGGCTTTGTTCCTGACCTGGATGTATCAATTAGAATCGTATGCAAGAAACAAATGATTTTTTAAGAAAAAGAGTATGAGTATGAGTATGAATATGAGTATGAATATGAATATGAATGTGAATATGGATGTGAATATGAATATGAATATAAATGTGAATATGAATATGAATATGAATATAAATGTGAATATGAATATGAATATGAATATAAATGTGAATATGAATATGAATGTAAATGTGAGTGTGATGTGAATGTGAATGGACTGCAAAGGAAGTGGATGACAAAGTTCGAGTGCAAGATCGACAAACAACAGATGGAAGGAAAAAAAATAAGAAAAGAAAGAAGGAGATACTGCACTACATGGACAGGGTGGTACATGGCGCATGGTTTTCGCTCTTGCTTTTTTTTTTCTCACTCTCATTCTTATCATTGGGCGATTTGACCCAACAGGGCACGATATCAATCCTGCTACACAACAATCTTTCCTATTCATGCTCACCAATGTCGAGCAACCATGGGTAAATGAGATATCAAAGATGATGGATGTCGATAGCATAGTTCATAGTTAGTGTCATGATGGGTACGCTGAGAGACTAGGATTCATAAAAGCTGCTGTCATTCGTTGTCATCGGATCTATCAAACTAACGGAAAACATGCCATACCTTACCATCATCATCACCGTCATTCTCCCCTTTCCACCCCACTTTTGGAATAAAGAAATATAGTCAATTTACCATCGATCTTTATTCGCTTGACTTGAATACCTACCATGTCAGTATTCTTGTTACTCCATAATATATTCCGCTCTCGTATCAAAAGTTTTTTTTATTTCCTCCATTCCCTATTGTTCCTTTTTGCAGATCAAAAAAAAAAAAAAAAAAAAAAAAGCTGAAAAGGATAGAGTTATGAGACATTTTAAGGGTTCATTGTTATCTCGGACTTGGATCCAGAAGGAGGAAGGAGCAAGAGGTCTTTACGGGCAGACGAGTGAGAGGCTAAAGATCCATGTCATTGACACTCGCTGTCACTGTTTGGAGAAGAGTAGCAGGCGGCTTTTGGGTTTCGGTCATGATGTCGGACGCTCTCAATCTTTTTCCAAATCACTGCAAGAAAAACCATTTCTTTTGCGAATCGTGCTCTCGACATGTTTGGTAATGCTCTCGAAATTGCTTTCCAATCAAGCATTCATGAGGATACTTGCCAGGGTTGTTTTTTCTATTCCTCCTTGGTTGCTATTATTTTATTTTATTTTATTTTATTTTATTGCATGGGAAAAGACAAAAGGAGGAGTAAAAGGCGTTGCATAGTCTATGCATTGAGGATCTGGCATGGATCACTGTTTCCCGCATGGATGGAGCAAGGTGCTAAAAAGAATAAAAGCGACTTTCAACCCGCAAGACAATTTTTTCTTTCCTTCGTTTTAACCCCTGTCGAGTGTCTCTGTCTGTTTTTTAGAGTGCCACATCTAAGTCCCCCTGTTGTTCTTTACCCTATCCTTACTCAAAAGGCAAAAAATATGCAGAATATTTCTAAAGGCTGTATCCTTTTTGATCCTATTTCTGTCTCCACATGTTGGTTGAAAATATATACATTTTTATATTTGGGGTAGGGAGAGGGAGAAGGGGAAGAGGGGAAAAGCGGCATTGATTTCATTGTTTTGTTCTTTTTTTACTCACTGAAAGATTCCTTTCTTTGATCTACGAGACGTTGGATACATGTACGTCTCCCCGGGAAGAAAATGATGAAAAAACTGCTTTTTTTTTTTTTTTTTTTTTCCTTTCTTTGAAGCCACTTCGCCTCTTCTGTCTTGGTTTTCAACTGCATGTCTTTTCCTTGACTCTATCCTTGTTCTATTGCGAAGTAATACATGTTTATACATATCTAGATATATATATAATACACGTATATTATCCTGTATATTTTATACATGTACATTGTTGTATGTCCTCTTGTACTTTTAGTCCATCATTGCCACGAGACGATCGATAGATTCTGTTATTTCTACAATGCAGATCTTGTCCTTTCTGATCGAGGAATCTCTCCTCATATCCTCTGCTTGGTTCTGGAAATACCACCACTTGTTTCGCTTGTCCTCGCGTGAATACTTTTGCTTACTCCTGGACCAGGGCCAGGATTTGAATCTGAGGATACACTTACATCAACATTTACGCCTTATGCCCCTGTATTTTTATTTTTTATATTTTTTTCTTGTTCCTGAATCATTGCTAAATGACAACATACACACATACAAAAAAAATAAGACAAACACAAACATTTATACTTTGCCTGGAAAGAGACTTCATCTTGACGTTGGCCCGCGATGTTTTTCTGCAGAGATTTAACGGGAAAAAAAAAAAAAAAAAAAAAAAAAAACTTCCCAGCAATAGTTATCCCGTTGGCCGTTGACCGTTAGAAGAAACTATTTTGCTCTGCATGCAAGATGTTTGGAAAAGAAAGGTCCAGGTGAGCCATCACTTCATAATAAAAATGTATTACCAATTAATGTAATCAAAATTTAATCACGAAAAAGCTTCATTCATATTACTTGTGTAAACCTCCTTTCTAATCATATTTATCTATCACTATCACTTTCGTACTACCCTTGCATGCGCTCATTTGTAATTTCTCATGCTTTTTTTTTTTTTTTTTTTTGCTTTCTCTTTGGCTGACAAAGTACAGAAGGACTCCATGCATGTCTTTGTCATCCTTTAAATCAATAGAAGACGTCTTCATGAACAACACTCTGTGCTACCTTAATAAAAAATCATGAAGCACAGCCGAAATGAAAGAGTAGTATACGCCATTACATCCAGGAATGAATAGTACGCATGTCGAAAAAGCTGCATCTTACACAATACACAATAACTCCCAAAGCCTTGTATACTAGTGTGCAAGGTTACTAAGCGCGAGCAGATAGTCAAGAAACTGTTAGTCATGTTTCCGATGCTGAAACAGATGAAGCAACGGTATTCTTATTTATATGGTCCCGAGCGTTGGAAACGATGTGACGAAGGAGTTGAGGCAGATCATTATCTTTGTAACTGTTATGATACACTTTATACCGGAAGAGTGCTTGGTCAGAGAACGTTGGAAAGACGACACAAATGGGGAGGAAAGCCGAGCGCCATTCATTCCGTGAATGGCAGGAGAGAAGGCAGACAAACCTGAAGGCCCGCCTGAGCTTTATGAAGGCTAATCAGAGGTACATTCAGTAGTCTCTGAGATGGACAAAACGAGATCAAGAATCATATGAGTAATATCTTGTTCTTAGCAATGGTACAATGACAGAAGGTGCGGTTGGGACACTCATTGCCACATACATGGCGACGCAGTTTATATTTGAAACAGGAACAATGTGAAGGGGCGATGAGACAGGGAAGGCTGTGGATATCACAGCTCTGAACAAGAGACGCATATCAGATAATTTGTCGGTTTATTTCAGTTCTTTTGTCGTCAAAACTTGAACGGTAACTGATGAATGAGTTATTAAACATCTACAGGGACATTTGCAACTGAGCGATTGCAGGTTAAGACTTAAATAATAACGTTAGATCCAGGCCGCCTCATAAGAGGTACCGGGGTTACTTATCGAACATGGCATAGAGTGAGTGTCAAGGCGCCTTGCGCAACGACCGACGGAAGAGGACACAGTAATAGCTGTTTGTGGCAAGCATAATGATCATGGCCCTACAAGTTACAAGTCTCTCCTATGTGGATCTCGGTTACTGATAAAAAAGGGTGGAAGCGATTCAAATACTGTCACGGCTGCCAAGCCTACTACGATCACGACACCGTTGGGTCAAGGACACCATAGGCGATTTTACACCTCGTCAAGCGAGGTACATGTCATGTCTTTAAGCTATAGGCACCGATTTTATGGCGTGTGCAAGCATTAAGGCGGAATTGCTGCATTACATTACAAAAAAAAAAAAAAAAAAAAAAAAACAATCATAATGCGTTTCTGTACATGTCTAGTCTATATAGTATAGGTTACTACTTCTCGGGTAGGTATTTGTATGGGTTCATGATTCCATTGGGATCTATCATATCCTTGACTCGTCGCATCAACTGAATCATAGATGACGATTTGGAGTAATGAAGATGAGGCGATTTGAAAAGGCCGAGACCATGCTCGGATGAAATTGACCCTGCGTACTTTGCCGTCCATTCATACACATACGGCTCAATGATATTGGTCACCTTTTCTGAATAGTTTTTTGCAGCAATATTGAGATGCAAGTTTCCTATTTGTATTGTATATAGCATTAATAGAAAATGATTACAAGGATGCTCATGTCAGCAAGCCATAGGAATCACAACAACTCCAATTAAAGTGATCAAATGCGATATATGTCAGTCATTTGTTGTTTTGTTCTTCCTCTACGTTTTTCCTTCCTCTCTTACCATCACCAATGTGTCCAAAGCCGACGACACAGCGAACATCCTTATCTTCGCCCAATACGCCCTCCTGATCAAGTCGAGCACGCATATCCTCAACCATCTGATAAAATACTGGTACAGGAATTGAGAGATCATATTTATACACTGATCCGGTCTTGGAACATGCCTCTGGGATACCTTCACGAATAGCCCATAAATTCTTAAACTGGGTTGTGTCCTGTGCCATGACGCCATCTTGAACAATGTCATCTGTCAATAGTCCTTCGAGGAAGCTGTTCAGCTTCTCATCATCATGATCTTTGTTGCTTCCACTAGTCTCGATAAGAACATAGAAAGGATGCTGTGACTCCAGAGGGTCGTTCTTGCCAGCGACCAGATGCTTCTTGACCAGATCAATCGAGGCTCCATCAAAAAATTCAAAAGCGGATAAAATTTCAGATAATTCATCTTTAGATCTCTTGTATGCAGCCTGAACTTGTTCAAAGCTACTGACGCCCAAAAGTGCCACATTCACAGCCTTGGAGCGTTTGGGCACCATGATTGAGACTCCAGTGATGATGCCTAGAGTTCCTTCAGAGCCAATGAACAGTTGCTTCAAGTCATAACCCGTGTTGTCCTTACGGAGTGTTGAGAGGTTGTCCAGAATGGTGCCATCGGGCAAGACGGCTTCGAGTCCGAGGACTGTACCGTGAAGGGACCCATAACGCAAAAGCCTCAATCCGCCAGCGTTCGTGGCGACATTGCCTCCGATATGGCAACTCCCCTTAGCGCCTAAATCCAGTGGCATAATATATCCTTTTTCTGCCAAATAGTTGTCTAATACCTCCAAAATGCACCCTGCGTCACATACTAATGCGCCTATAAATATCAATAATAATAATAAAGGAAAAGCGATCAGAGAGTTTCGAATGCCTTAAAATAAGGAAGCATAGGATCGGTGAGAGAAAAAAAAAAAAAAAAACGATCGCTTATACCTGAGACAGTATCAAAACTTCTGATTGAGTTCATGTTAGCAGTAGAAATAATGATTTCATCAAACACAGGCACTCCACCGCCTACCAGACCAGTATTCCCGCCTTGAGGGACCACTGCCAATCTATCAGTCATCAAAGATTAAAAAAAAAAAAAAAAATGCAATCGCCCATCACCCAATCCTCATGTGAGCATTATTTTTCTTTTTTCTTTTTTTCCTTCCTATTTCTTTATAAATAACAAGTGTGATGATGATAAGGGAGACAGTGTGAGTAAACGCTGGAGTCTTACTTGTTATCATTGCAGTATTTAAGGATTTTGGAAACCTGATCAGTAGAAGATGGCTTCAACACCAATTTGGACTGACCACGATATTTTTGCATCCAGTCAATATTGAAAGCTTCCAGATCTTCCTCGTCCTGGGAAATTGCTGAAGGAGCGAGAATAGATTTGAAATAATCAATATCCTTATCCGCAAGCTATATGTACCAGAAGAAAAGGCCAAATTAGGAAGATGGAGGAAGAAAGTCGAGGAGGTTCATACCGACGAAAATTAAAAAAGTAAAAATAAAAATAAAAATAAAATAAACATAAAATAAAATTAAATAAAATTAAATAAAAATAAAATAAAATAAAAATAAAATAAAATAAAAATAAAAATAAAGATAAAGATAAATAAAAATAAAATAAATAAATAAAAATAAAAAAAAGTAAAATAAAAAAGAGACCTTCTTGTAGGACTGATTTCGCTTGAGATAAGGGTATTTGTCAGCAGTAAGGGGTAATTTACTTCCTGATATGGACGAGGCATACGCTGTCCTCGAGGATGTCAAGAAGGAAGCAGAGAAAGAAGTAGCAAGGCGAGCATTTTTTGTGGCACAAATGATTTGAGTTGTGGTGAAAGAACTCTTCGGAAGCAGTTGCTGTAAGGATCGGACTCCTTGAGTGCGAAGAGAGCTTTGCAAGCGTGCAGCAGCGACAGTAGTCTTGATAGGAAGCATCAATGGAAGAAAAGAAAGGAATATGCGTGCGTGTTTATGTGTGGAGGAGGTGGAAAAGAGAGAGAAGAGAGAGATTAGCAATTAGATGATCATTTGACTCAGGAAAAAAAAAGGTCAAAAGTGACTGCTCAACAACGGTCGTGTTTATTCTTTTTTTTTTTTATTTTTTTTATTTTCCTGTTCCTGACCTTGAATAACACAAGACATAAAACTGAACACTGACACTGACACTGACACTGACACTGACACTTGGCTCTGCTTGACGACCTTTCCTCTTCATACCCCTTTAATCCTTTTCTCGCTTTCTTCCATTCATCCTCATCCTCTTTCATCCTAAATCAACCTTATTTCAATTCACTTTACAGAATATCATGGATATCCAGACACTTTATAATCTGTTTCAGGCTACATTTCAACCTGATGCTAATATTCGCATGCAGGCAGAGCTACAACTCAAACAAGTAAAAAAAAAAAAAAAAAAAAAATCACGTTACATATAATTATTTTACTATAACTGATATGTATTTGACGCGTATTATAACAAAAAAAAATGTATTTGACGCGTTAAATGTGTCTCCATATAGTATAAGCGCGCTTTCTTTTTTATTATTATTACTTTGGCTGATGATGGACAATGATTGATTAATTCTACATATAGCTGGAAGGTACCCAGGGTACTCTTCTCTGCTCAATGCAGATTATTGGATCTGAAGAATCCGAGTTACATGTACGCCAAGCTGGTAAGGGCAAAGACTTTTTTTTTGCCTCATAAGCGTAGACAAATCTGGATATATTTTAAAAACAATTCAATTGACCTTGGTGGAAACAACCAATCTTACAAAACATTGACATATATATAAAGCGTCCATTTACTTCAAGAATGCTGTGAAGCGATATTGGTTTGAGACAGAGTCTACACCGACCCATCTCAAGATTTCAGATAATGACAGGCAGACCATCAAAGACAACATTCTCCAGTTGCTTGTTAGTACTCCTTCTGTTGTTCGGTAACGCCTCGCTTTCTCATCTTGTCCTATAGAAATTCGCTCTTTTTTCCTTTTTGTTCTTCTCTATCCTTTTTGACATTATCATTGCTATTTTTCTGCATACCTGAATTGAGGCATAATAGTTTTTCGCCTTAATTTAATCATAAATGCGTTTGTCTTCTTTTTGGACCGTGTGGATCAATCACAATTAGTACCCAATTGATCACAATTCTTGGTGTGATCCTTTCGAATGATTTCCCTTCTAAATACCCAGGTTACCTCGCTCAAGTCCAAGCCTTACTTCAATCTCAAGATCCTCAGATTGCCTTTGTCGGACTTTTAGCATTGAAGGAGCTCACCCGTGCTTACAAGTATATCTTTTTTTTTCTTTAAAAAAAAAAAAAAAAAAAAAAAAAAATTCAATGTATGTATGTGTGGATCAAGAGCATAAGTTGATTTTTATTTTTTATTTTTTGTTTTTGTTTTTGCTTTTTGTAGATTCAGATCATCAGATCGCGAGCCTGTTGAGGAAATCATTTCATCATTCTTTCCAGCTATCCAACAAATCGGCACAAGACTCATCAGTGCCAACAATGTCGAGGCTGCAGAGATGCTCAAAATCATCTTCAAGTGCTATCACCACACCATTCAACTGGATCTTTCAGAACGTCTCCGTGACAATTCTTCACTCATCCCTTGGGGCACACTGTTTATTCAGATGGTGGAAAAGTCTGTACCCACAGAGGGTTTACCCACTGATCTGGATGAGCTAGAGAAACACCCTTGGTGGAAGGCTAAACGATGGGCGTACCAGTGCTTGAACCGTCTCTATACTCGTTATGGAAACCCTACGGCGTTGACCTCTGATTCCAAATTTAAAACCTTCGCCACTGGATTTGTTCAGAATTTTGCACCCAACATCTTGACTGCTTACTTGAAACAAGTTGAGTTATGGGTGGCAAAGCAAGCTTGGCTCAGCCCCCGCGTCCTCTGCTTGATAGGCAACTTTTTTGAGGAAAGGTAAAAGATGCTGCTCTTTATTACTTCTTACTATTCGATCCTGAACGTATTAACAAATAGCTGGATTTTGGACTTACCTCTTATTTTGTGGTCTAAAATAGTGTCAAGGATAAGCACATTTGGTCCATGATGAAGCCTCATTCTGTGACTTTGATCACCCATTTTGTATTCCCACAACTATGCTTCACACCCGCTGATGAAGCCCTCTGGGTTGATGATCCTGTCGAATATGTTCATGCCAAGAGTGGTAAGGTTTAAAAAAAAAAAAAAAAAAAAAAAAGACGATAGATGATGGTTTCCATGTCAAGAAAACCAAATCAGATTCATTAACCTTACTGTCCAACCCTGCGATATCTTAGATGTCCTCGAGGATTTCAGTAATCCGTCCACAGCTGCTATCAACTTTATGAGTGTCATGGCCCGTTATAGACGGAATGCTTTCATGCAAGTTCTCTCTTTCGCCAATGATGTTCTTCAAAAGTACAATGAATCTCCTGCAGACGCAAAGAACCCTAGGGAAAAGGATGGCGCTTTGGTCATGATCGGTGCTTTGGCTCCCATGATTCTGCGCAAGGTAAAGTAAATAAATAAATAAAAAAATCCGTATTAATTCTTCATTGTTGAAAAACAAAACTCTTCAGCTAATACTGAACTATCATTGCTACTATTATTATTTTATCTTTTTCTACTTTTAGAAAGCTCTTGCCAGCAATATGGAGCCTTTCTTTGTCAACCACGTCTTCACTGAATTCAAAAGTCAATATCCATTCCTTCGTGCTCGTGTAAGCTACACCGAATAAGCAAAAAAAAAACTGTACGGTTAAGTACATTTTTGAACAGAAAACACGTACACCAAATACTAACATCTCTATAACCTATTTCTGTAGGCCTGTGAGATGATTAATCAGTTCAGTGACCTGGACTTTGAAGATCCCAACAACACTGGCATCGCATTTACCAACTTGATGGAAAACCTTCGTGACAATCAGCTACCTGTTAAGGTTGCTGCCGCGCTGGCACTTCGTCCCATGATCCGACACGAGGTTGTCTGTGAGGCCATGAAGCCTCATCTTCAGTTTATTATGCATGAGTTCCTCGCTATCACGAACCAAATCGACATCGACACTTTGTCAGAAGTCATGGATGAATTCGTAGAGGTCTTTGCACAGGATCTGACGCCCTTTGCTGTTCAACTCTGCGAGCAGCTTCGAGACACGTTCATGCGCATCTGTGCGGATATGGGGCCTAACTCGGATGGTCTCGATGAGTTTACGGATAAAGCAAATGATGACACCTCTGACAAGTCTATGGCTGCTATGGGTGTTCTTAAAACTATGGGTACCTTGATTTTGAGCCTTGAGAGTACACCCGATGTCTTGAACCAGCTTGAAGTCGCAATCCTACCTGTCATTACTTTTACTCTCCAAAACTCGATCATTGATCTATTCGATGGCATCTTCGAAATCATTGACAGCTGCACCTTCTCTGCCAAGGCCATTTCCGCCAATATGTGGGGCGTCTTTGAACTCATTTACAAGACTTTCAAGGAATCGGCTCTGGACTTTATGGAAGAAATGCTACCCTCGCTTGATAACTATCTCTCTTATGGCAAAGAGATCTTTTGCGCCAACGCAAATGTACAGCATTCTATCTATGACATTATTGAAACTGTGATGAAGAGCGATCGTCTTTCTGAGAATGACCGTATACAGGCATGCAAGTTGGCAGAATCATTTTTGTTAAACTGTCGTGGTCATGTAGACAAGTATGTGACCCCGATCTTGAACTTGGTCTTTTATTACTTGGCCCCTGAGGAGGGAATCGAAACGACAGAATTCCGCGTTCAAGCTACGGAAGTTGTAATGAACGCTCTGTACTACAATGCTACGGAGACTTTGCGCGTTTTGGAAGAGAACCAATGGACTCAACGCTTCTTTGAGGTCTGGTTTGCCAACCTAGACAAATTTACGCGTGTCCATGACAGGAAGCTATCCATATTTGCGCTCTGTGCCATCCTCAACGTCCCTGTGGAGAAACTTCCTCCAACCCTCCATAATGCTTGGCCTCAAGTCTTGAACGGCATTCTCCGCAATTTTGAACGTCTTCCTGTTGCTCAAGCTAGTAAGTCGTTCGTCATTATAGCCCACGAAAAAAAAAAAAAAAAAAAAAAAAAAAAAAAACGTTATTTTTTGATGATCTATGGTTTTCCTTCTTTGTTTATTGACTATAGTTTGTACTTTCTTTTTTACTATCAGAGCGCAAGGAAATGGAAAAGCTGTACAATATTGGATCGGACGATGATGATGACGATGACGATGACGATGATGATGAAGATAGTGATAATGAAGGACAGACTGCCCTCGAGGCCGCTCTTGCAGGAGATGATGAAATTGAAGAAGAGTGGGTGGATGATGAAGAGGATGTCTACGATGAAGGTCACGAGTACCTTGAGTATTTGGCTCAGCAGGCTGCCAAGACCCGAGCTACTGGAAATGACGGTGAAGAAGAGGACGATGATGAGGATGACGATGAAGACTCGGACAGCCTGCAGGAAGAGATCTACTTTGAATCGCCCTTGGATGACCTGGATCCTTATGTGGTCTTTCGTGAGGTCTTGACTGGTCTCCAGCAACACAATCCTGCCTCATACCACGAGCTCACAAAGGCCACTACGCTAGAGCAGCAAGAGCTCATTATGAACTTGCTCCAGATTGCAGAGGCCAATGCTGCTGCTGCAAGCGAGACTGCTGCCGCTAGTGAAGCTTGAACAAAGCATTCTGGAGGAAATAAGTATCTGGGGAGAATATCACAAGAACCTACTGACTAAGTTCGTTTAGAAAGAGTTAATAAAAAGTCGTCTCTTTCTTGTTTTTTGTCTCTCTCTTCAAGTCCCCATTATTTTATTTTTTACTCTTTAGAAACCCATATTATGATACTTTAAGATTTCAAAAATGCTAACTAACTCTTCTGCAATCCCACCACGCAACTGCGATAAAAATGACGGTTATGGTTATGTGGAAGACACTGAGTTTGATAGATATTATCCAATAGATGATAGACACTGGCTGTTTTCAGTGCCATTTTGACCCTTCGTGCTCTTCGAAGTGCCTTGGCCTCCTCTCGATGGCCCTCAAGAAGCAATGTTGACTCTTGTACATGCATCTCACGAATCCATTTTTGATCTGGAGGATACGAATCTTCGTCGGTTTCTTTCTTATGATTACCTCGTCGGCTTTGATTTTGCTTTTTAGAAGATGATGAGGATGACATTAATAACGATGTGGTGTTTTTGTTTGCCAAGACTTGTGCTTGTGCTTCTTCCTGCTCCAGCTCTTGTTCCTGGACATCCCATCGTTCGCGTAGCAGTTGAGACTTGTAAACCTTTGCCCAATCAGCCAAGTCAATCACTACAACAGATCGGCCTCGAATTCCAACACTATCACTGTCTTGAGTGATTGAAGGTAGTGAGATAAGGGACAAAGAAGAAACGTCTTGAGATGATGAAGTCGAGCAAGTGCTGCTACGAGAAGGCAAATTGTTATGCCTCTGTGTGACGCTTTGTGTCTGTATCTGAATCCGCGTTCCTGGGCACGGACGAGTACAAGGTTTGTTACGAGAGATGTGGACTCGGTTATTGCCGGCTTTGGAAGATGATGGTATGTCCAGAACCTCGGCTTTACCTTTGCCGTTATGGGAGGTATCACCATTGCCGTTATGGGGGGTATCACCATTGCCGTTATGGGGGGTATCACCATTGCCTCTACAACCAGAACTAACGCCCATGTCCGTATCAGCAATATTATAATAAAAAATATCATCGTTTTGAAGCTTCGCTGAGGTGGGGTCTTCCCGATTACCATCTCTGCACCTACTTGTCATCAGGCCTGTATAGACTCTTTCATCATTTTTATCAAGGTACCTATCGCCTCCATGGGTCGGGATGCTGTATCTCAGACAACAACCCTGCATGCTAGTAGAAGGATCGTGGCTCATATTCCTATCTTTTTCGTCAACCTCGCTGCTGCTGCTATCTTCGTCATTATGATCTTCCTGATACGATTGACCACATCGATGGCGGTGGTAATCCCTTTCCGCGCTTCTATCCTTTCCAGGACTTGAGGTTCTGATACAGCTCCTATGGTGATGGCTATGGTGGACGCTGTGCCAGTGAACACAACAAGGAGCAGTCGCATAGTGAAAATGGGTTCCACCTTGATAAAAGTTCCGCACGCTGTCCGTCATCCTCGTCCGAAGTGCCCCTCCATTCCCTGAAGGACCGATTCGCCTCTTGCGATTGCTATGGTTTTTTAAATGTTTTTGACGAATGGAATATGAGCATGAGCGCGTGGAATGTATTTCTTGAGAGCTCCTTCTGCTGCTCTTACTACAGTCATTTTTGCCATGTATGCTATGTCTGCAAGGTGTGGTAGAAATGGTGATATTGGTGGCAGCAGGGGGATGAGATTCTATGGGAGTATATGAAATAGGCCAAAATTGTCCGCCTCGACGGGTCCTTGGTCGAGTAGTAGATGTGTTAACATGCACATCCAAAAGCGATGTTGATAAAACAGTTGATCGGGCGCATTTGCACGATTCGGTATCAACTAAAGACGATGCTGATATGGGCTCGGGCTGTAGCCTTGAAATGCAAGAAGGACGAAGCAGAGGGCTGTTAATACTAGTGCTATTGCTGTTGCTGCACTTGTTACTTATTTGAGAAACATATTTGTGGTAATCGTCCCTACTACTGTGGTTAAAGCTGCGGGTGGGATTATGACCATGACAGCTGTGCTCGCGCAGCACCAAAGCGCTGTCGTTGGTATTCCCATCTTGGTCATGAAGATCCTTGACAGGAACCATAGCGACAGTAGCAATAATATCAATGTCAGCATCGCTAGTATTACCGCCAGTACCGAAATATTTCCGCCGCCTCACACTTTCATCGTCCTTATTATAAGACTGTATCTCCAGAGGCTGTTTCTCTTTACTTTCAATGTTGTGTAGCTTCTGTCGTGCAATAGAGACATCTCGCCAGCTCTCGAATGGCTTTTGCGATTCAGACCATCCAAAGAGTGTCCACTCTACATCCTCTTCATTCTCTTCCTTTTCCTTCCTCTTTTCCTTCTCAAAGAAACCGCCATCATCCTCTGGGAGATAAATTCCAGTAAAGTCACTCTCTACTGAAGAAATTGTTAGCATTCCATGCCGTAACTCTCGCCGAATAACTTTACCAACGGCCTGACAACAGCTTTGTTGATCTTTTAAATCTCGAGCCATTTCTGGTAACATCTTGTTATGGATTGTGTCCGACAGCAGAGGCTCTAGTTCTCCAACTGTGCGTAGAATTTGAGTCTGGAGATGCCGTATCGCATGTCGATGCAAAAGCAGGAGCTGATGTACCTCTGCACAAAGCCGAAAGTGGAGTAACGCAAGGCGGTCCCTGTAGGTGCTGTGGAGCGCAATAAAATGATCTGTCCAGCTTATGAAACCCTGTCCTTCATTGTGATCCTCCTGAACATCGTTCACGTCAGCCATATCCCTACCATGACTATTGTGGCTGGCAATGTCACTACTGCCGGCACGAAAGAGCGGAGGAGGGGAGCTGGAGGATGAGGATGAAAGTGGATATAAAGAGGCGGATTTATGTGTGTTTCCGTCATAGCCGTTAGTCATACAGTAATCCTGATACTGATCCATCCAGTTATTATTAATTCGCTTGCTTTCTGCTAGGTGTGCAGGCGAATTATTGTTAATGAGCCTGTTCTTGGTCTCTTCTTCTGGTGCAGTAGCAGCAATAGCAACAGGAATAGTAGAAACTTTAGGTGCTTGCTCATCCTTGGATGTTGATCGATTAGTTCTGGAACGCAGAGGTCGACAATCACTTTCCCCTATATCCGCATAGCTACCATACTCCCCATCACTGACCCTGTTTACCCCTTTGCCACTATAGTGATCTCGAGGCTTTTGGTGTTTTATTTGCTTTTGTTCCTGTGTTTGCTGTAGGAGTGTCTCATTTTCATGCCCTCGTCGCTTTGCTTTGTGAGCTTGTAGGGCCTCCGTCATGGTCTGGAACTTGACAACCCTCGGATTTACGTGGACATTAGTCTGTACGAGTGGACTCGGATATTGTTGTGCATAAGGCCTTGGAGGGGAAGATGTGAGAATAATGGGGCTTGCTTTGTTGAGAAGATGGGAAGACACCCTATCTCTGGCAGATCCTGAGCCATCGCTACTTCTATCGTTGAAAATGCTATGACCATCATAGTTACCATGGTATTGGACAACAGATGCTGCTGATGCTTTTTCGATTGATCTTATCTTGGTACTGACATTGGGGGTAGCTTCATTATCCAGGCCATCTTCCTTCTCGACAACCAAACTCCCTTGGAGCGATCTAGGGATGGTCATCATCATCGCAGGCCTGCCTGCTTCGTTACGACTGTGCCTTTCAAAGGCATTTCTGATTCTTCGACCCACTATTTATATATATATATATAAGTCAGTCAGCTAAACAGCCAGTCAGTCATACCCAGATACTCTTTTTTCCCCCTATTGTCTAAATAAGACTACTTACTACGTAAAAAGACCTCTTTTTTACTTTTTACTCTCAAAGGATCAACATTATTGGTTGTACAGGATAAAATGACCGTGTCATGATTTCGATTGTTCATGTCGTGCCTGTGCTTGTATCTATGATTGCGTTCAGAATGATGACCCCTTGTAGAACGAAGAGCTATCCTGTACTAGAATTTCAGGAAAGGAAGTGGGTTTAAAAAAAAAGTCAACTAACGGAAAAAAATGGCTACAGAGTAAAAATAAAGCGCATGTAAGAGATTGGCGAAAGCAGTTGAAAAGTATCTTTTTTTTTTTTTTTTTTTTTTTTTTTTTTTAATGATTGCCTTTACTGTAACTTTTACTGTAGAACACATCTAGCTTCTACACAAAAGGCTTCTTTCAAAAGTACTGAATAATAGAAAAAAGTTTCCACATAACAAGTGTTCTTTGTCATGTCATTATGGGCTCTACAAAAAGGTTATTACCCTCCGATAGTTTGGTCCGCTTTTTTACTGCTGTAGCAACAGGCCAATGCTTTTCAATGATCCTTCTTGGCCACAATGGGGTATTTTTATATTTATACTATCGATTTTTTATTTTTTTTTTATTTTTTTTTATTGATTCCTGTTTTATTGTCGCTTATGTCGCCGTGGCGACATTAACATTGATTTTTATTTTCTCTTTTCATATCTGATCCAATGCGTCTAAAAAAATTCCACAAACAAATTCAATCTGTGGTATGTCACGTGGGCTACTTCCGTTTTATTGAGCACGAGCATGTGCAGCAGGCTGCTGAACAGCGGCTTGACCAAAGCGTGTGATCGCGCCACGGATAGTGGTGTATCCTTGAGCAACTACTGGTGGGACATTGGGATTGCCGCCTGGAGGCACAATCAAATTGTCAAGGCGTGCACGGATTAATGCGAACGCAGCACGGGTGTGCAAAGAGAAAAAATAACGGAAGCGCAGGAAGTTGGCATACACAATAGGCGATAAGAAAGACGATTGGAAGCTATAAAATAAAATAAAGCAAAAAAAAAAAAAAAAAAAAAAAAAAATACGTGTCATTATTAGTTATTGAGATGCACTGATAATGTCTATGTTATTCAAGTGAAAGGGAAAGATACATACGTAATGGCACCAAAGATTAACGAGCCCATGACTCCAACAACCTCGACGTAGGCGACAAAAGCCATGGCACCTGCATGGTTCTTTTCAGTCCAAACTTGAATCTTGCGTGAGACATTGGCAACCCAAGCATGAGTAGGGTCTGTTGTACCAGCTGGGAGTGAAGGGAAGATGGCAGGAAGGATATTTGTTCTGGCATAGTTGAGCGAGTTGAAAAATGCAAAGATAGCATACGGAATCAGAGGAGCTAGCGGGGATTGAAAGTATTCACATTTGGTCGTAAAATAGTCAAGTCATCAGTCAAAAAAACTGGTCTGAACGAAATGCAATTTATCCTTCTTTCCATATTTTCTGCCTTTAAGTATTCGTTTGGACTACTTACCAAGCATGGGTGTCGATCTCCACCAGAAGAAAGCCATGAGCAGATATTGGACATTTTCCTAGGTTGACCAATCGAGATCATATGTAAGGCATCAATACTTATTATTTCTTAATTAAGCGACTAAAAGACTGCAATAAAGAACACTACAGGAAAATATGCAAATAAAATTGGCAAGCTCCCTTACCTCGCTAAAAAGAGTCTGAACAAACTCTACTGTGAATTGGATATTCTATTCGCATGACAAAAGAATTTAAAGAAAAAAAAAAAAAAAAAAAAAAAGTGAGAAGGGAAACGCATTAAGCACGGTCCATGCATGTCAACACCTTCTTTTTCATGCATACACTCCTTCCCCTTGAACAGTCCGCAGTCCCGAGTCCGTGTGATAGAAAACAAAGGTATCATGTTTGCGCGTAATTTAATTTCACTTTTCTTTTCGCCAAGAGATAACAGGTGTGACCAGAAGAAAACGATGCATGTTTGTTTATGTTTAAGCATTTGCTCTCTCACAAATCCTACTCTCTCTCTTTGCTCCATGTTTCGTCATTTTTTTTCTTTTTTTTTTTTTTTTTTTCCTTCGTCGTTAGGGTTCCAAAGGCGAGGGATGACAGAATGCAAAAGCAAGCACTTTTTTTAAGCTAGGTGTTGATCATTGTAAGAGGCAGAAGCTGCTTCAAAGGAGAGATAGATGAAATTAAAAAGTCCTGCTTCGAAGTCAACCTGTTGGTATTGGGTGTGGTGACAAAAGCCCTTTTCCAGAACGCCAAGAATCATGTTAAAGTAAATAACATTAAAGCATGAGTATAATAAAAAGTTGATCCAACTCGATGATGCCATCTCCGTGGAGTATATTTGTGCACGCTGCTGTTACCAAATACTTGCTGCTGTTTACTGCCATTCGATTTGACATGAATAATATTCAATTCGAAAGCGCTGGATCAAGTGGGCACTGCACCCAAAGTCACAGCCAAATAAAGCGAAAATAGACAGATAGAGGGTGACATGGCTACTTACAGGGAATGACTTATAGACGACGACACTGTAGCTGACAAGCGCTCCAAAGAAAGCACGCGTATACCAATGCGTTCCAGCTTTGGAATTGAAAGTGATCCAATATAATGCATAAAATGCAGTGGACACCAGCATCATCACATGGCCCAACCACCAAATGAATTGGGGGCCCTAAACAATTCAATGAACATGATGTCAGATCAGCAACAACGAGCGATGACTCTTCTTTTAAGGCGTGCAAACACGCACAATGAAAGAAAGAGAAAAGAGGGAAAAAAAAAAAAAAAAAAAAAAAAAAAAAGGTCCCTAATTCAAGTGATTCATGTCCTAGCCCATAGTTATGATGACAAGAGGCTGATCATTCTTGTGTGTTGATGTACTGTGAGAGAGCCAATCCATGCATAAAACTTCCAATACAGACTTCTGAAAGCGGTACGTCATGCTTGTTGTTGCCTTTGATATCCTCAGCTTAATGGTGAAAGCACTTCTCATCTGTCAGTCTGCCGGTCTGTCTATGGATCCTTTGTATTGCACATACATTATTGCCCATTTTTATTCCAATCATACGACCCTGCCCATATTGCTTTGCCGCTTTGTTCTTTCCTCAGTTGGCATGCCTTTCATTGCTTTACTCTTGTTGATTTTTTTTCTTTTATATATATATATTTTGGTCTTTACCTTGACAAGAGCCGTGAGGCGGTCAGCGAGCGTTGACGGGATAGCAGCTGGAGGCATAATTGAAGATATGAATACGTGGATTTAAAGTCTTTTCGCTTGTAACCGCGTTTTCCTGGTGCTTGTAAACGAAGAAAGAAAAGTGATATGAAAAAAGAGAAAAAGAGTGTGGGAGTCAAAGGTTGATCTTGGATAACGCATCATGCCATAACGCATCATATCCTAAATTTATCATATGTCATATGATATGCTATTTAATAATGTTACAGTTAGACTTAGACAAAGCTATTACTGGAGATGTAATAATTAACTGGTTGGATTCACGTGAGGGATCGAGCAACCGGGGCTGCACATATGATACGGGACATGAGAAGCTACAAGGAATGTAGAATAGGATTAGGATAGGAATCTATCCTAGCTGTCTTCAAAAGGTCCATTCAAATAAGAGCTGATTCCTATCTGAATCGTAAAGTATTAAAAAAAAACAAGGATGCCCTTCATTTCACCTTTTTTTTACACACGAGTTTTACGCGAACCTACACAATTCAAAAGACATAGTAGACAATCGATAGGATGCGTGTGCTGCATTGTGAGAGGCAAAACGGTGAGGCACATGTGCTCGTTAATGATTGTTTGTACGGAATGTATTTATCCTTTGTCTCAACGTGTTGGGCCTCATGCCATATTTCAGCACGCGAATATTAAATATCTTTCTCCTAAACTCTGTTCGAGCTTACGAATCAACTTACACAAACCTATTGAAGAAGGAAGAAGAAAAAAAAAAGAGCATAGCGAGATGTAAGAGAGAAAATTGGCATGCCAGTTTTTTATTGCTTGAACCATGTTGTTTACATTGTTTACACTGTTTACACTTAAAATAAAAGGCTGACTAACAACAAATTGACAAAGGTTGATTTATATCTTTCTGGGAATACTTTCCCAAGGCGACACGAAGAATAAGATAAAAAAAATCTTGAGAGCATCTGAAAGTGAGAACACGAAGAAGATCAATAAACTTGGTAGGCTTATTCAAAATACTTCCGGTGGGGTTGCATAGACATAAAGGTATGTACAAAAACAAGAGAGTCCTTGTTTTTTTTTTTTATTTTTTTTATTTTTTATTTTATTTCATCCAGTCTTGGCATTGTCAGTGATCGAATTCCTTTCTTTGTAACATAGTTGACAGTCCTCAAGTTACTTGGATGTTTACAAGATTGGTAATAAGAGTCGTTCTGGTTTGATGAATTGAATCAACGCACGACGAACAGAAGGGGTTCCCAGCATAGTCCGAAAGACAAACTCACTGACATTCGTCAATCCAATCTGATATTTTAGGGGAACATGAGATGAAATAGACAATAGTAAAAAATATTTAACAATGCTCCTCATGGAAACTTCAGATTAAATATATATACATGCACATATATATAATAAATAGAAAAATTGCTCAAAAACAGGTTGCTAAATAGAAAAAAGATGAGAAGAGATAAAGGGTGACGGCTCGGTTAGGAAGACGACCCAACTCAGGTTTACGACGACCGACGGCTGCACACATTCGGAGCTCTTAATCACACTTTAAGGTTTTCAACGGTCGAAATTTGCTCCACAAATGGGCATCCACCCTTTTTCATGCTCATTTGCAATGCATGTGTGATTTTTATGTTCATGTTATACAAGGTTTGCAAGGTGTTCTTGCTTGTCTAATGTTGTATTCTACCCTTACTAATGTTTATTTTATTTCCTTCTTTGATGGAACTGATGGGCCATACCTTGTTATTTACAAAACAGAAGCATGAGTTGACATATTGATTCTAATAGAATAAAATAAAAAAGGAACCATAAAGTGATCAGTGTTGTCAGGATGTCATTGATAGCGGCATATCCTTTTTGTTACTCTTGTGTCGCAACGGATCAAAGTTACCAGTCATTTAGGGAAAACGTGATATCCTTGATCGACAGAATAGTCATCTATAGCTGTATAAGTGAAATAAGTCAAAGCCACATGTAATGGTTTTTATTCTTCTATTACATGAGTTGGTAGAAATGAATCTTTTTTATACAGCACCACACGCCTTCATATGTCAGCTCGGATTGAATGCTAATTTTATTATCATTATGGGAATGTGAAATTATTATGTATTTTTTTTTTTTTTTAAAAAAAAAAAAAAAAAAAAAAAAGTATAGCAAAGCAATTGTCTACAGAGATGAAAAGAGAAATACAAAAAATAACTAAAATAAAAAGTGATAATGATAATATTAATATGTATGTAGTTGGATAGGAGCTATGTACAAGATGAACTCATGAAGATGTTTCTCCACGAAAGACTCGAAAGATAGTATTGCCTTTTAAAAGATAGGAAGCAAGGACGAGATAGGAGGCAATGTCCTGCTAAATTCTGGTCCGAAGCTCAGTCCGTTATTGTTGCTGCTGTTGTTGCTACCATTGCTATTAGAATTATTATTGCCGCTAGGGGTGGGTGGAGGAAGCGACAAGTTGGTTGAACCATTCAAGATGTCACTGATGCGATGGCTGCAGTTATTGCTGTTCTGATGGTGATGCTGGTGCAAGTTATAGTTGGTCTCCATCAGCGAAGGAAGACTAGGCTGGAGTGCAGACTGCTGTTTGAATTGAGGATAGGGCGCTACTGCATACCGAGTCGAGCTCACACTGTTATAACGTGGGGATGTGGGGGGGGAGTAAGGAGGAGTTTGAAGCATGCTTGTGTGCTCTGCAAACAAATCGCTGTTGTTACTGATGTTATTAAAGCTGGCATGTTGAGATACAAAAGATCTATCCACGTTAGATTGAACAGCATTGGGAGGATGGATGGGCGTCATCCTAGCCCAAGATGGGACTTCAGGCATAGAATCCTCCGATTCAGAATGATAAGGCGAGACGGATGAACGCGCAGAGCTGGCAGGCGAATGAGAAGTAGACTTCTTTCCGCTGTTTGACCTGGCTTTGAGATTCTCGGGCTTGCGGCTCCTGTTACGGATGACATGTGTTCTGGTGTGTTCGCGAAGGGCATCTGAACGCGTGAAGCCAAGGCCACAGCTCTCAACTGGACAGACAAACAGCTTCTCAGAGGTATGGGAACGGATGTGACGAGCAAGATGACCAGATCGAGTGAAGGATTTATAGCAATTGGGCACGGGACAGATATGCTTCCGGGCCCATTCTGCAGATTCGAGAGCATGGAGATATTCTTGATAGGTAGCATAGTGATGAGGAGAGGTGGAGAGAATGTCTGCATTACCGGTCTTGCAGGCAGAGGTATGGGCCTTCATATGACGAGTGAGTTCATCTGATCGCGAGAAGCGTTTGTCACAGTTGGGAAAGTCGCAAGGATGAGGTTTTTCGCCAGTGTGGGTGCGGATATGACGTGTTTGGTGCTCTAGACGAAAGAAAGATTTATCGCAGAGATGGCATTCATATGGACGAACAGCCTGTTCGGGAGCATCATGATCTGAATCAGCACTGGAGGAAGTAGGGGTGCCAGACCTGCTGGTATCCCGACTCTTGTCTACTGGAGCAGGATCATTCATGATAGTAGCGAGTGAAAAGGATGAAGGAGAAGAGGATGTAGACGACATTGTTGTGATGTATCCGTGTGTAAGCGATAATTGTTGGCTATTGTAAGCTTATTTGTATGTACGTTGTGTGGAAAGAGTGGTGTGTGTGGATATTGTTTGGATGATCGTGTGTTTTAGTTTATTGTGTTCAAATCTCAAGTCAAATGTGAAATAGAACAAGGGTCGTTTCAAAAGAGAGGTTAAGGACAATAGAGATAATGATGATTAGTTGAAGTGAAGATAATGAAGAGAAAGAACAAGAGAAAGAGAAAGAACAAGAGCAAGAGCAAGAGTATGAAGGGAAAGAAGAAGAAGAAATGAAAAGAAGAAAATGAAAAGAAAAGAAAAGAAAAGGACGTCGAAGGAGGAAGAGCGGGGTGGGGAAGAGTTCCCTTTTATACCGACCTTTCCTTCCAAGGAGAAGGAAGGGTAGGGGTCTAGCATAGGTTCGGTTGCGCAAAATGTGAATGCGAGCAAACAGAGAGACCGACAGATTTAATAAACAAAAGTAAATAGTAAATAGTGAATATTTTAAACCTTTAAAATCTTCATCAATATAAAAATATTATAGATATACTTACTAACTTGTAACTTTGCGGGCTTCCACTGAAAAGTGGTGTGATTGTGTGGTTGTTGACAGGGGTGCGTCTTTTTTTTTGTATTGGACTGAATAGTGATAATGCTCACATCTTAGCAAGGATCAAATATTCTCATTATATGCATGTTTTTATATTCTTATACTGTAATATTTTATATTTTATTTTTTTAACCGCAACAAACATATGTCGTCTTATCAAACCAGCTTGTTTATATGGTTAGCAAATCACAACCACGGCCGCTTCTGTCTTGTTCTCGATCCAAATTTTGGACCCCTCCTCGCCATTCTCAGTCAACCCTCCGTTCCATTCTCGTCACTTATTCTCAATACATCCTTGTTGAAGAAATCAGAAGAGTAGATAGATAATGGCAATAGAGTCCATATCATTGTAACGAAATGATCATCCGATCAAAAGGTCAACAAACTGACCTGAAGAACACTTTTTGACTTCTTAAACAAATAGAGAAAGAAAATGTTATAAGAAGCACATCGTTCAGTTGTGTTCTTGTGCACGTTTTTATTAGCTATTCTCCACGTTCATATTAAAGTGCCAGATGTGATTTCCTTTTACGGATATCGCATATGTCAACATAAAAAATAAAAAAAGACAGAATGTTAGCCATTACTGAATATATATAAATATATATATTATGCGTATAACACATACAGATATATAAATATGTATATATATATATATAATATTTTACTTTTTGTAAAGAAAAGTGGAGGGGGAGAGTGCTTGGCCCGTCCTCTCAAAGAAAAGAAAGACACAAATAGGGACATTAGAGAACATTGCAATAAGTAAAACCGTAAGCATGTGAAAGTGAGCAATGTGGAGTGTGCTGGGAAAGAAAATAAAATATGTTAAATTTATTTTATAACACTCTATACTTTTATTCGTATAACATGTCATTTGTATCGATAAATTTGTCAAAGTGATCCTCGATCCAATAGTTGAGCACTTAGCCCTGCTCCATCCTACTCCACTCCACTCCGCTCTTTCCTTCAAAAATGAATATAAAGATATATGGAATTGTATTTTATTAGACAATGAATCCGAGACCGACGAACTGTCGTCACACGCGCCCATAATATCCATCGGTATTCGCCAGATTGATCCATCCATTATCAAAGGCAAGAACAAGCTAAACAAAAAGAAGAGTAACTGATGGCCCTATAACGGTCCGAAATGTCTGTCCTTATTTATATACTTTTATTTTTTTTTTATAAACAAGGCAGAAAAAGGTTCACATATTCACGAATAATAATTACGTTGCATATCAACTTGTCAAGAAACAATCTACATGCACCATCTATAATTGTCTGTTAAACCATATCTCTTCACCATGTCGTGTTAGTTATATAAAACAAAATAAACATGCGCGTCTAAACGTGGTCGGTATCAAGCTCTACAAGACCCACTTTGAGATAGAGCCGAATAGGCAACGCACAGCATTCTACATGTTTGTTTATTAGCCTCGCACCACAATAACAATGCCATGACCAGCTAACTAAGACTAAAAAAACGCGCGTCGCATCATTACATCAGTCTCTGTACCACCAAACAACAACACTGGTATTTGCGTTTACGTTATTGGCATTAAGCGAGAAAAAGCAAACCACAGAATCAAATTAGAACCAATACTTGACAGTGGAGACGCCCCTTCCTACCTCCTACCTTTTTATTTTTTATTTCATTTTTTTTTTTTATATACGTGGTGTATCCTTCTATTCGTTCATTTGCCCCTTTCATTGCGGCATTAAGCCTCGGTAAAGGCAAAAGGCCCGACTATACTTACGCCTGCACCTGCTTCATCTATTTATTGTTGAAAAAAGGGAAACTTGGGGAGGTGCCCTGTCTATCGCCACATCCTCGCTTTTTTTTTTTTCTGCAAATTCTTTCTTTCAAAGGCTATCCGCGTATGCAATTTCCACAGCATTTTCCAGGATGCATTATATCCCCCATACGCCGAGGCCAAAACCTCATGTAAGACAAGAAAGACACTTCACAAAGAGGTTGTGGAGCAAGGGAAAAAAGAGTGGAGTAAGGGAACATGTTTTGACGAGTGAGACAATTAACCTAAGCACAGCTCATCATACCATCTGTACTTTGACAAACTTTCGTTCTTTTTTTTTTTTTGTGGTTGTTGCCAATGTTATTTTCTCTTGCTAACTGAAAGTGGCCCGAGTTCTGACCACTTTTCAGGGGCTGACCCGATGGCAAATATGATGGTATGTTGGTCATCCCCAAAGAATAGGAGTTTAGACAAAAAAAAAAAAAAAAAAAAAAAGGCCGGGTTCACGATTTCAGTGGCAAATACAACGCTGACGAGTGGTTTTATGTCATCTCTATCAGCATTATCATTGAGGGGTCAGGCCCATGATATTCGACTTGGTCTCTTTCTCCTTCGACTTTTGTGACGACCTGGGTCTCTCCAATACAATTTATATCTATCGTCTTGATATCTCCGCATTTCGTGAAAAAATCACAAGCCTGCCTCTTTACCATTTCTACCGCTATCATGCTAAATGCTCTACCCCAAGAATGAAAAAAGGAGACGCAGAGTACCTTTTTTATGCCAAGAGAAGAGAAGACAGAGAGAGAACAAAGCATCTGTTTGTAACAAAAGATAGAAGGAAGAGAAGGACAGTGCGCGTGCACCAGGTAATCTGTATTATCCGTTTCCTCCACAAAAGCAAAAGGCATAAATAATAGAGGAAATTGCCCTCTCCTTGTATCCTTTGCATTAGTCACTGAAGGAAAGGCAGTGGAACAGGGGAGAATAAAAAAAAAAAAAAAAAAAAAAAAAAAAAAGGCCAACTCCGTTCGTATTTTTTTTTTCTTTGCTTCCTTGACTCACCTCCTAGTCAACAAGGGAAACAATAAGACAAAAAGGAGGAAGTTAACAAAGTAAAGTAGTGGTTATCGCTTGTAAAAGTTGGCAGAGAGAGTATGGACAGAACGGACAAAACTTTCGTCTCCACAACAGAAAGTCTTGGCCTTGGCAGCCGCACATGCCATTTTAATCCAAGAACACGTCTTGAAGCAGACGACCCTTATCTAAATGAACTGTTTCAATATCCATGGGAAGAGAAGAATTGATTGATCAGAATGGAGTCTGTCTATAACTGTCTTCAAACAATAGTCCTTGGTTCTCTCTTCGCAACTCTTGAACTCTCGAAGAGCTCAGAAGGGGAGGAAAGAGAGAAGACCAAATAAATAATAATGTTAATAAGAATATACAAAGAAAAAAAAAATCAGTACAAAACGCGTAAATCCTCTAGATCCTATGATTCCAACGTATCACTTGAAGTATACAATCAGATCTTTTGACCATATGTATGCAAGTTTAGACACATGGATGAAAAGAAGAAGATCTACTGATTCGAATGAGAAAGGAATAGATGGAAAAAAGATGACCGATGGTTTGTATCTATCGATGGTGTATGGGTGTACGTACATATAAGAAAAAGGTATGACATGAATATTTTAACAGGTGATAACTCCGTCTATCTCATTGTTTTATTCCAATGCTCCTTCAATGCTGTACTGTAGTCAAGTTGAATGACTTTCCAATTAATGCTCCATGCACTAGACTAATAACTTAGGCCTTTTCTGAACTCTGCTTTGGATAAATGATTTCAATGATAGTATCCAAATGTATATTATATGTAACATTATTTAGCATTCGTTTATATCTCTTAGTTTATATAATAATTAAATGTTTCTTGATGGCCCTGGAAAAGGGATCACTTGGGCCTGTAGGCTGCTAAGCCATCCAATCGGATAGAGACGGGTGAATAATTAATAGTCCGATCCTAGCCGAACCGTTGAATCTCCTCCCATGTCCCTGAAAAGTCATCATCGTGCTCAATAGCTAAGGTTTCCGGTAGCCTTTAACGTCATACGTTTTTCTAGACTCCATAAACATTCTGATCACAAAAAACAATAGCTGGATATTACATGTATATTATATATATATACATAATATGAGCACGACTAAGGTAAAACATGGTTGAACAAGATGTATGATTTTTATGGGGATGGCATGCCATGGCTCGCATCAGTCAACATCCGTTACTTGATCTAAAAAAAAAAAAAATAGACGCTCAATTTTCTTTATTTTAGAGGACAGAGGATACCACTCCAGTTGAAATTACTCAGACACTTTGCATCCATCTTTGAAATATCTTTTTATTTCGCCCACCTTCTCAATTGCAATTGTTTGCCTAATCGAGCAGAACCGTGAAAAACAAGTCCACATTAGACAGGCTTTCCAAAATATGTTTTTCGCAAAAACAAATCTGTGAAATTCGCATGTGAAGACTTGGTATAGACAGGGAAATGTGGAGGAAGGATCGAAAATAGGTTGGTCAAAAACGTGTTTGATGGGAAAAGGTGTTTGTACATTGTATAAATATATTTATAATAAGATTTTTTGAGCAACAAAGTAAATAAAGAGGTATAGAAGAATATTAAGGTAAGCAATTTTGTTACTTTTATACAGGTTTACATGGTTCCTTGACACGAGTCAAAGTTGAATGTGGCCCCTGCACTTTCATGTGAAATCGGTTAGAAACTAAAAAAGAAAAAAAGCGTAGCCATGCTTTATTTAATATACTCTTTGTGATCATATTCCTAATGCCTTTTAACCCTGAAGAACCTTGATGACTCAGACGAGGCCATATGTTAACCATAAGATGTAGTAACTCAGCCCACAATTAAAGCTAGGCCAACGTGGGACAACAACACAAATCAATATAGGATAAATAATGATGAAAGAGTTGCCCATGTTCAGCCACCAGATTCTTGACTTTTCTCCTCATAGTTGCTATTGCGAAATACGTCATACTAAGGAACCTTTTGTATGAATGCTAAATTAACTAGAATCAGAAGAAGGCCATTAAAAACCGTTTTTATCATTGTCGCTATCATCTCAAGTCATGTTCTCTTTAGTTGTTTGGACTGGAGAGGTTTCTTTTTTTTTTTTTTTTTTTTTTTTTAATCAGCCTTATCATTATCTCTTTCAACATTATTGTTCCAAAACGGGCCTTCATCGGCTATTGCAGATCATCATTTCCTTTAAGGCTAAAAACTTAGTCAATTGTTTTCCAAGTCGGATGTTATAATTGTCCGAAGGTGGGGAGTACATACGCAGTACATGGAAATGTTCTTAACCTTTTCTTTTTGCATCCACTTGTACAAACAGCTGATTGATTCTTCTTTTTCATGTACTCCATCTCTTCTTTCTTTCATCACTTCATTCAAATATTAATGATCTATAGGATATGGGACGGCATATTATGGTATGAGTTTCTCTGGAAACAAGTTAATAATATCTACTAGGCGTGGCTTCCCGCAATACTGTCATTTTCTTGCAACTTTATCAGTTTCATGAAAACAGAAGACATATTGCATCTCTTGATCATTACCATCATCGGGATACCATTCCTCCTTATCATCAAACTTAGGGGCCTATATGGGTGATTTGTACTGAGATTGTGTTACGTATCTTCTATTCACTGCAATAACCGACCATGTCCAAAAAATAAATTAGCGTTGAAGTTGGTTCTCCATCATAACCTCCCATGCCTGCGTAGTTTGGATTTTGCTTCATTCTTCATCCAAGCAAAGCTCCTAGCTAGAATTGAGGGTCCATTTCTTGAGCCAGATCAATAGCATCACCCGGATGTTGGGGAGGTATACAGTCGCCAGAAAGCTTTGGTTTCTGTAGCACCAAAGCCGGGTTAGCAGCTCATAAAATCCTCTTGGATGAGAATGAATCCAATGATCTTATCATGGTAAGAATAAAAAAATAAAAATAATACCTAACCCCTTGGAACTTGAAGGCGACACGTGGAATGCTTATAACATATAAAGTAGAGCAGTGTTGAACACATTGTACACAGCAAGAGGACAACTAATTGTCTTTGTTATCAACATCGATTTCTCTCATTGGGGTCTACGCCTCTGGCAGGTCCACATGATTTTGAGCGTTAACAGTGAGCAAAGCAGGAAGGAACATGGTAGCATCCTTTTTTGTATTTAATAATTCAAGCCATAATTACGAATATAGTTTCCAGACTAAGTAGCCATGAGAACCATGCTGCTTACCAAGCGGCATATCCAAACAATGAGCTTCATAGGTCCAATGTATGCTGTTTGCGGATGAAATCCGTATATGTCTCTTATTCATGTATTCTAGATATTTTTTCTGATTAGCGATGATGTGCCTCTGCTAACGCTTCGCACCACTGTACGTCTCTCCAACAGGCGGTATCCAAATGATCCAATTGTCGATGACGATCACCGCTCAGGCCATGCATGGCTGCCTGTAGGATCTGAAGGGAATCGCCATGGCTCACCAAAACGATCCATGTCTCCCCGTGCTCTTGCTCTTGTTCATCCGGAAGACTCGACAATGGTGACGATACCTCGCGATTTTTCATTTCTTTGCATTCGTGGTCTCGAATAACATCCGTCATTCGTTTCGTCACACTCACGACACTCTCTACTCCATATCGCTCATGAAAAGGATTAAAGGCATCCTCGCGCCAGACCCTCGCGTACAATTCGTCTGAGGGTGTTTTCATCTCAAACTCTCCAAAGAATCGCTCTCTCAAATCCATACATAATTCCGGTTCATCTTTATTTTCCATCACGATCATGCGGGTGGTTTCTGGTGATCCGGCTTCCTTACTTTTTTTAAAGGTCGTCTGAAGCTCTCGAAGGATAATACTGGCAGTTTGGATTGTTCTTTGAAATGGTGAGGTCAAGATCTTGATCTTAGCTTTCTGACCTGCCTTGGTGGATTCAAGAATGAAGTTTGACAATGATCTTGCTGACTAAATGTAAATTGAGTCATAGACTATTAGCATATGATTGATTAAAAGGCATGCTTTTCCTAATTCTGAACAGGAATATCTTTCATTACCGATGCGACCTCTTGTTTGCCTCTATCTGACAAACCAAAGCCTGTTCCTAATGGTCCGCCGGAGGTTCGAGCACCGTTCTCGAGTGATGATACGATCCTAGATTCCTGATTAGCCAGGGAATGGCCATGGCGAAATAGAATGAATTTCATGATGTGTGCATGTTCATGTGATAATTATGCATTTCTATAAAAACTCACAGTCGTCATATTTAGTAGAAGACTACCCTTAAAAGGATCTCGTTTCTCTCATTTCTCCGACAAGGAACGCTTTATTTTCTGAATTTAATTGAGAAGAACAGATAATGAAGAGTCTACATCATTCGCTGATAATTTTGCTGTTTCAAAATCTATTGCCATTGATCCAGGTGTTGAACATCTCCAACGACTCCTCAGGCTTATCATAGGGTAACATGTGACCACCCCCAAAAGCACGGAGGTAGGTCAAAGGGCCGGACGAACGGACATCGCCAGCATGCTGGCCATTTGCAATCCACTTCTTGTCACTCTTCTCCTGCATCTTGCTCTGGCCAGCCCATGGCAAGGCAATTGCCCAAGCCTTGTTACCCATCCAGTTGCAGATGAAGTCCGCATCACCAGAATACAGCAAGACACGGACACCATCGTGGAGCAAGTCAGGAACCATCAAGTGGAAAGGCTTCATCCAGTCACCTTGAAGCATAAAGCGCATGTTGATCTGCATATTGCATGATTTGTACTCATCAACCTGAGCACCGAGCTCCTGCTTAACATCATCTCTATTAAGATAATCTTGAATGGCATCCAAGATAGGGTAGCACAATCCTCCACCGCCCTCACACTTCTTGCGAACATCATAGGGGTTCTGTCCAGATTGCTGATAGGGGGCGATCATCTTGCTGTTGCAGTATGAGGCTGCGGGCAAGCAGCGGAATACAGAGTTGGTGTCATAACAAGCCTGGATTAAATCAGCACAGGTGTCATACGCGGCAGTCATCTGGTCGCACTGAGCATCGCTCAAGACAGGGCCGTAAGAGTTTCTGCAAGCCATCTCTGGGTAGTACTCGTACTGAGTCTTGGGATCTGTCAATCCATTACCAATCAAGAGTGATGCCAAGTTAATATGTTGAACACCAGGAGCACGATACAAGGGAATAGCGAGCTTCTTGTTATTGTCGTTGATTTCTTTGCCAATGGCTGGGATGTAGTGCCCCGCATAACTCTCTCCAGCAATGTGGAAGTCCAGACGCTGGTACTCAGGGAACTCCTTGAAGAAGACCTGAAGCAGAGCATAGACATCTTTGGCAGCAGTGAAGGTGTTGGAGACAGAGTCGCCGTAGGAATATCCAACATTGGTGGGCTGGTCCAAGAAAATGATAGACGAATTGGAGTTCCAAGAATAAGGGTTATAGACGGTATCAGATCCATCCTCCTTAACACTACAAGGGCCTAACTCCATGAATAATCCAGTAAGAGACGAGCAGCCTGGACCGCCATTGAGCCAGAGAGTCAGAGGATCCGATTTGGGCTTGTTGCGAGACTCGAAAAACCAGAAGAAGAAATGCTTATCGCTTCCGACATCAAGATATCCAGAATACTACACATAATAAACAACATGAAGGATTTGTTACTAACAACTGATGCAATGCATAACAGCATAACATTGTGTGATCCCCCTGTTTCCTCATCTATTCATCTATTCACTGCTAAGGGCTCTTAACTCAAATAGTTTTTTTTTTTTTTTTTTTTTTTTTTTTTTTGGCGAGTGATATCAGATATCACCATTACTGATGTCGCACCCTCAAAGACTCCTATTTATATACACACGCTTAAAAAACTTGACTTCGGGATTCATGGCGAATACACCATTCATATTCATAAACACGCGTAACAATAGCAGCAAAAAAAAAAAAGTGATACATATAGTAGGATAGAAAGCAAGCGCAAGATGAAAACAGGTGACAAGATGGACAGGAAAGACAAAAAAATAATAACATAAGGATCATGGAGACGCGGATCCAGATAATTCCCTAAGACTCCTTACTCATATACCCATATCTCTACAAGTCTGCTTTCTTCTTCTCATGCGATAATTTTAATCATTTTACCTGCTTGACATGAGGGTCACAAAGCTTGGGCTCCTTTAGACGCATCTGTACGCCAGGGAAGCTCTCGTGAGTGAGAGTGCGGGCCCATTCTGTGGCCTTGCCAACTTTGGACTTGAATTTGTCGGAAAGGTCGTCAAGGACACCGTGGACCTTTTCCTCAATATTATCCCAATTGAATTCGAGATCACGAATGCTCTGGTCCACAAAGTGGTCAGCTTCATTGAGGAGTGAATTGAATGAATCAGGCGCGGGTGCAGGCGATGCTTGAGCAGTAGGAGAAGAGAAGAGTAAAGCAGAGGTAGCAAGCGAGAGCACGCAAGCGACAGCGATGCGCTTGGAGAGACCCATGATGGATGAAATATAAGCGTTGTTCAAGTGGGCAGTTGAAGGCGAAGATGAAAAAAAAAAAAAAACAAGGCGTGAGTAAAAGTGGAGAAAGAGGAGAGGAGCAAGAGAATGTGGGAATGAAGAAAAAGGGAGAATCAATTAATATCTCTTGGTCACACTTTTGCAACGGTATTCAACCCCATAAATGGAAATGAAAGAATATCGTTTGATGCTATTTGAGAGAACACTTAGACACTTAGCTATCTGATCACCTGAATACAAGATTGGGTTCCCAAAGAAAACTAAACATTAACGCATAGAGTGTGTCAGTATACTTGTGGCCCATACGGATGAGGCATGTCAACATTTATTTATTCACAGTTGTTCTCATCATTTGGTTATGAACGTATTTTATTCTGATGAAAGAGCATGCATGTCACACAGAGTTGGTACTCAATCATTATCATTCATGTTCGTGAGAATCTTGCTAATCGTCTCAAAGACTACTAGAATTTGATGGTCGGTAGCTCTTGTAGCGATTAGAATAAGGAAATTCAAGGCTCCTCTCTACCCTTTGCTTTCTTCTAGGTCGTTCGCTTCAAGGAACATGGCGAGATATGGCTATCCAAGCCAAGGTTAGAAGGCGCAAAAAGCTTTTTATTATTGTTCTTTATTATCATCATTATTTTTTCACTTAATAGATTATGTTGAACGGCTTTTGGTGAGTTCATGAGATCGTGAGAAGAAAAGGTCAAATGAGTTGCATTGTCAGCACCACTCACGTTTCGTCCCTGTTATGATGTGCTGACAACTGAAGTAAAGGAATAGGTGGATATAACAACTACACAAGTACCGGCTGCAGTAACATCGTTATTCCCGGGCTTTGTTTTGATCTTGATCCCCTTTAGCATACGACGACTGTTGCATCTTATTGTAGAGTTTGTCATGATCCTGTTGTGCCTTCGAAACCGTATCTTTGCTCAATTGCACGCCTGTGACACGACTGCAGGCTTCAAGGACCTTGTCTGCGTGCGTGATGTCGCCCCACACCCGCTCGATATGTTCATATGCAATACCTCCATCATTACTCTGCACCACAAAGAGCCCTCCGAGTATACTATTCAATTGAGTGTATTGTATTGTTGTTGGAAGTTGTGTCAATGACATGTTGTACAAGTGATATAAACTTGCTTTTCCATCAATCAAAATAAGTTTACAGTGACTTACTGTCCATCGCCTACGAAGTTACCCTTAACGCCTGACCTCTTGTTCCGCACCAGATTCCTCCAAAATGTTGGTCGAAGCATCTGTTCCCAGCTTCCTGTGCGCATACGACCTCCGCTAAAGTGATTTGTCAATTATTTTTCGTTGCAGTTTTATAAGCTTACCGTAGTATTAATATGGATTAGATAGTCATATTATCACTCTCTTACCCAAATGCCTTGTAGAAGCCTTTCTCAGGATCAAAATAGACTTTTCCATGCCAGAATTCCTTTTGAAAGATATCTGAGCCTTCTTTCTCATGTACAATGCACACTATTTTCATGCCCTAATTATTTTGTCATCATGAAACAAGTATTAGTATTGTAGAGTACAACAAAGCATTGACCACCAACAATATTTGTGTTTCTTCTCTTATCTGTTTACCAAATTTTCCTCAATGATTTGCCGATTTTCGTGGAATATTTTGGCCTCCTCTCTACAGAACTGGCATCCAGGACGACGGATCACTAATCAAACCAAATAAGGACGTAAATCCGTGTTCAGATATAGTGTATGTGTGCCGATTCGAAAAAGTAACTGGGATTGCAACTTCGATATCTTTGTACCAATGATGATAGTAGGCTGGTACTTCCAGAGCTCGTATGAAGGGAAAGATGTTTCTGTCGATACATCCAGAAAGTCAACAAGCGTGACATCCCTAATGTCGCTGTATTTAGTCTTGATTCTGCTTGATATCGACATGAGCATTAAGAAAATCAAAGAATTGGCTTCGTAGCAAAAGTAGAAGAGAGAAAGACAGTGTATTGTATTGTGGATCAGCTTGTATTTATACGATGAATAAATAAGCCATTTCATTGACTGACAAACTAACAATCAAAGAGGACTACCACATTAATCATTGCATAAAAACACGCCGATTGCACCCTGCAATTTTTACTTGTTGATGACAACAAATTCCTTGAAATGCGGCGTCCTGATTGTTTTTCTTTTCCATTACTTCGCGGTTGAGAAATTATCCGAGCACAGTGCTCTTGTACTTTCTGATTGTCCAAAAAAAAATAGAGACGGAACATCGGTTACTTCTACTGCCGTGCGCCAAGAAAAATAAAAAAATATTCTTTTATTTGGCTCGATCTTTTTATTCTTGTTTGTTGTCTACAATTTTTTTTCGAAGGCGATTAAAAACTCTGGCTGTTCCAGCTTCTCAAATGAACGTTCCTCAACACCGTCTTTATTCTTCCATACAAAGTCCGTGTATCGAACACGGGCCTTTTCCTCAAATCCCAAACGGTTCTGGAACAGGTGCTGAGTTGCAAACGCAGATGCAACCACCATCACTGCATCACACCCTATTTCTCTGGCATTGTCCATTGCGACGCTCAACAGTTCCTTTGCCAATCCGAATCCCTCATATCCAGTGCTTACTCCCAAGGCCATGAACTTCATAACTTTAGCACTCGGGTTGTCCTTAAAGACCGTCGTATTAGCGAACCAAAGCTCAAGCATATGATCTAAGATTGCTTGAACACAATCCTCTGACCCTTCCTTCTCAATTTTTTTTCTCTTTGCTGCAATTTTCTCTGCAGTTAAAATACAGCTGGTGCGGAAGGCCACTAAGCGATTAGGCCCTGGTAGCGATGTATCCTCAATTACAAATGATACTGGATTTTCAACAGAGGCTGCTGCTATGGCGTCACCTTCACTTTGTCTCACGCCCTTATTTGCCCCCAAAGGTTCACGCTTAAAGGTTTCAATAAACAGTGATGAGACTTCCTCCTTGTCCTTCTCTGTCATCAAACGCAGTACGAGATGATCTGGGCGTGTTGTCTTTGTTACACTAGGGGAGGCAGGAGTAGGGGGCGACATTTTGTTATAAAAACTAGGTCAGAATTAGGGATCAATAGAATGTGTCAATGAGGAACGAGAAAAGAGAGATTTGTTCATCGGATCCACTTTCGGAGCTATTTTTTCTTCATTCGCAGCCACGGTTTAGGCGAAGAAAAAAATGAAAAACGGTCATTTCCCTTCGGTGCCATTTCTCCATAAGTCACATGTTAAGAAAGGTTATGCTTTGCAGGGCGACCCCTGTGCTTCGCGGGCCTCTCTTGGTTCTTAATCTGAGCAAGACTGATTCTTGAAATGTTTGCGTGCATACACTCCAAAAAACTGTAGCTGCCCAATGGTCTTTGCCATGTTGTAATTCTGTATGCATATGTTTGATAGATTGGTGTTGACTACCAATTCACCTCTCTCCCGTCTATCCACAAGGCACCGCCCAGCAAGAAGGTGATTGAATAGCTTTCACTCCAAGCAATAAATACAACCAATAGTGTCCCTCCTTTGTCCCCCACTGATGCCGGGATCTGTGAGCCAACGAATGTACAAGAGCTGTTAAAGCAAAGAATGACATTTGAATATATTTTCTGATAACAAAAAAGATTATTTTCTGTTGCTTGACAAGGATTAATGATCTTCTGGTTCCTACAAACCGAGTCAATTCTGTCCATGTATTCACTACCCCTGTCCCGATTTGAAATTATAAAACTTTCAACCAGGCAAAGCATTAAATTTCCTAACAACGCAAGAGCCGAAGCTCCGGTCTTGTGGCTCGTTGTCTTGTTGCCCAGCCTACATTAAACGAATCTCTTTCACGTCCGACACCGCTTGACTCAGCACATCCTGTTACTTTGGCGGCCGTAGTCCGGTGCATTATCCGACCCCTTTCCTTATCTGGCTCCTTACTTAGATATCCGTACGTTGAAAGTCTTGACTAACAAATAAATAGATGAAACGAGTGCGTCTAATAAATCGAGCCAATTGGTCAAAGTAGCACACAACATAGCATTCAGGGCGTTATTAAACGTACTCTCTTTTATGATTCGCTTAGAAGGTTTAGAGAGGCCACTTAATATCTACTCTAACTCGACCATGATCTTTTAATGCAGATAAAGCTTCACCTTTGGGGACTGCGAATCCTCTGATATATTCGTGCTTTACAAAAACCTTATTTAGGTAGGCCGTAATTCCAACGATCTAAATGAACGGATCCTTTCGTACTACACTTAATTACTATTGCGTCAGTTACTTAGTACGAGTCTTCCACATAAACCCAATGCACAGTAACAGAATCGTATTTACTGGCGATAAGGAGAAACTATGACAGGGTTGTAGGTTCTGAGACGGTAAATTTACTCTGGAAAAATAAATAAATAATAGAAATAAAGCTTCAGCTGAATTTAATCGATATTCCTTGAGACATATCTATGGAACAAACCCTGTGTCCTCCTCCCAAAGAGATTCATTAGGATCTAGGCTATCTGGCATGTCCTCATCAAACAATCCTCTAATGCTTACTTCAGCATCTTCATATTCGCTCTGGTCATCTTCTCTATAATTCAACATAGAGGTGTTTGAACCAAGTCTGGTAGTCAAGGCCGTCGTGTTATGGAGACTTTTTCGATCCTGATTATCATCATAACTATCTTCAGTTTGGGTATCGTTTCCATTAAAGGTTCGGCCCAAAGTATGGCTCAATACTGTATTCTCTTCTATTTTGCCGTATGTGAGAGACTCGTCGCCTAAGATGAACTGGTCCCTGTTCACCTGTCTCTGTCCTTGTTGAAAGAGTTGTTGGGCCAGGTATTGACTGCCCTTTGACGTGGTCGGCGTAGATATCATTGCAGACTGAAGTATGAAGCTTCTTGACATTGGAACAGCGTCAGTACTCATTAATTTCCCTATTGTAGCGGATTGCGCTGGAGCCTTGAAAAGTGACTCTGTTAGCACGTCCTTATGTTTGCCTGTTGAGGCTAAAGACTCGGAAAAGAACGTGGGTTCTGAATGATTTGTATGTATGGGTGAAACAGGCGGCGGACTAAATCCTCGAGTATCATTATTATTGATTTCGTATTTCCCAAGCATGGGACTTCCGTCTACGGTAGTCATTGATCCGTTAGCTTCACGGATATTTGAGACCGAAGAGTACGATTTTGATGACTGTGATGACGTTGACGAGAAAAAAGTAGGCGATGGTGATGAAGCATAGGCTCTGGATCGGCCGTAAACCGAGACCTTAAGCGAGCCCAGCATTGATTTCGAGAGCGGTTCTAGCGATGGCATTGGTCTCATAGCTCTAGTCGCCAGTCGACTTGACCGATCAGCCTCCCGTCTCCTTTCCATGTCAACCATCTTGGGTGATTTTGGTTTCCAGGATGGCGGACGGCCCCATGGGTTTATACCGGCCTTTAGATCAACAGTTGTCGTAGTTAAGGCTGTTCTCTGTGGTGTTTTTTTCAACGTTGTTATCCCATTTTGTTTATTCTCAAAAGTTACAACGTCGACTTTTGGATTCAAACTATCCTTGATCAGTGATCCAGAAGGAAGACAAGAGTTATTGCCATCATTTGTTGAGGAATTCAACTGCCAAGGGTCCTTGCTGCAAATTCTATAATGAAAGTCAGAATCCTCCGTCATCAAATCCTTGGACACTGAGGACAATGCCATAGTCCCTGAAGACCCCTTGCCCAATGTAGGCTTGCCAAGAGAGATGGAACATTCAAGCGATGGTGTAATCACTTGAAATGGTGATGACTCATCCACTAATTGATTGGGATGTACGGCATTTAAGGTGTCTTTTGGCTGAGACCAGCTTTTGCTCGATGGTAAGCTGCTCCCTGCCTTGAAGCGAGAAAAAATAGAAGACGATAACGGAGACCGAGAAAGTGCATTAACAGGTGAAGTGATCACACGACTTTGCGTGGAATCTGATGTGGACAGTGGCGTTAAAGCAGAGAAAGGGAGCTCTAGCTTGGATGGCGGACCGACTTGTCTCTGAAAGAGTTGCCTACGCTCAGGTGTATGCAGAAACATAATAGGCATAGTTGTTTCCGAAGTAGCATCCTTGGTTTTGGTTGGCTTTGGTGTAGGAGCACGCAAATCATCCAGAGTCAGATTGGGGAAATAGACTGGCTTTTTGGGTGGCTCAATTGAAGTGAGCTCTAAAATGCTTGGTTGATTGTTTCCCTTGGTAGACAATCCCAATTCAAACGCAGGCGGTGGTTGCCCTGCCAACAATGGGCGCTCTAGCATTGATATCCTAGGCTTTTTTGAAGGTGTTACTGGGACTCCACCTGAATCAGTCCCAAAAATACTGAAGAGCTCCTTTTGTTGATCGATACCACCTTCAATTCCAACCTCCAAAACAGGCATACGCGTTGAGAACTGTAATAGACTTCCCTGCTCTGGCTCTGTCTCTGAGGACTGTCTCCTCTTTCTAGACACACCAAGGCGTTCCTGGAAGATAGATCTTGTCTGCATGGGAGCTGATGACTGAGGAGAGGTTATAACGTCTTTGAATGCTGGCTCTTTCGCCATTGCTGTGTATATTGGAGACCTGCTTTCGGTCACCACATCTAGAGAGGGTTCTACTGATGCTGACGTTGCTGCCATCGACTCGGTTATTGCTTGCTTCCTTGTCAAAATGAAATCCGTCAAACCAGTCTTAGTTCTCCCTATTCTTGGGTCTAGAAGCTTGATCGGTGCAGGCTTTGAGGAGGCTAATTTTAATCTGCTAATCGTTGGTAGTTGGCAATGAATTGAAGCTGGCGGCTGGACTGAAGAGGATGCATTCAGTAGCAATATATTGCTTGAGCTATGCTTAATTGCGTCGCAGAGTCTCATTTCCGGATCCGATGACTTTTGATTCTGGTGTGCTGATCCATGAACATGTGTCCTTATACGATGTACGCGGGCTAAAGAGTCCGATAAACCCAACACCGGAGGCTCAAGTATTGACAAAACCTGATTGGAGCTAAGAGCTGCCTCTTGACGAATTTCTGTGGCGGATGGGAACAACGTTCTAAACTCTGTTTCACTGCTTTCTGCATCAATATGGATGGTTGACAGTAAACGATTATAGGGCTGCTTTTTAGCGGTATGCTCCCTAGATTACAAGGGTCGGTGTTAGTACACACGCTCTTGGTAAAAGCTATTATCACCCAGCAAGTATCATGTACTCAACGCCTTCGTGCTATTAGTTTACCTCTGTAGTTGTTCCAGTTTCCTATTAGAGTTTTCCAGTCGTGTATTAAGCTGTTTTTTAAGCGCTCGGATACATTTAAGCTGCTCGCTGTGCTCCTCCGACAATGATTGCAGCAGTCGCGTGTACTGGACAGTTGTATTGTCACTACCAGAAACATATTTAGCACCGCTATTATTAAGAACTTGTAATGAGCGCTTCCAAGCTTTGAGGATCGACATTGGGTCAACTCCACGGGTTGATGAAGCCTACCAAAGATAATTAAAAGGAGTGAGTACTGGATGCTGATATTGACCAACATGATGAAGTCAACTGTGCCCAATCTATATATCTTTCGCGCACCTCTATGTATCCACCTTCACCAAGATGCATGAATGTCAACGGCAAATCCGGCCTGATCGCTTCTGCACTTAATACTGAGGTTCCTTCCCCTGATTTGGCATTCATTAAGGATTGTAAGACTTCTTTGCGATCCGTATGACGCTCCACAAAGCCTAGAATCGGCTTCCACTGAGCATTGATCTTCTCGATCCAACGATCCTCCAAGATCTGCAGCTCTTGTAACGATAAAGCTTCCGTCCGTTGTGTAAATTGTGGTTGGTATGCCAAAAACGTATGACGTTCTGCCTCAACTTTGGCCTAAAAATTTCAAATGATCGTTCAGGCATCATTAGCTTGTTTTTTTTTTTTTTGCCACTAAGCCATGAGTATACATACCAATTCCTCATTCATAACATGAATTCTATTAGTTATCTCAGTACTCATGGAGCTCCACTTCTGACGAATTTTCCGTTGTAGTTGCATGTTTTGAACAAAGAATTGAGAATATTTCAAGATATGTGAATTAACCATAGCAAAAAGCTTGTCTTCATCCCTAGCATGTTCCGGAGCAGCGCTGACAAGACTATGCATCACTCTCTCGTTTTCCAATGAGAATTCCGATGATGATTCGATAAGAGATGATGGCTGTGGATGTGCTTTCCAATTCATCTCTTGCGATACAACATGCGCCAAGATGTAAGTAGATAGTATCAGAATCAATTGCTCTATCCTCACACCAATAGACTCATCCAAGTAACTTCTACGGATTGTTGATAAGAACACGCCTAACCCTGTTATTGTTGTCTTTGCTGTTGTTTGCCCAGACTCCAATGATGGATTGATCGGATCCATATTGTGTCCGATCCCGAAGCTCCCTTCCTTCCTTAATTCTTCTAACCATTTGAATGCTACATTCCTAAATTCTCGTGCATCGTGCCGATCCATGATGGGCCAGCATTCCTTGAATCTTTCACAAGCCAGATTTTTGTTCAATCGTGTGAACAAAAACCAGAGGACAAACTCCAATGCCTTGGTGGATTGATGACCTTTCGCGAAAACATGTTTGTGAAGTTCTAATGGCTTTGATGTGTTGGCTCCAAATCCATGTAAATCAATAAGAATAAACTGCTCAGTTGGGACAAAGCTTGATCTGGATAGGTCATGTGCTGCTTTCTGTTGTGTACTTTCTTTACTTGATTGTGTTGAATAATCTTTTACACCAAGCAGGATGAGATTTGTAAAGAAGACGGCACGGATATTGTCCGGTGAAGCGAGATGATGCGTTGGAGATATTGAAGAGGTGGTGGTTGTGGCATTAAAAGCTGTCATTTTTTTTTTTTTTTTTTTTTTTTTTTTTTCATCTCTTTGGTCAGAAGACTCACAGTCGTCACAAACAAGACATGGCTTTACAAAGGCAAAAGCGTCTTAGAGTAGGAAAAAGGTCTACAGATTCGCCCTGCTACTTTGATGCCTAGATGTTAGGCCAAATGAAGAAATCAGGTAAACTCGAAATGCACGTGATTTTTTTTTTGTTTCTGGAAGACAGACTTGCTTCTATGCGTTAACAAGTGGATTTCTATTCTACATGACTAGTGATAAGGTCGTCGATCTTGAGAATATGTTTGACAAGCTGTGTGGCAAGCAAAATCTGTTGCCTCTTCGAAATCAAGGGGTCGTACACAAACTGCTCTTTCATGTCATTTGTGCCCTTATACAGGCAGTCAACTCCGAGCCGGCTATTGTTCTCTGTCACCTGGCGCGACTTGACTTCTGCCAAGGTCTCAATTGGAGGAAGACCGGAATTCTCAGCAAGAGCTAAGGGGACAGCCTCGAGAGCCTCTGCAAATGCACGCATAGCATACTGGTGCACGCTTGATACTTCATCTGCGGCCTTGGACACAGCCAGCGAACATGCAATCTCGGCTGCACCACCACCATAGACTACACGATTGTCTCTAACCAGATTGCGAACAACACAGATGGCATCATGAAGTGAGCGCTTAGCCTCATCAATGATCATCTTGTTTCCTCCACGAACAAAAACCGTGACAGCACGGGTGTTGGCGCATTCTTCGATGACAAGCATACGGTCCTTGGTTGTCCCAAAAGTGAGCTCGCGAATACTTCCGGCCTGTCCGAGCTTGGAGGCTGAAAGATCTTCGAAGCGAGGAACAATACGTCCATTGGTGGCAATAGCAATCAACTCGATCTCGGGGCCTCCGACCCAACGAACACTAGGGAGTTGATTTTGCATCAACAAGTGGTTGGCTTCATCGTCGAATCCCCATTGGCAAATGACAAGGTTAGCGCCTGTGTCCTTGACTTGCTTGATCATCGTCTCAAATTTCTCTTTTTCGTACGTCTGGAGTTTCTTGTATTCTTCCACGGATGTGATATCCAATTTATGCTTGGTTTTGGGCTTTGGTGGCTCAAAGGCGCAAGTGAGGATGGCGATTTTGGCATCCTTTACCTCGCGTGGCATTTGAGGATGAGAAAAGTCCTTATCAATGACAACTCCCTTGACCAAAACCGTGTCTGCCAGTGAACCTCCTACTTTACCATCCACTTTGATCAGCTCAAAGTCAACATCCTTGCGCTCCAAATCCGCGACTTGAAGAACAGCCTCTACTGCAATCTTAGCATACTGATCGTGGCATTTGGAAACACTAACGAAATAGGAAAAAAAAAAAAAAAAAAAAAAGGGGGTTGAAAAGGCGGGCTACACAGGGTAGTAATCGAAGTATGATGGAAAGAAGTATTGGCAATTATGCTATTGATGTCTTACATTTTACTTCCTAAACTGGTCTTTGCAGTCTTGTAAAGGTTCTCTGTGTTTTCTCTCGAGAATTCAACAGTATCTGAAATCTTGTCCAGATGTGCAACAGCAATATTGCATGCGCGCTCAAACCCATCAGAGATACGAATAGGATGAATACCGCGATCAAGCAAGTGCTCAGCCTGTTCCAACAATGCACCGGCCATAACTAGGTTGACCAATAAGGGTAACAGTGCTATATGAGTTTCTGTTGATTCTAGATGAAATGCAAGGAAAGATACAAAGTTATTTCGACATACCAACAACACCCGTAGTGCCATCACCGATCTCATCATCCTGCGACTTTGACAGCTGAACAAGAAGCTTTCCGATCTGATGCTGGACATCCATCTGGTCCAAAATAGTGGCTCCATCATTAGTGATGGTGATATCACCATCAGGCGAGATCAGGATCTTGTCAAGGCCTTTTAGAAATTATAAAGAAAAAAACAATATTAATGTTACAATCAGACGTTACTAGGACGTGATGATGCTCTGTGATATTGAAGTAAAAAACATACCACGAGGCCCGAGCGACGTCTTGATGATGTTGGCAATAGTTTTGGCAGCAAGAATGTGAGACTAAAGTTGAATGGATGAGGATTGTCGGTTGTTCTTTTTTAGCAATCTAAAATCTCTCTGATCTAGCATTTGTGATACAAGTAAACAGGTGCAATAGCACTTCATCCACATTCATGAACATCCCGATGAAACTGCATGGTACGTTGGGTAAGAGTCACTATCCTCCACTAAACATCCTAAAAGAGAGGATGGAGATCACGGAAATTGAAAAAAGATTTATTTATATATTTAGGTATAATACCTTTTGAGCCTCAATGCCGCTAAGTCGGGACTTCTTTTGTTGTTCACGAAGAATGATGAATGGACGACCATACTCATCCTGAGCGTAGACTGCGTTCATGCCCTCCATGATGATGTGATGTGGATAAAGGAATAAGAGGGTTAATGGTTTAGCTGCGTTTTTGCAGGATGAAAGAATTCTTTGACTACACAAGAACCTTCTTGAAGCATTACAAGCCACACGTGCGATACTCATGCGATGCCATTTACTACCATGTTACGTGTCCCGCAACAGAAAGACACGCATTGAACGCGTGTTGCAGAACAGGTGTACATTAATAGTCCTGACGCGGCACGCATTCAAACATAACACATTCAAACCCTGCTTTCTCTCTTTTTATCCGTCTCAAGTTCAGGTCTATTTCACATTCACTATCCCGATTAGCGTTCAACATTCTTAACATCCTCACTCTTATTTTTCCTAGTAAAACATCTATTTTCACCATGGTAAATACAGACAGTCTTTTGCTAAATGGAAACCAACTTGGACCTGGAATTGAAGTTTCTTTTTCTCTAACTGACATTTGTATACAATGTGATGAACTACGGCTTCGTCTTGCTAGTCGATTATGGAGTATAACGGAGGTGCGGTTGTGGCCATGGTAGGCAAGAACTGCGTGGCCATTGCCTGTGACAAGCGTCTCGGTGTGCAAGCTATGACCATCTCGACTGAATTCAAAAAGACTTTTCAGGTGACTCCAAAGACATATATCGGCCTTCCTGGCCTAGCCACGGATGTTCAGACTTTGTACGCAAAAAAAAAAAAAAAAAAAAAAAACCTTTATCACAGGCCTTAGAACTCGAATTGTTGGAGAGTATTTTAACCCTTCGTGATCGTATCGACATTTTAATCATCTTTGTTCTTTAGAGCAGAAAAGTTCCGCTTCAAGGTCAACATGTACAAACTTAGGGAAGAGCGTGAGATCGAGCCCAAAACCTTGGCTCATCTCGTCTCTTCCACCCTCTATGAGCGACGGTATGGAACAGGGATATCACACGCATTCTTTTAGGATTTTAATGGGCTTGTCCTTCCAACTCGTCTTTTTTTTTTTTTTTTTTTTTTTTTAAAAAAAAAAATGGTTTATTTATTCACATTTTGGCATCATTTAGATTCGGACCTTGGTTTGTGGAGCCTGTAATTGCAGGATTGGATAAGGAGAACAGACCATTTATCTGCTCGACAGATTTAATTGGATGTATCAACTTTGCAAAGGACTTTGTTGTCTCGGGAACTACTTCGAATCAACTCTTTGGAATGTGCGAATCACTTTGGGAACCTGATCTGGTATGAAGTTTTTTTTTTTTTTTTTTTTTTTTTTTTTTTTTTTAAATCGATTCTCCTCATAGTTCGATTGGCCTATTGAACTCCACCTTTAATTACTCGATCAAGCGAAAAAAGTAATCCTTTTTTTTTTTTTTTCTCGTACTAACAGGAACCTGAGGAATTGTTTGAGACCATCTCGCAATCGCTAATGAATGCCGTCGACCGCGATTGTTTGAGCGGTTGGGGAGCAGAAGTTACTGTCATGTAAGTCTTGTCATCAATTTCTAGCTCCAATCCTCAATTTATTGCATTGTTCGTACCTAACATGCCTAAGCACATTCTATAGCACGCCCGACAAGATCATCACGCGCACTCTCAGGACTCGCCAGGTACACCAAAAGTTATCGCAATGATTACATCTTGTTATTTATAATCAACCAGTCCTCTCCATGTATTCCCGTTGATACTGATTGCTATTTTATGTCATGCATTTGATAGGACTAAAATCCGGTTAAATAGGGATGAATCTATGTGCTCTGTAAAAGAAGACGTTATTTCAGGTCAATAAAACAGAAATGAAAGCAAGAGCCTTATTGGAGTGTATGCATGCTGCACATCTTATTGTTTATGTGGAAAAGCAATGGGCTAGTTTGTATTAAGAGCAGAACTGGATGTATCTACAAGTGGCGGTAATTGCGAGGTGCTATATGATGTTTTATAATGCTTACGGCCGATGCATGTTCATCTCATGCCAGAAGCGGCCAGAGAACAGATCATTTGACTTTACAAGCCATGCGCCTAGATTACCAAACCAGGTCCCGAGGACTGGCAAGTGAGTCACTCCCCCTTTGGGATTCATTGCCAAGACCATCAAAGGCCGAGTATGCTGATACTTCTCGAGTTTGTAGCTGGAGTGACAAAGAGAGTCTTTAGCTTCATGTTTGCTCTTGGCATTTTGGATTAATTTGACAATGTTGCAGGCAGCCGTTTCGCCAGCCGAGACGGCCGCTTGCGCTGTAAGCACAGGATCCGCTTTAGACACGTCACCGATCGCAAAGATGTGTTGAAAGGCGTCGTTGTCGAGCTGCAGTGTTGATTTGACTAGAATCGCCTTTGTCTTTGGGTCAAGCAGAGACTTGAAATCAAACGCATCTTTATTTTTGTCACTCGAAACCGCTGGAAACGGAAGAAGAGTAGAAAGGAGCTGAGTGTCAACGCTCATGCCAGTCGAAAAGAACTGCATGTCGCTTTGAATAGTCCTGCCAGAGTGCTTGAGTTTGATAGTCCTATCGGCTTTTTGAATACCATTCTCTCGCGATAGGCCCTCGATTTCTACACGCTCATTTAAAATCACCTCAACCCCTTGATTTTCTAAGAAGCGACGCGCTTCATCCTTGAAGCTTTGAGGATATCCCGGATAGTCGACCAATGCTGGTCCTTCATGAATCACTGTTACGCTTTTTTTTGGATAGCGATATTTGATTTCGCCGGCCTATTGAGTAAGACAATACATCGTTAATAGCAAATATGAAAATATTTGTCATGGCTAGCAAACCGGTTAGAATTTCTGTTTACCTCTTCGCATCCACATGCTCCACCACCAATGATGACAATTCGCTCAGATGCCTCAAGATCTTCACGGGCTTGGTCCAAGAGTTTAAGTCCATCTGCAGAATTATCGACATCCCACTTAGCAGGCGCCGGGACTTGAGATCCTGTAGCGATCACAAGATAGTCAAAGTTGATTCTCTGAGGATCAGTTTCAGGGTGATAAGTGGATAGAGTGATATCGGACGAAGATTGTTCACCAGCATCAAGGATAACATGATCATAGAATATGTTCTTGACTGTGCCACGGACCACTCTATGGGCGGAATCCTTAGAGAAAAGATTGGTGTATGGGATCCAGAGATTTTTGGCAAAATCCTTCTGGACCAATGCACGGTAGGATGCAATGCAATGGAACCTTTTATCGCGACTAAGAAAAATATAATCCATTAAAACAGGCGTTAGTTGTATGCTTATGCATAAACTATGTAATGTCTGATTTAATACTAAATTAAAGCAATAGCCATAGCCATAAAAAAAACCTTTCAATTAGTGTGATGGCTGCATCTGCATCCTTAGGGAGACTATGTAGCAGCTGCTTGATACAGGCAATGCCACCGTATGATCCTCCAATCACGACGATTTGAGTAGACTTGTTGGTTTGAGAAGCCATTATGGTTTTATTAGAAAGTTAGAAAGATACTTAGGTTGAGAGCTCTAGTGCCAATTTTTAAAGGATGAGTGTGTGCTTGAAATAATGAATGGCAAGAAATGAAACGTATGAAGGCGCGGGAAATTTGAAATAGTGAATGAAGAATGAGAATAGAAGAGATGAGTAAAAGCACCCAGTTGCGACAATGGTCTCGCTTTACAATTGCGCCTTGCACAAAATTTCAAGCGCAAATAGGCAAAAATTTGAAGCGTGTCATATCGCCGTCATCGCAAATTACTGTTGCGATTGCATCCTACGATCCTCAAGTTTACATTTGTACTCTTTGAGATAAGATGTTTACTACCCTGGTTGCTTGATTGTCTCGAAATACAAATGTCGAGTCGATAAAAGGGCAAGCGCTTTCCTTATTATAAAGATGAAAATCTTATTTTGTAAGGCAAGTGGTTAACGTTCTAGTTTCCGAATGCGAGAACATCAAAAGCGCTTCGCCCAGTTACTTGCGCTGCCCACAATTCTTTTTATGCACTTACGAAATGTATTCACGTGATAGTGGATCATTATTATTTGGCTAGGTTAGCAGCTTGCGTCTGGTCTCTCTCTCTTACAATCACTTCAAAATGGGTACGCACGCTAGCTGCTGAAATAGCCAATCGCAAGACAGTCACTGGCAACTATGATATATACATCCATCCATTGTCGTCCACACTACGAATGCATCCATTTGGATATTTGGAAACAGGAGAAGTGCCCTCTATCCTTATTATCAATATTGTTAAACAGGAACTCTTCAAGGATTTTTTGACATCAGATTTTATTGGATTCAGGATCAGATGAGGAGTAACCATTTAAAAGTTGGCTGTGGGACCTTGAATCGACATCAGCAAATCAAACAATCTCATTAGATGAACCTTTAAATCCGTTGATCCAACCGTTTCACATGGGGAAAAAGACACCTGGATTTTCTGCCCAATTCGACCTTCAACCAAATACTGAAACGCTAATCACTTGTGATTTAATCAGATTGAAGACCAACAAAAAAAAAAGCAAAGATCCGACGCTGACTTTCTCTCCAACTTGTATCATGTTGACTTTACGTGAACAGGTAAAGGTAAACCAAGAGGTCTTCAGGCCGCTCGCAAGCTCCGCACCACTCGCCGTGAGAATCGCTGGGCTGATAAGCATTACAAGCGTCAGGCCCTCGGAACGGCCTTCCGTTTCTCCCCTTTCGGAGGTTCCTCCCATGCCAAGGGCATCGTTCTTGAGAAGATGTATGGTTCCTTTTATATTATTTGTGTTTTTCTTGAATATAGATGATCCAGGGATTCGAGGACAAAGGAAAATAGTTATATGATCTTTAGGATTCGCCACGCCGTATCGTTTTTTTTTTTTCTTTTCTCAGCGATAAATGGTGCCGGGATTGACTCGCATTGTCAGGATCACATCGAGAAATAGCGATGGAATCTAGACCTTTTGGACATATCAGTAACTACTCGCCCAAAAAAAAATACGATTACTCTGGTACATTATACAATCAGGAATTTGTCCCTTAATCACATGGATTTTCAACAACTTCTATCTCTTGAAACTTCTCTTGGCACTCTAAACAGGACATAAACTTAAGCGGAGCGTGCATTGTCGACATTTTGACTTATCGCTAGCATATTTTTTTTTTCTTGTTGTATTTGATAGCGGTGTTGAGGCCAAGCAGCCCAACTCTGCTATTCGTAAGTGCGTCCGTGTCCAGCTCATCAAAAACGGCAAGAAGATCACTGCCTTCGTCCCCAACGATGGTTGCTTGAACTTTGTCGATGAGAACGACGAAGTCCTCATTGCTGGTTTCGGTCGTTCCGGCCACGCGTAAGTTGCCAATATCAGCTCTTTTCTTTTCTTTTCTTTTCTTTTCCTGTTTAAGTTAATTTATTACGAATCATCCCTTTAACATTCTTGATTTTTATTATCATCCGACGAAAACAGCGTTGGAGATTTGCCCGGTGTCCGTTTCAAGGTCGTTAAGGTCTCTGGTGTCTCTCTCTTGGCTTTGTGGAAGGAGAAGAAGGAGAAGCCCCGTTCCTAAATATTGGAGCTGGTTTTTCTGTTCTGAACTTTCCATTAACATTTCCATGGCTGAAATAAATAATAAGAAAAAAGATTCACGAATAACTGTCATAATGAAATTCTAAGCTCATTGCTTTTGAAGTTTTTTTTTTTTTTTTTACGACGCCTTAAAGGTCTGCTATGATTTCTGCCATGCTTCTGTATCACTTGTCTCTTCATATTGATGGAGATTGTCCAGTCCAGTAGGCTGCTGGCGGACAGCAGCGGCATAAGTCATGGGCATAGTACTATTATTGTTGCTGATTGATCCAGCCAAAATTGTGGTATGTTGGTGGTGCTGAAGAATATCATGATCGGGATGCTTGGACTCGTCTAGGAACGATGAAGATGGCGACACAATTTGGAACGAGCTACTATCCATTAAGTTAGTAAGTCGCATTGGTTGAGAGTGATCCTTTGCCACAGCAATTGTTGGTGATGTAGGTCGGGGTGTAGTTGATTGGCTGTTGTGAGCAGAGGCTTTGCGACTCGATGCCATTGCGCTTGTTATTGTGGAGTTTAAGCTGGTTGTAGGCTGGAAACTGTCACCAAGTATAATCACATCCTCGTCTGCTATACCACCCGCTGGCGAACCAAATGTAGATGTCGAAGACATGGAGGATGTTCGCCTATTAAACTTCTGTTCCTCCTCTCGTTTCAATTGCTGGCTCTCAAACTCTCCTTCGTCACTATGATCCATGCTTGCACGTACGATGACGCTAGTCTGCATCCCTGAAGCACACAAAACAAACCTACTACGCTCAATACATGTCCCTGGAACTAATCCGCCAGGTGATATCGGCACCGACGAAGTATTGGTAGTTGAAGCGCCGAGGCAGCTCTTCCAGGAAAGCATGGATGGTCGAGGTGAAGGGGAGATGATCTCTGTCGAGCCTGGGACCAGTCCACTGGCCTTCATGATTTCAACTTTGATAGTGATGCTGTGTTCACCTCGTACCACCACCGCTCCGCGAGCCAGAAGCAAGTATGTAGAAGCATCACAATCTGACAAAATGTTGCATTTAAGATCGATAGGCTTGAGTGTAAAATGTCGTGGCAATAGGGTCATTCCTGTTAATTGACTAGTAATGGCAATAAGTGTCGGGAGCAGGCTTACTGTTTAATATGTCAAAAAAGTGAGTTAGAGATAAAAAACTGCAATGCTGCAAGTAATAATAAGGAGTATCTCGTTTTGTGTCCTGTATCATTATTCTTATTTTGTTTGTTTTAATTTTACTTGCCATGGAATGTGCCTCCTTCGCCCGAAACTTCGGCCTTGAAGGGCATGATCACTTCAACTCGTCCTGGTCGAACGCCTGCAAGCGAAATCCCCAAGAATCTGTGCAATCCAAATCGACTAACCACCGCATTCACCCGTTCCCAGTATGTGTCCTCTGCTGGTGTCCATAGAATCTCGCTCAGTTCGTCCATACTCAAACCCAACCCTTCTGCTGCTGCTGCAGTAGTGTTCGCTTCCCGATTTGCCACGATTCTACTGCCATCATCACCACTGTTGTTATTACTGCTACTTCTGTTGCGATTACCGTTATTTGTGCTAGAGGATTTAAAGTAGCTGAGGGCACGGATAGCTTTGACAGTCGGTGGTAACAATTTAATGATCGGTAACATTACGGTGACAAATTTAAATATTGTTGCAGGTCCCAATGATAGTAATATTGCTTTGCGACGATGGGCTTTGAGTAACGACAATGCAACCAAGAATGTCCGCTGTAGCTCCAGTGCGATCCGGTTGACATATTTGGCAGGGATCAGTTTGCGGTATATCGAGAGCTTTGATTGCACACTGGGCATTGTGTGATATGATGGAGCACCCTTTTTCTATACGTTATAAATGCTATTTGGATTTCGAGCAAAAAAGATATGTGGATGAGCTAAGAAATATGAAGTACTGTAACTCGAATGGATAAATGAATGGATAAATAGGTGAATGAATGTGAAGCAGATGAATGAGGATGGCTCCTAAGGAAGCACAGAACGTTGCAAAAGTGCTCCTTTGTCATGGGCACACAATGGCACGTGAAGACAATCGGACCAACCGAATAATAATGTTTGTTGCACAAGAAATATTACGTGAAAATAAAAAAAAAAAGGTCGATGCCGAACCAGTTTTTATAGTATAGGAGAGCCAGCCTATTCTACCACATCCTGCCCATCGAAAGCGAGATTGTTGGCTCCAATGTTATTGCTACCAATCGCCGGGTTGTCAATTAGCCTGCCTGCGACAATACCTGAGAGTACTCCTGCATTTGTCAAGAACTCGTCCATGGCTATAATGTTATCTGAAGCCTGTGCAAAGAAGTACACCATAGTCAGTGTAACGCGACTTCCTTGGCAGAGACAAATGCGTCGGTTCTTCGATTTCATTAGATAATGGATCTGGTAGAGCTGACGGAAAGGTTTTAAGTCATACCCCTTGGCAATGAGAGCAACAATTACAAATGTTTTAAAATAGCCATACTCGTTTAGCTACCTAAAGTCTTAAGTGAAACTATTAAAAAAAATAAAATAAAAAACGCTTATATAATAGACAGGCGTCCTTATTCATTCGTGTTCCTTGACCCGTGAGAATACGTTCATAACTTGGGCAAACTGACCCATTTAATGTTCTAAGAATTGTGTCTTTATATCACAACGTCATATATCTAATCATACTCCTCATAGTCTTGGTAATCATCACAAGCATCATAATCGCAATGTTCCTCGCTGAATCTGTCTCCATCATCGTGTTCGAAAATCTTTTCTTTCAGATCATTTTTCAAATCCTGATCTTGCTCCTTTCCTCCTTTTCCTTCTTCATCAATCTTTCCTCCAATGGATTCGTATTCCTTGTCCTTTCTTCGGGTCCTACTACTATCTCCATCAACGTCTTCTTGGTCGCTCAAAGCCTCCAAGTTAATCTTCCACGATCGTAATCTCTTTTTGGATGGAGGCAATGGTATAAATTTTCTTTTTCCAGTCGCTTTTATTCCTAACTGCACCTGCTGGCATTGACGCTGTTGTTGTTGCTGGCGCTGAAACTCACGTCGCTTAGATCGTGCCTCTTTCCCTTCTTGTCGCATGATTCCTCTCTGCTTTGCTTTTTCTGCTTCATCATATATGTTACTCATAACCCGTAGCACTGCACTTGCATCCGAGCGTGGTCTCAAATATTGCTCGAACTCAGCTTCATCCAGATCCTCGGATGTTAGCTGCTCCGAGTTCAGTTGCTCATGGGTCCGTGGGGGATTATAATTTCGATTGCTAATAGAGCTCACCCAATAGGCAAGAGTGTTATCTGTTGCTTCCAAAAGTTCCTGTTCAGTTCGTGAGCCATGTTCGAGTAGCAACTGAATCCATTCTATTCGTTGCTTCTTCAAACGCTCTTGAAACCGATTTCGACGTGAAGGTAGATCCTGCGTACTTTTTTGATCGCCATGAGGCGATATTGATGATAAAGGCGGCGAAGACAATGATGAGAACGATGTTAATGAGGCTCTGCTAACCAGTAGTTTTGCCGCATGAATCTCTTGCATTCGCTTATTCCTACGCTCTACGCTGCTAACAAATGCGGGAGGAAGGGCCCGCAGCATTGCTGCTTCTGTTAATAGAGTTGAATTGTGCTGGAGAGGAGCTTCTGCAGGCCTCTCTGTCGCTGCTCGCAGCTGACCATTGTTCAAACTAAGACTTGGTACTCCTTTATCACCATCCATATCCTCGTCATCAAGAGTCCAAAGGCTATTGTCTTGCTGCTCCAATCTTAAATCCTCTGCTATGAAATTTTCCCCAGGGCCCACTCGATCTTCGTCATCATCTCTCTCCTCGCTGCCCTCTTGATGATCCAACGCAGCCCATACCCTTTTATTTTGTTCTTGCAAATGACCAAAATACTTGAGGACATCTTCCATATAAAACACAAGCTTGGCGTCCTTAATCTTGTCAGTCTTGTCAACAAATGGCAGTCGACGTGCCCAGATGAGCATACATTGTCTCACTTCTTTGTATCGCGCCATAACTGCAAAATGTGACGTGCTGAATAACATAGCCGCAAAATGAAATAGCTCTTCAGGACATTTCGGGGCCATGAGACGTACTTCGATTGCAATGATCAAACAGGCTGCAACTAGTGCAGGAATAGGACGCCCAGTTGCCAGACCAGAATCTGTAGCGATTGTCATGCATTTTTGGGCCGCTGCCAATAAAGTTCGCAAACAAGCTCTCTTCATCTCGGGCTTTCTGTGCACGCCCAACACGTCCTGAAATTCCTGACTCAAGTTCTCCATGTCACCACGTTGGATCGAGTCAGTTGTGCCGATGCTCATGATTCTTTGCAGCATCAACCAGGGATCATTCTCTAGATTGAAACAGGCGTTACCAGCTTCTAGAATGCTATTTTCCAAGAGAATGCCCTTGATGGCCTTATATAGTGCTCCAACCTTGTAAGGCGATTCCTCTGCCTTGACAGCAATCTCGACCAGCGAGATGCCCTTTTTGGCTTCCTTGACAGCCAAGTACAGACAAGCGAGCGCGCCTTGAGCTGCTCGTGTCCAGAATTTTAGCTGCATCAGTGCCATGACTTGCTTCCATAAAAAAAATGCTCTGTTGATATGAGCTTCTGACAATTCGCACTGGCGCGTTACAAACGAGAGATATGTTTTGATCTGAGCGTATCTTTTTGCACGATAAAGTCGACGTCGATCTTGCGTAAAAGATCCATAACCATAGCCTCCGAGATGATGTTGGGCAGAGTCCGAAAGAAAACCATATGTTTGGCCAGTTCTATTAACCCGAACCGTACCCTGGCTATAAGGCTGCTTTTGAGGCTCCCCAGATGTGTCCGTAGTCGATAATTCTGTATAGATGATGCCATCTTCAAAGACATGGCCACAGACATGACAGACAGTTTCCCCAGTGGCGTGCTCTTCATAGGCTTCCGTACTTTGGCATTGTGGGCATTGCAAGTCTTTTCGATGGTCCATGAATGAGCTTTTGCACGGAAGGCCGACTTGAGCTATGCAACATCGAGATGAATTGCGATTCATGTTGCTTTAAATGTGGCTTGTAACACGATCGTGAGAGTAATTTGATTGGCGCAAAAAAAGGTGTGAAAAAACTGAAAAGTGCTTTAACAATACGATCAACCTTACATTCCGAATGTGAGTTTATTATAAATATTGCTCTGCAATAAGTGATGGCCACATGCTACACGGATAAGTAAATAAGTGGTATACCAAGTATCGTATAAGATTTTAAAACAATAGCATAAAGAGGTCCTTATGCTTTCTTCGACTCGTTCAAGTACCCCCGTATTAGTTAGAGCATGTTAGGGAATAAAAAGTGAAAATAAGAGTAAGAACAGGATGACGGAGCTAAATTAAGGTTTTAGCGTATTGTGTGCGGTACGTTGGGCAGCAGTGGCTCAGGTAGACGTAGGGACAAGCTGACAGATCCCTGTAGTAATATGACGAAATGAAGAGAAGGATGGGCGAAATTCTCAAAAAAGATGAAAAACAGGAAACCCAGTACTGTACAGATCCCTCTTTTTTTACTTTTTCTCGTGTTTTCTTTTGATGTAAGCACATTGCCTCGGGGTTGCTCTCTCCAAGTTATTGCTGAGTATACATGTACGCGCAAAAGAAGGAAGAGGAAGCGATGGTGTAGCGGAGAATGAATGGGAAACGAGTTCGCTTTACTTTTATGATATAAGGAATGAATACGATTGAATTAAATTAAGGTTTATTTTCTGAACTTCGCCCGTTCTTCATGGGCTTGATCTATTGTTTGCATCAAGTTCATACACAGACAAACCAGACAGAAGGAAAACGACGATCGTCCATGGAATGCTATTGAATTAAGCCTATGGTATTCAATCTGAGAAAGGAGTCAACTTTGTTGGTTATATGCAAAAACTTTACGTCGTGTCAAACAAGTTCACCACTTACTTGCTCACTTCTAACCTTGTATGCAATACAAACATGGTCCATATCCATTCGTTTATTCTTTTTAATCAGGACAAGGAAGCGGATCAGGGCTATTTCTCAAAAACGTATATAAAGGGCAGCAGTTTTCACAATATTTTTCAATTCCTCTCCTTGACTTCCTAACACTTCCTCTCGCTCTACTTTGCCAGCTACTCAACCACCTACGTGGTAATCTTACCCTGCTTTAAATAATCCCTAGCATCACATCGTCCTCCACTGGCTACAAAACAGCCTTTACATACCTCGTCTCTTTACCTTTCCGTTGATCTGTCTGTGTATTTCTGTTCGTCAACAAACACAAACATTCCGTATTTTTTTTTTTTTTTTTTTTTTACAGCGTTACAACTCCAGCAACAACAATAATTGTTCAGAAACAATGTCCAATAAAGGCAATGTACTCTTGTCCGAAAAGGCAACCAGGTACCTCTCCTTGGCTATCGGTATCCTGGTCATGGCTTTGTCTGGTTCTCTCTTCTCCTTTGCATCTTTTGGTATGGACCTTAAGGCCCGGTTTGGTTTTAACTCCTCCAACATCAACCTGTTGGCTGCCATTGGCGACACGGCGATGTATGTTGGCTTTCTCATTGTGGGCCCTATTTATGATCACTACGGGGAACGTTGGACCATGATCACTGCCTCGATTCTGACTTTTCTGGGTTATGGCGGTATGTATATCGCCTATGCCAAAGCATGGGGAGGCCTTGGCTTCCTCATGGTTCTATACTGCCTTGCTGGTGTTGCCTCCACTGCCGGGTAAGCGTTTTTATTATTACTATCATTATTGTATTTTTTACACCCAGATCCTAATACTTCTTCATTTGTATTTATTTTATTTTATTTTATTTTCTTAATAATAAAAAAGATACTTGGCTGCACTTGCTGCCAATATGGCCAATTTCTCTGCAGCCACTTCAGGCACAGTGTCTGGAGTACTCTTAGCCTTCTTTGGTCTTTCTGCCACACTCTTTTCACAGATCAAGACCCATTTGTTTTCGGGTGACGATGAGGTTCCAGACCCTACTTCGGTTCTCAAGGGCACCAGAGCAACGCAGAATTACTTACTATTCCTCACCATCATTACAACCGCCACTTATATGATTGGTGCTATCTTAATGATGAAAATTAAAAAACCTGAAGAAGTTGTCGACATCCTGAACTCCGACTCCACATCAAGTTCCATTGTTAGTGAAAACCCTGAGAAGCAGGATACTGATATTAACACTACTGGTACGGCCTCTGTCTCCCGCCCAGTCCAAACTCTTTCTCGTACCACTACTCTCACGCCTTCAATGCATAACGGCCGCGTACCCACTGGACTGCGTCTCGAAAATTGGAATCAATCTAGTCTTACCCTCGATAAGGAAGAAGCTTTCCCTGGGGCCCCTGACTCGACACATCATCATTTGCCGGGTGATAGTATCTTGGACAAAGCAGCTCCTAATGCGACCACAGCTGCTATGTCTTTGGGCACTACTACAACAACAACGGATCCCTTCAAGGCCAACAAGAGCTTTAACCCTTATTTAACTACGATTGATATGAAGCCTCGGGAGCTGCTCCTCCAGTCTACATTCTGGTTTTTTGTGATCGCTCAAGTTTCCCAACAAGGGTTTTCATACATCAATAACGTGGATTCAATCATTCATGCGATCTTGAACCCAGTTGATCCCAATGCAACTGCTCGCGCGGTTTCCTTGACGGGCACTCATGTTACCTTAATCTCGATTGGTAACTGCCTCGGTCGTCTCGCTTCGGGTATTCTTTCAGATTGGGTCATTTCTCGCTATCGTATCTCCCGCTCCATCTTCTTTTTCGGATCTGAAATCATTATCTTGGTACCTCTATTAATAATGGGGTTCTCAAACCCAGCCGTGTCTTTGACAGGCCTGATTGTCAGTTCTGCTTTGATCGGCGCCACTTATGGTGCAACAGGGGCCCTATTTGCCTCCATGGTCCGAGATCTATTTGGAAATCGATACTACGGCACAGCCTGTGGCATGGTCATGGTCCTCAATGGCGCCAATCCTTTCATTGCGAATCAGATTTATGGAGTCTTTTATGATCGTGCTGTCACAGAGATGCCTCCTGCACCAGACAATGTCCATGCTACGAATGGCCATATGACTTGTGTGGGACCCTCTTGCTATAATAATAGCTTTAAAGTCGCGTCGCTGCTTCAACTAGTATGCATCCTTTCAGCGGGATTACTCTTTTGGGCACACATGAAGAAAGGCAGGAAGTTAGTTCAGAGAATGCTTCAAAGCGAAGCGACAGTCGTGTGAACATAAAAAAAAAAAAAAAAAAAAAGAGAAGATCACGAGCAGGTGGTAGCATACCCTCCAGGAGGCTTATTGTTATAAGTCACTGTCATTGTAATAGCATTTATCCATTCCACTCATACACCATTACACCATCTTGCATATTAAAAGGAATACAAATAAATGAGGTACTTCTTTGATACAACTGAGGACTGAGATAGCGCATGTTTGTTTGAGACGAGTAGCAGGAAAGTCTGTATTTTATTCACCCAGTGTAATATGTGGAGAAGTAAGGTAATTCCCTTGCCTACGCACGAGCCAATGATCAACTGTGGAGTGTGAGAGCAAAAAATGCACAAGTAAATATCGGAGAAGGATAAATCACCCCATTCTTATCTTATCCCCAACTATCTCTACATAAACCCCAAACTCATGTGGAATTACGCAGAGTGAATAAATTAGAGTAATAGAAAAGGGTTTTTTCTTTTTTCTTTTTCTTTTTATTTTATTAGTTAGTATGTTGGCTTCCTCATCGGTAGAGACTAAAATACCCCTGTGCTCCTTCAGCACTATGCACAGCAGTAGGTGATGGCGGCGCAGAGTTGGAGCATGGGGTCCATGCCTCACCAACCTCATACTCAAAAACTTTAGTCCTCTGCAGGTCGAATCCAACGCAAATGCGAGGTTTTCTGGGAATGTCGCCGTTACTTTTGTTTTTGGGCTTGGGTTTGTTACAGCTACTTTCATTATTTTCATTATGCTCATTATTATTGCTATTATCGTTACTTCGAATGTTGTTGATGCTGTTGTCATTAAAGCAATTGATACTCCTCACTGGAGAGGATGGTGAACGTTTGAGAAGCGCATGCTGGCGATGATCAAAATGATAAAGAGTATTCTGATCATCGTGACCACTCATCCAAGATGATAGCGACATCGAGAGCGGACGAGACAAGGATGGTGAACCGGGAGTGAATGAGGTTCCAGTTCCTGTGCATGAGTACGAATGAGGGTATATACCGTACATTCCTGCGCTGAATGAAGCGCCCCTACGGCGCATTCCCAACCCCACCCTCAATGTTGAACGACGACTTCCATATGTGCGCCCCCCGCTGCTGTTCTTGATATGATTGATAATGTTCTCCCTTGCCTCGCGCTCTTCCCGGATCTTTAGTTGTCGTAGCTGCTCCGCCCGCTTACGTTGTCTCGCCTGTCTCTCCTGAAGAGTTGAAGGCATTGGATATGGTAAGTCAGTTTCACCCAAATAATCCTGAGGCGAAGGCTCTCCACTGCTCTTGATGGTATTCTTGGAGAGGGAGCAGAACCCAGTCAGAACCGGTGGTGGGGAAGGGTTTCGGGGCCGGTTGAGGAAGTGGGCTTGTGTTGTAGACGTGTTGGTATTGGTGTTAGGTTTGATCTGTTGAAATCCTTGGTGTGAGGTCTGCGGTAGAGAATGGTGTCTGCTCTCCTCCCCTTCCTCCTCTTTTTCTCTCCTCTTTATCTGCTGCTGTTGTTGACCCTGGAACTCCAGAGTGCATGGTCCTTTGCTCTCTGGTAATGATGGTGACGTTGTTGGGATATGCTGATTTATGGAACTGTATTGCGAGCGCCCATCAGTTAAGCAAGATGGGGTGGGATAGTGGTCGAGACTATCAAAGGGCCTTATATCTGTACTCGTGGGTAAGCGATATGATCCTGAGCTTAGATTTCCATCAAAATTAAACCTTTCCTCCAGCTGAGGTGGCGTCTCTACCAGAGCAGTATCAAACCACCAGTTCTTGCAATTTGCATTTGTCGGGAAAACAAAGCGTGTGGGCGGTGAAGAAGCTGAGGGAGAGCAAGTCGAAGCGGAAGAACATGAGGACGCAGAGGAAAGAGGAGGCACTGTCGATGGTGGCGGTGAAAGTGAGAGCGACAGAGACAGAGCAGATGCGGCTCTGCCAAAACTATTTTTGTTGTGATTACTTTTAGTGTCGCAACTGCTTAGGATATGATGATAGCCATTGTTGGTATTGCTGCCAAAATTGGAGCTGCTGCTGCTGTTGCAAGGGCTGCCAGTATGGATAATCGTGTTATTGCTGTTATTACTCGGCAATTTTGGGATTCTGGTAAAAGTCGAGTAGGAGCAAGTGATTTTTTTGCTGTCACGTTGAGCAGGGAGAGCTAGATAGTCCGAGTCTTGGCTGTTGAATGAGGGTAAGCTTGGTCTGAAGCGCTGAAGGCCTTTGCTGATCTGGTAAGCATTAGTGCTATCGTTAGCGTCTTCACAATGGCCCGAGTCTCTTCGTGCAGTACAATTGGATTCTGTGGTTTTGATTTGTTTGTTGTCAAAGAGACTTGTACTATTGTTGGGTTGTAACTTCGCAACTCTCGTGAATGCTTTGGGTAAAATCTTTGATCTTGTTGAAGTAGTGGAACGAAAGGCGCCATCGCTGGTGCTGTTGTTATTATCGCTATCATTGTTAACATGAGAAGTAGAAGAGTCGAGAGAAAGGCCTTTGAACGAGCCAAGTACATCGAAAGATCGTGGCTGTGTGGACAGCATAGTGAAGAGAGGTAGAGAGAAAGAGAGTGTGTGTCGTCAATAAGTCTAAAAGGGATGGAGGGAAAAATGAAAAGAATAGAATGGAGCTTAAAGAAAGGGTTGTAGCAATGCATGCATGGGATTGAAAATGAATAAAACGAAAATGAATGAGAAATGCTAATGCAAATGATAAATGATAAATGATAAAATAACAAAAGGTAAAAAGATAAGAGATAAAATATTTATGATACAATCAACACGCAACTAATTCATTTTTCATATTGAATTGTGTTTTTAAAATTCGTCTATTTTTGCAAGCACACACGCCACTTTATTTGTATATATTGAGAGATGAAAAAAAAGTCAGAGAAAAGAGCGAATGATTATGATGAAATGAGTGAGCCAATATCAACAGCAAATAACATGAATGAAGTTGAGCCTGAAGGAGTACCTCTGGGTAAAGTCCTTCATGATTGATTGATTTTTTTATGATACCCACATAGGCTGGCTCAAACCTCAACCAGAACGGTATACAGAGTTGGGATGATTGCGAAATGGACGAGCCATCCAATTAACACCCGTGTACTCCGCAGCAATTAAGTGACATTCCAGTATATCATGTAACATATTGTAATGATGCTGTTGGTCATCAGACATCTACAAACCTACGAATGTGCGTGCGTGTGTGCGTCCTTTGGGTCTTGTCCCGATGATCATCAAGGAAAGGAAGAACAGAAATACGTACAAAAAAAACGTATGTACTCGTTTTTATCACACTCAACTCCGTCGTACAAGGGTTCAAGGCAAGGTAGTTTCACTATGACTATTCTGCGGATTGTTTTCAAAATATTTTTACCAGCATTGGATCCATATCTATTTCCTCAGTCATCCAACACATCAATGAAAATGGTGGTTTGAATCTGACTTCCTCTTCTACTCCTTTTCCCTTCTCCTACCTCTTCTCTTCCTCCCCTTTCTCCTCCTCCTTTTCATTCTCCTTCTCCTTCCCCTCTTCTCTGATACAGACCTCCGGCCTACATCCGTATGCTGTGGGCGGTATTCAGTCCTAAGTAAAGTAGATATCGCCAAAAATGGGAAATAGCATTAGGTCATATCAATGATTTCATAGCCCTGGTGTGAATCTAATCCATTAATACCTTAAGACGGTCATACCATTTGTTGATCACTGTCTCGGAGCATCACGCCCTGAAACAGTACTCTGCCACCTTCTTGGAATGTAAAGAGACTTCATTGCTGGAGACCCATGAACGAAACGGTTACACTCATATTTTTCACCAGCTTTTGGATCCATAACCACATTCGTGCGATGAGAGACGTCACAGACAGTTTTTCTTTAAAATAGCTTCGTACATCTCGCGGATGTAGAGCATCGGTTCTTTGTTTATTTACCTACTTATTTGTGATGTACAGCTGTATGAGCGATGAAGCTGGCGAGGATGATGATAACAATAGTGTAAGATCTATTCTACGATGGATCCTTCATATTAATTCCGGACAGAACTCGTCTTTCTCCTTCTGTTGCTGATGACTTTCCAGGTCTGCTAAAGCCATCAGACGATCAATTTCTGTCCTCTTCAAAATAGTTTCCAGTCTCATCAGCATCGCTTTCGTCCGTGCTTTCTTTTCATCACTATCTGCTTGAGCCTTTATTTTTTTTCGCTCAATCTTGGCAGCCGTCTTCGCTCGACGATTCTCAATATCCGCTTCGATCTTCTTCTGCTTCAGCTCTAGTTTCGCAGCCCTAAATGCCTCATTGAAATCCTCCCTTCGTCTCTTCGAGGCACGATTCAGTTGAGCGAGCCCTCGGGAAGTATTCTGGCGAGAAGCCTCTCTATCACTCTCCTGGCTCTCTTCAGAAGCTTCGCCATCATTATCCTGGAGTCTCGTGCCATTGTCCTGGGCTCTTGTATCGTTGTCTTGGGTTCTTGTCTCATTATCTTGGGCTCTTTCTTTACTATCCTGGGCCTTTGCTCCGTTATCTGGGGCTCTTTCTTTATCACCTTGGACGCTTTCTTCATCACCTTGGGCGTTTGCTCCGTTATCATGGGCCATTTCTTCCTTGTTCTGGGCCCAATATGCATTACTTTGAATATCCTGACTGCTGAATCCACTACTCTGAACGCTGGCTTCATTACTCTGGCTGCTAGGTCTGTTATTCAGCACGTTATTTTCATTGCTCTGACTACTAGTTCCGTTATCCCGATTCCCAGCCCTAGTGTTCTGGCTACTAACTCTGCTCTGGCTGCTGACCCTATTATTTCTAGCGCCAATTTGATTGCTTTGAGTACTAGTCTTTTTGTTTTGGAAGTTAGTTTGGTTGTTCTGGGGGCTAGTTTGGTTGTTCTGAGCATTATTTTCGTTGCTACGGTAGTACGATGCTCGTGGCTGGAGTATCTCATTGGTCTTGTTATTTTTGGTGCCTTTACGATTCACGCCTAGAATCGGTTTGGACCAGGTATCTTCCATGATATAGTAAAAGTGACATTTCTGAATAATTTTTTCTTTAAATGATTCGGAAGAGGGTGAATGAGCAGAGATAACGACACGATGTACTTCATTCCATAGCCTCCTCATGTTCATGATCTTATTCTTGAGTTGCCAGTCCAACACCCTCATTGGTTTATCTGCCGTAGAGAACGCTTCATTGAATGCTTTAAGGATCTTTTCGCGTATTTCAGGCTTTCGCTTGTCCCCAGTATGCCTCTCAGGTGGACCGTTCAAGACACTTGCATTTTTTGGGTCTGCAAGTTGTACAGCAAGATATGTCTCCTCTTCCTTTGAAAAGTTGTGACCATAACCTCGAGTGGAACCCCCAGAGGGACCATGATTGTCAGTAGTTGGAGCTAAATTTGTACTTGATACTGATGGGTCCACAGAGCTTGAAGAAGCTGAAATTGAAGAAAGAGGGGGAAGGGATTCAGACTGAGACTGTGTCTGATTTGTTTGTTGTTGAGCCTGTGGCAAGTTTTGCGATTGCTCCTGGTGCTGCTGGTTTGAAGCTTGTTCCTGTAGCAGTTCGTACTGTTGTATGTTTTGTTGCTGTTGCTGTTCCTGTGGATCACCGTGGTGAATCCCTTGATGAGAATCGAATGCTCGAGCTCGCCTCACAAAACGCTGTTCAAATGGTACTGATGCTGTGGCCATTATGTGATTCCAAAAAGTTGATGATGGGGATCAGTTTCCTGACTTCATTTAATCATTAATGTTTCAAATCCAACCCTTAACCTGATTACCTTTTTTTTTTGAATTTTGATATATGTACACAAAAAAAGTATAACTGTACACATGTTAAGGGGTAGTAGTGGCTTGAGGCTGCGGTCGGACACCTCAATTGACGAAGATTGCCTTTAAAAGAATAAAATTAATTAGCCTACCTACGCTTTACTTTTTTTTCCTTGCTCACATCGCATACATCGTGTATCCCACATATTCCTTCTTCTTCAACCTCAATAATATTAATTGTAGCTATGCCAGACCTAGACACCACCAGCATATTGAGCGATGACCTAACAGTGTCGGATCTCGGCTTCAATCTGCTGAGTGCTACTGCGCCCCCCGATCCAGATGATCTTGCAACTATTGACTCTAATCATGAGGAGTCTGTTGCTGACCCCGAAGGTGTTATAGAAGATAATGACAGTCAATCTTTGAAAGCTGTCGAAATCGACATGTCAGATATATTAAAAGATAAGTTAGACAGAGAATTCGAGACCTTGATTGAGGCAAAGGATTATTACATGCAAATCGCCTTGGCACACAGATTTGCCCTCAAGATTCGCTCTAGCTCAGTCAAGTTCATGAATTTGGCATGTGCTTATGGTGGCAAGTACCGAACCAACCTCACTGCTGATGGTAAAGGTGTCATCCGTCAGAATGTAGGCTCGAAGCTTCATGATTGCCCTTTTTTCATCCGCGTAAAGTTAGCCACTTTGCTCTTAAGAAAATCAAAGAGCAGTACGACAGGGCTAACAGAAAGGAGCCCCTAGAGCCATGCCGCAAATATAATCGAATGGTATATGGATTGCCATGCGCCCATGAGATCAAGAAGCGCAATGCCCCTCTTCAGCTAGGGGATGTAGATAAACATTGGCATCTACGACCAGATATCGAACAAAGCAAGGACCCAAAAGACGATCCCCTTCATGCAGCAATCAATAAGATATTTGAGAATGTGAGCAAAATCCCTGTCGCGGAGCAGTTCGAGTACCTGGAAGCCATTCGAGCAAAGCTGACACTAATGGGGCCAATTCAATCCCCTTTAACTGTTGCCACTAGAGGAAGGCGTAAACTAAATACCAAAAGAAATAGGAGTCATTTTGAGCACGTCGACGAGATGCTTGAAATGAATGCAACCAAGAAGAGGTGATTATATTTTTTGTAAGCGTGTCTGTGTCAATAAAACTATGTCAAATATAGTGTTCCGGGGTCAAATGGCCGTCATTTCAATTGAATATCAAACCACTGTTTGTGTGTATGGTTATACTTTTTTTGTGTACAAATATAACAAATGTTTTTTTTTTTTTTTTTTTTTTTTCGCGTCAAAGCTCAACCCTGAATTTACTTTATCAATTACAGCCCTCTTATTCTGGTGCACCCTTGCACCTGTAGCTCCCTTCATATATTTAGTTTAACACTCCCGAATAACAAGATCTCCAATCCCCATACTGTCATTACTTCTGCAGTGCCTTCTTTTGTTTTAGCATTTTTCGACAAGAATGTCACCATCAAGACAGCAAAGTGCTCGATAGTTCATCTAAACTGTCTTTTTTTTTGTGCATTCAATGTTTTGTAATGAAATTTTACATTGGTTTGGAGGTGAGTATATACAAAAAAGAAAAAAAAGAAAAAAAAAAAAAAAAAAAAAAAAAAAAAGAGGGACAAAGGTAAAAACAGCAGTATAAAATCGACTAAAGCGTCTAATTAATCGCCATCATTTTCATCATACTTCTTTTGATCGTTTAAAAAGCAAGAGCATCACCAGAATTCTCGATGCTCTCCTTAACAAACATTTCCCAATACTGGTAGATAATGGTGGTACAAAGCAAAATACCCGTTCCAGATCCAATGGCACCAATCAAGTCAGCAAAGACAGAGACAGCGCCCAAAACGGCGCCTCCAAAGGCAGCAGCAGTAGGAATGACACGCTTCAACTCCTTGTACATTGAGGCATCACGATGACCAGCCATGACCATACCTTGGTCCTTGAGTTGTTTGGCGACATCACGAGCAGATGAACCAGAGACCTCAATCCAGGTCTTGGACAAGAGGGCACAGGCAGTCAACATGAAAGTGACATAAACGACCGTATGGATAGGGTCCAAAAGAGCTTCAGTGATACTGTGAGGAGGAGACATGTAATAGGCGAGTCCTCCTGAGGCAATCATCTGGCTAGTACCTTGGTAAGGAGACCATGTGCCGAAAATGCGGACAAGGATGTTTTCGGGGAAGCGATTGTAAACCATTTGAGAAATCATAAACATGTTGGAGGTCAAGGCTGACTGCAACATAATGGGCATGTTAGATGTGTAGAACAATTTGATGGGGTAGGTTCCACGCTGTCCACGGAAGCGGGAGGACTTGACAGGGATCTCGACACGGAAGCCTTGAAGGTATATGACAATTCCAAAGATGAGTAGGGTAGCCAATAGGTTCATAACATTGGGTAAGTTATCGCGGTAGAAAGCTTCCTTGAGAGCACGGGACTTGTTAGAGCGAATGAACAGCAAATGGAAAAGAGCAATCAAAGCACCCTCAAACTCTGGACCATTACCGACATTATAAGTGGTAGGACTAAGAGCCTTCCAGAGAATGGTCTCGCAAACATTGGTGGCGATGAAAAGCGAGATACCTGAGCCCAAACCATAGCCCTTTTGCAAGAGCTCATCCAGAAGAACAACAATCACTCCAGCAACAACAAGTTGGAGGATCAAAAGCAGGCAGATACCGGCTCCCAACTCCGAAGGAGGTCCGTACAATCCATTCATCACCGAGACAGTGGCCTGGCCAAAAGCAATCAACATTGCAAACACTGAAAAATAAACAAACAAACAAAACAATATTAATTAGGCAACATCTTCACAAAAGACTACACTCAAAACAGCAGAGCAGCTATACAATAAGGATTCTAAGACATACATTTCTGAGCGCCATTGAAGAGAGAGCGATCCTCCTTGAGACTGTAGTCGACTTCAATCAAGTTAGCGCCGGCCAGCAACTGCATGAACATGCCTGATGTGACAATAGGAGTGATGCCAAGTTCCATCAGAGTTCCACGATTGGATGCGAGAATAGCACGCATCCAGTACAGAGGATCTGATGAATCTGATGACATAATGCCATATAAAGGAACTTGGGAGCATACCAAGAAGATGAAGAGAGTAACAGCTGTCCAAAGAACCTTCTGTCTAAATGGGACCTAAATATTCCAAAATTCCCAGGGGAGACGATGAATATGAGCGAGATGAATAAGACGGATAATACACAATGCGGATTTGATAATAAGATAGATGGTAAAATAGGAGCGTGGGAGTCAATATATTGTTATGTTCTTCACTTTTCTCCTTACTCCACATCTATTAATATACAAGGGCTCCCTGGCCTCATCAACATTTATTTCACAAATAGAAGGGTTACTGAAAGTCACCATGTTTTTTTGTAGCACCTCAGTACCTTGCGCTCTGGAGCAGCGATCTCTGGCAGTACAGCCATAAATGGCCTAATCAAGTGTAGAAAGCGAACTATCGAATTCAATCCCATATATATTGGGTAGGACGCATATGGATTAGAGTAACGTTTTACAATAACAAAGACTGGATACCGAGACGTGTTCCCGTTGATAGCATCTCTGCAGTTCATTCCGTTACGGAGCGCTTATCCAGCATTCTTGGTACATCATCTTTAGTAAGCCAGGACACTTAATGCTTTATTGAAGACAGTATCCTCCGCGTAAAAATCGGTTCCAGGTTGAGGTTGAAGTTGATCCGATCAGCATTTCCTTTGTCCTCCAATATGATTGTAGGAATAAATGGCTGTACTAGACATACGATACTGAAATATCTTGTGCAGAAAGCAAGTATATTATAACTTACACCCAGCCATAGTTAATGTGTTCGAAGAGGAATGACGGATGAGAAGAAGAAATGGTGATGAGATGTGCTTTCCTCACTCTCCCATAAGTTATAACGCGTGCCAATCAGAACCAGCCACTCCAAAGAATTGATCCAACCATGTCATGTGACAAAGCGCTTGTACTTACTTTCTTTGGTTGCTCATGTCGGATGACTCAAGGGTTACGTGCCTGTTCTTGCGTAAATTGATGCCACACCAATTTCTTCGTGTTGCTGTGTTTGTCTCAGGGGCCTCTGGTTCCTGGATTTCTCCAAGACAAAGGCTTCCTGTTTAAGCACGAGATTTTTGGACGTAGGATAAATCGCGACTGCCTAAGATACTGGTCAAGGAGAATGCAGCCATGACGCTATGCTACCATGACCAACCTATATCCGGTAGTCATCTATGCTCCCTCTCTAAACTAATAACTCCAAGAAGTTGGATTGGGTCGTGGGTCTGCATGTCCGATGAGCGGCCGTATATTTACTAGTACTTTCCTATCAACACACTTTGAAGTAGATGTAAGCTGGTCAAGGTACCAGGCAGAGTCGGCATTAGGCTTCGACCCTTAATAATAAGCGGATCTCAGCCCTTTAAAACATGTTTTTGGCAGTTTAAGCTCAAATAATATGATCAAAAGGATAAGAAGTGTGCACACGGAGAAGGACATGGCTATGCATGGTGTGCTCACCTACTAGCGAGGCAGTATAAGAGAACTCCCTCTTTTGCGCCGATAGTCTATGGGGGTGAAAGGTTCTACACACCCATCAAAGTATCTTCTCTTGACGATCCATTCAAGAAAAGGGATATTTTTTACTGAGGGCACTGCATCTATTTTCACCAAGGCTCCTTGCATTGTCCCTTCTAGGAGATCGGCTATCATAGCTTTTTTGTACGTATATGAGGGCTGGTAGGGAGCTGCCCTATGTCTCTTGAATCGACAATATATCTTTCGTACATAGCTAAGGAAATGGAATAAACCCCAAAGTAATCAATGGACTATTTATTTAGACCTGGACCAGCCTACTTCTTCATAGTTTAGTAGCTTAGCTCATTTTCGGTTCCCCACCGGCGTAACCTCGAATTATTCTAAAGGCGTCTCGCTCGTTTACCGAATGGCCCGAGAAAGCTGCAAAGGCCGGAGACCTGCCTATTATCCTACAATGTGTCTAATGGCACAGATATTTGTCATTTTCCGTTTTCTAAATCCGATCAATGCTTCCTTCGCTTCTCAAGTGGCAACAAAGAGTCATCTATGGGTATTTACTGAATGCTGTCATGTCATTGGTATGGCCATGTGGTGCGAGAGGATAGAGAGACAGTTTAAAAGTGGGCCAATTGTTGGGCTGACAAGCCTGTCAAAAAAAAAAAATGTCTTTGTTTGAGCGATTTTATTTAAGGTTTAACTGTCAAGTCTGTCAAAATGATGCGCTATTTTTTTTCTCTCTCTTTTTCAACCACTTGACAGCTTTCTTTGTGTTACAAGCAGAAATGTCATCCTAGAAGTAAAAAAATTGCATAAAGTTTCTTTTTTGACAGGTTATGGACAGAAAAAGGAAACGATGTATGCAAAGGATCTCCTCCATTATATACTGCTATGCCCCTTCCTGGTCTCTATAAAGCAGCTCAGGGAGGAAGAGGAGGGGTGAGAGGAACTCATCTGCTCCTCATTTCCTCTTCTTCTCTCTCTCATCACCTTATTACCCAACCATTCTGCGCCTATTCCTATCTGTTGACTGCTCTGTTCTTTCAGCACATCATTTTTTTTTCTTCATTGACATTGCATTGCATTGCATTGCATTGTGTCCACCTTTGTCTCATTCTCTTTTTGTCGCACCTGCAACATCTATTCTGTACTGTTATTGCACCTTTGCTTTTACCTCCAATGACCCTATTATCTCGATCCCAGCGCATTGTCGTGCTTTTAGGGCTCAATATTGTTGTGTTCTTGACCGAAATTATTGTCGGCTACAAGACGGGCTCATTGGCCCTGATCGCTGACGCTTTCCATATGTTGTCTGATGTCCTTTCTCAAATCATTGCTCTTTACGCCATCCGAGTATGTTGCTGTCGTTTTTCTCTCGTATTGCTCTTTTTATGTACACCGGGCTTCCACAGTGTTTAGAAAATCCTTTTAACAGAAAAAAGTTTTTCTTTAACAAAATTGCTATTCATGATGACATACCATAGCTGGCTGCAAAGACTAAATGGCAGTCAACCCTATCCTACGGATGGCAAAGAGCAGAACTACTTGGTGCACTGTACAATGGTGTCTTCTTGCTGGCTCTTTGTTTTTCAATCTTTTTAGATGCCATAGAGCGATTTTTCAAACCCGAAGGTAAAAGAAAATGATTTTTTTTCACTTCCATTAGCAGAAACATATATTAAACGTCCATTTCAAACATTCCCATTAAATACATTTCTCTTCTTCCATTTTCTTTCTTTTAGACATCGAAAACCCTCAACTTGTATTAATTGTTGGCGGAATTGGCCTCGCCTGCAATCTCCTTGGATTGTTTCTCTTCCATGAGCATTCTGGTCATGGTCATGGTCATGGTCATAGTCATGGTCATAGTCATAGCAAGGCTGTCCATGACGAGAAAAAGGCCAAAATGGACTCTGGCGAGGAAAAACCCAATTCTGGAGAGACATTAAACAACCAAAAAGTCGCGTGTCCCGAAAATACATCCGAAAAGCGACCGCATAATTTCCATTATGAATCCTCCCTGGAGAGGATTTCTCCTCTGAAAGAAGCCAATCTCCAGAATCTGCAGCGAGCTGCTCTTGATGTTCAGAAGCAGCTTGATGATGAAGAACGTCATGACAAGGGGAAGGAAATCCAGGAGGATCCTTCTAGTATTGTCGTGATCAGTATGGATGAAGAAGACCGCCAAGACAACCATAAACATGATGGCGCGGCTCATCAGAGTGAGAGCAAGAAGAGCAAGTCACCAGGTCAAGACCTTAACATGCAGGGCATATTCCTACACGTCTTGGGTGACGCGTTAGGTTCTGTTGGTGTCATATTTAGTGCCATGTTCGTGTGGAAGACCAACCTTTCATGGAGGTTCTATATGGATCCAATTATCAGGTAAAGCACCATGATAAATACCTGCTACTCGACCTGAATATTTCGAAGAACATAATAGGATATGTAACTTACCTTTTTACTTTTAGTTTGTTGATTGTTGCCATTATTGTACATACTGCTCTTCCCTTGGTTCGATCTGCATCCTTTATCCTCATGCAAGGGGTTCCAGTCGGTGTTGAAATCGAGGAAATCCGAAAAGAAATCAAGGCGATCCCAGATGTGATATCAATCCATGACCTACATATCTGGCAGCTTACCAACATCAAGATGGTGGCATCCCTGCATGTGTTGGTCACCAACCAGGAGGCTTTTGAACGAGTTTCTAGAGCCGTCAAGACGATTATGCACCGCGCTGGAGTCCATTCAACTACTATTCAACCCGAGTTTCCAGGCATGCACCCACATCTCTCTCAGATGGTTGCCAATGCAAAGAGGAAGAGTGGGCTCAAGCTTAGAAGGATTGCGTCAGGAGATGACGCCGATGGTCTGTTACAGACTAATTATAGTACTCGTACGGATTCAATTGGTGCGCAGAGCGATGATTTCCTTCCTGGAAGACTGAAAGGCTCTGTCCCTGCTCAAGATGTAAACTCGGCCAATGCTAGTCCTCCATCTTCTACTGTGGATGTTTCCAACAATACCGGTGACTTCATTCTGACTCAAGAAGAGCAAGACATTATGGATAAATCCAACTGTGCGTTACTCTGTGTCAATGGTGAGCAAACATGCAATGTTGGAAACTGCTGCACACTCCCTGTCAAGAGATAGACTATTACTACTATTATTTCTACTACATATTGTAACTATTATTACTTCTCTGTACACCTTTGTCGGCTTTTCACCCATGAATGGCAGGAAAAGAGCTTTCTGTAGCCATTTATCATAATTCGTTACAAATAAAATATGCCGACAATGGTGGAGAGCGTATATGGATGTATATATAAACTATACTGACCTAATTGCCACTCAAAGGGTTACATTATTATTAAAAGCTTTCAGTATTCTCTTGAGGCCTTTTGAACTGAACGGGGAATTATTGTGAATTTGACAATCAGATTACATTTCTGACCTGGTTTCTTGGAGATGGGTATCTCTTCATCAAGGAAGCACCCTCCTTGTCCAGACTGTACTACAGTAATGTCACCAGGTGCTAGTTTCGAGGACCCAAACAGATCTTCTAACAGAGTGAGCCCCAACTTCATGACCAAATTATCATCCAATTGCTTGTAGATTAGATGTTGCTTCCCCTCCATCTCCTTCGCAAGAGAAACGAACCTTGATGTCAAGTTCCCACCTTGGCTTCACATCGATAAATAGGTGTACCCAGCATAACCACCATCAATACCTCTCCTTATCCTAGGATTATTAGCACCGGTAAAACCGTCCATATCGTCGCTATTACCTATACCTGCACCGAAAGCATCAAAAGACCCGAAAAGATGGCGGAAGACTCGCTTTCATATCCACTGGCTGTAAAAGTGAGAGCGTGGCCACCACCCCAAGGAAATTCACTAACGAACTCACCAAGGGATTTATCTGCCTTCCAAGGCCTACTCCCCCCCCTCCAAGGCTCTCTTCCCCATATTGACCACAAGTGTCCTACTTCTCTTTGCCACTCAGTGCTTCGTATGCTTCAGAGATGTTATAAAACCGTTTTTTGGCATTTGCATCAGAGTCCTGATTTAAAGATTTTTGTTATGTTGCTGTCAGTTGCTGAATGGTATACACTTATATTTGTTAAAGAAGAAATAGCAAATGAGAGCGTGTGTGTAGTTGATATCAATCTTTAATATCAGTAATGTTGCTTTTTTTTTTTTTTTTTTTTTTTTTTTTTTCGAAAAACGGATACAAAAAAAGCTGAGATTGCGGACAAGCACAAGGTTTTGCTGCTGACTGTTTATCTTATAGCACAGTGCATCTGCAACTAGGACACGGACAGCTTAAGGAGCAAACTCCCGACTTTATGTTGTAATCAAGTCACGGATCGGGCTCACCGGGATCTAAGGAAAGCCAGGATTAAAACTACTTTTTAGGATGCTTATGGATACACGGGTGAGCGTTTTGTACATGAAATTATAGCACATTTCCAGCTCTGGATGTAAACCTCCTTGTCAACTTGGAACTAGTTGCAATAAAACTCATCGTCATACAAAAACTATACCCTGAACTGACCTGAATTTCATATCTTAATTCCAAGTGTCGGATTTATTAGTAAAGTTTTTTGCATTCCTAGTATCCTTGTACTAAAATCCAACGCTGCGCTTAATCTTGCGAATTGTCTCTTGATTCGAAATATAGTGAATTAATTGATTGTGACAAGAGTTGTATCGGTTATGCATACCTCGCATATCCCGTAAACCTTTGCCGGTCGATACCTCCTTCACTGCCCATGAAGAGAGACCAAGATATACAGTTACCCTTTAAATAAGGTTGGCTGTCGAAACAACTTCTCTAGATTCCTTCTCCAATTTGGATTGCTCCAGGTACCGTAAAACGAATCCTCTCTCTTCGTTCATCAGCTTCTTTCCTTTTTAGTGGTTGGATATACTTGTATGGAACAAAGTTTCATTCTGTATCAAAGGCCTTTATTTAAGGCGTTACATTCGGTTGAGCATGCATGTCCTCTAACTTCCTTACCTGTCGATTAGAGCCTTCTTGTTTGCGGACTAGCTTTCTATTTCTGAGGGCTATTTCTGAGGGCGCCCCTTCGAGTCTGGCAAAAGTCTCTTGTGCTGACAGAAAGGAAAGAGTGAGTGCGAGCGCTAGGTCATCTTCATCTTATTCCAGGTCAACAGCACCATCCATTTTACCTCACACTTCATGCTCCATGAGGACCTGTTTCTGATCGGACTTCCTTTCCCGCATCTCTTCCTCTGTCGATTCCTCTATAAACATAAATAAAAAAACGTTAGGAATGTGAAGAATGAGAAGCGTGAGTGTTTAGTAAGAAGGGAGAAAGGGTCTTAAAATGTTGTGGATTTAGGCATAACACTAAACTATAATACACACCGCAAGGAAATGACAGTTCAATATCGATGTTGAATACGACCCTCCAAATTAGGCATAAGCGTGCTCTGCGGTCTATCGAGCTTATTTTCACGTACAGACAACTCTGGGTTGGTCAATGTCTGCGCTTTTGTTTTTTTTTACTCCACAACACACATTTGGTTGATCCTTGTTCCCCTTCCTTTCTTCTTGGTCTACTTTGCTCATTCTTCTTCCTGTCGTTGTTACCGTACAATCACATTCATCGCCACAAAGAGCATAAGCCAGAGTCAGACACGATGGAGATCCTCAAGAGCGAGTTTGAAGCTAGCCTGCCAATACTGCAAAAGGCCATTTCTGAATGCGACTTCATTGCGCTGGACACTGAATTCACAGGTATAGACTAAAGAGAATTTTAATTATCAAGAGAAATAGAGAAACAGTGAGAGGAGAAACTGACGAATCGATTGAAATATGCAAAACAACAATATCAATAGGACTAGCCTCGCCTACCAACATCCCAAAGATTCAGGACAGTTTAAACACCCGCTACTCCAAAGTGGCGATAAGTGCTGCCGCTTTCCTTGTAGTCCAACTCGGGATTTGTACATTTACTTGGTCAGATGAAATAGGTGGATATGAGGCGAGGCCCTTCAATTTCCCTTGTTTCCCCTCCAGTGATGATGAGGCGAAAGCGGGGGAGCGATTCTTCAAGGTCCAGAGTACTAGTTTGGAGTTTCTTATCAAAAATGGGTTCGACTTTAATAAGTGGATCCGCGATGGTATTCCTTACATGACTCGGACCGAGGAAGAGGCATATATCATTCGTAAAACTGAGAAAGAGTCAGCTATTGCTGCTACAAATATGGCACAGAGCAATATCCTTATAGATGATCGTAATCGCGATTTTATGTTGAATACTGCGTAAGCCTTGACAGCCTGTTATCTTCATGAACTTTTTAATACGATGGATATTAACCTAAACTCCACTAATACATTTATGGATGATTCATGTCATATATTATTGGATCAGCTCTCAGATTCAAAATTGGCTCCAAAACTCGACAGAAAAGACCCTGACTATCGCAGCACCCAACAGCTATTTTCGCCGACTTGTCCATCAAATTATCCGTACAGATTTTAATGACGGTCTTTACGCAGAATCAGATGCGCTGGCTCGCACAATGATTATCCAGCGCATGACAGATGAACTTCGTCAACAGAAGGAGCAGGCTAAAATCGCTAAACCGCCGACACTGAACCTTCGTCGCGTGCTGGATATGATTTCAGATGCTGGAAAGCCCGTAATCGGGCATAACTGTTTCTTAGATTTGATGCAGGTCACTCAGCAGTTCTTTTGGGATTTACCCTATGAGCTGGAGGACTGGAAAAGAGCCTTGAACCTAGAATGGAGCACGTATGTAACAGCATACCGTACACAACATTTATCGTCCTTCTTGAATGGATACCACTGTTATACTGACTGGTATTTTCTGAACATAATACATTATATAGCATTATTGATACAAAACATCTTGCTGGACATCCCTTAATCAGCCCTTTCCTTGCATCAACTGGGCTTGAACCTGTATCAGAGTGCGTACAAAAAGCACCATTTGCCGAAGTCGGGCCTAAAATTGGTATGAAAAGCTGTGTAGCATCAGAATACTAATTTCTTTGGAGCCGGTGTGGCAGTAGAGACGATTGGATTATTAATTTCCGATTATATAACTCAATTCTGATTTAGTCATGGCTAGACATTTTAATCGATACTTGGCAGATGCATCGGTAGCCCTTGAGAATAAGGCAACAAAAGAAAAGAATGATACCAAATACCATGAGGCCGGGTATGACGCCTATATTACTGGCCAAGCTTTCCTTCGCTTTGCTGGATATATTCTCAAGGCTAAGGAGAGAACTGAATTGGAGGAAGAGGAGGAGCACGCACGCAAGAAGAGGAAATTAGTTAATTCTGATGAAGAGGAGGAGGAAGGGGAGATCGAAGAGACGACTACTGAAAAGGATGCGTGTCTTGAAAAGCAGAAACGTATCCTAATGGGAAACCCTACCATCCAAATTCTAGAGAACGAGGAACTGAAGAGCTTCTACAATATACTTCATATAATGCGATCTGAGGTCCCCACGTTGTATCTGGCTGGTCCTGACCCAGAGCCCCAGGAAAAACCACATCATTTCCTATTGAAAAACATCCCTTCAACGTTCCAAACCTCTACATTATTTCATCTTTTTGCTCCCTATAACCCTCAGCGGTTTGTTTGGCTGGACTCTAACAACGCCTGGATCCACCTCAGTCTCTATGCACCAGCTCGTGAGGGAGAAGAGTCTAATAGGGAACCCTACATACCGACACCTGTGCCTCTTGGTCGACTTGGAGAAGATTATGTGAATCCTTATTGCGTTGGCAATGAGGATATAGCAGTAAGAGGGCGTGCATTGGGTGTTGTACCCGAGGCTGCACATATCGAGGTCGTTTCTTGGAAGGCATGGTTTGACGAACGTGAGACGTTGGAGAGACAACAACGGCAGTCTGCTGGCACTGCACGTGACAGCAACGGTCGTGGACTTCAGAGATTTGGCCGTGTAAGTGGTTCATCAATACCTCAAGGTAAATACGTTTTACTCTTTCATGTTTGCTCAGTGTCGAGAGTAAAATATTCTTTTTTGTTGTGTCGATGCAATGTCCCTACAATATTAACCCTCTTTTCCTTTTATGGGCTTTATCATAATATATAACATACCCATCTCGGCTCGACCTGATCCAGACGTTACAATAACAAGCAGTCCAGTTATAGGCAGCAAACGTAAGCACGGTGCAAATGATGAAGAGGGAAGGTAATCTAAAGCTATATTATAAGGCTCCTAGGTTAAATCCATCTTCACTTTTTCGTGAGTTGTATCAATAAACTTTTAAGCCTGCGTCGTCCCATACATCGCGAGTTCCCTCCAGTCCTTAGTCATGGGGTACGCCTTGCCTTGTGTTTACACTTTTGACACAGTGAGGAGAAAGCCTCGAAGTGAAAGCCTAATGGAAAAATCGTAAATGACCTTTAAAACTCCTCTATTCTATCATCTTCTCCTTGTGTTCTTATTGCCTCAAATGCTTTGGGTGCTTTTTTTCTATATATTTTTTTAATAAAAATAATTATAATCGACGGAGAGATGTATATAAAGCATATTTTCCCTATATGTGCTTGTGGATCATCTAAATAGCTACGAACTCGATTCAACGTTAATGATAATATTGATTCTATAACACCAATGTTATGTTCCTCTTTTCCTGTAAACTACCGTGGCAAGCGCCATCAAACTGGCACAGAAAATAATGCTGAAAAATGGTGCTATTGCACAACCGAGGGGTGACTGGATTTATTAATGTAACCATCATGATACCCCTTTTGTCTGGAACAAGTCTAATAATAAAGGTGTTGGTTGTTGGGCAAACAGTTCTGAGGTGTATTCAACTGCTCTGAGAAAAAAAACTTGAGCGGGACAGTGATGCTAGTGCTGGTTAGACTATGAGTGATTCTCGGAAAGTGCGCGTGCTCAATTAGGCAATACCACAAACAAGAAAACAGGCGGTAATGAATGAGAATAAAACTAATAACCCATGACCGCACTAGCTTTAATACTAGGCCGTCTATTAATATTGTGACCCAAGATGATAATGTATACACAATGACATTTATATTGCAACATGATGATGTTGTCGATGACGCGCCTTGTCGATATTCTGGTCTGTGCGCCATACTTCCTTTTAACTCTACCTTGTGTAAACTTAAACTCGATTAAAAATCCCAAGTATATACACACCACACGCACATCATGATGCGCCTGCAGTCATGGCTTTCTTTCTTATTTTAAAAAAGGCTGGTTCCTGTTAATTAACGATAATTATGTTTTGTGCTTTAATTCGAATATGCAACGATAAAACTTTAGGAACACGTTTAAAGTCATTATGGTAAGAACATCCCAACGCCCTATCGAGTCAATATCTATCAAAAAGGATATCCAAGGGCATTGTAAACATCATCATGACGCTGCCCTCTATTACCTTTCTACAGTAAACATTGCTTCTATAAAAGGCCCACCATTTTTCAAAAAACCTTTATCAACATTGCCTATCTCTAATCATACCAAAAATCATACCAAAAATCATACCAAAAATCATAATAATATTCAAACCATGCCTCTTTTCCAACGTCGCGCATATGTTCCAACACAGATCTATCATAGACCATCACCGATGGCACGATTGAAGAATATGTTTGCACCCCGGCGCTACCGTGGCCATCGTCATCATTATGGCCCAAGCACTGTCCCTGCTGCTGCTCCTATTGCAGGCACAGCAGGCGTACGGACTCAACGCGCTGCTCGGAAGACCAGACGCACTCTCCATGGTCTTTTTACTCCTCGCTCACGCCCACGCCACCACCAACCAGCTGTTGTGAATCCAGTTCGTCGAAGTCGAAACCCATTTTCGCGCAGAACTGCAGCCGTTGCTGCTCCAGCAGCTGGGGCTCCTATGGCAAGCGGTGCTTACCCATACAGGAGAAGTCTCATGACTTCCCTCAGGGCCATGTTCTCACCGAAAAGACACCGCCACCATCCTAAGCATGCACCTGTTGCTGCCACTACAGGTCATACTCATGGTCTTCGCTTGTAGATAAAGAGCTCACCTTAGCAAACTCCTTCATCCCCCTTATAATTTGTACTACTTTTTAGTTTAATAATACAGCACGCCTCTTAAAGCGATACGAATTAAAGATAATCCTTAATAAAACAAAGCAGCAACAGAGATAAAAAGTAGACTGAGTCAATCAGTGAATTTCAAATGAGTACATTCAAAAAAAAAAAAAAAAAAAAAAAAAAAAAAAAAAGCCCGGGTTGTAAAGTCCGTCATTGCTGGGTGTAGCTGGAGTTAAGGCTCTCATTTGCCTCCTCCCATTGCTGTTTTGGAGCGACAGCATCATAACCATCATCTCTACTTGCCTTTATGAGCAGTAATATAAAAGTCAACAGTGAACATTAGTAGGATAACTCTCAACAGTCAACGGATGATCAGCCCGAATATACTACAGCAAGGCACATAATAGGAACCTTGGGGTATTTCATGCATGCCAAGCCTTTCCAGTGCGAGCATATAAAAAACCCTTGCTCAATAAGGATTGACGAGTAGCAGCCGGCTATTTCCTCTTGATGAATCCGTCTTGGAGGCAGCAGCGCTTGTATTAGCTCCTGCCAATCCTTCACCTCTTTTTTTTTTTTTTTTTTTTTTTTTTTTTGATAATGACGACCTACAAGGTCATGTAGGATTTATTTAGATGTTAGCCCTATAAATGGGTTATCCTATTACCGGGGTCGCAAATAAAGCAGTATCCAATAATCGGCCGAAGTTGCATCGTCATACTACCACAGTACAACATCCTATTCATAAACTTAAAAAAAATTCTAGGTCGTACAAACGAAGGAGAAATGACCTTTTTTTTCCCAAGTGCTAGAAATTTAAAATGGTGACCCTCAAGTTTGGTCCCAGCCTGTCAGTGAGCGTTAGCGCATTGCACATAAGCCACACAGGCTGGTGACGAGCCTAGATCGCGAAGGGATTCTGGGGGGATTTTTTTTTATAACAATTTGTCTCTCTAAACGAATAACGCTATAAAACTGAAGAACTATCTAGTCAGAATGTACTCGATGCCCGATCCTCCAGAAGAATCGCTTTACAGTCGCCACAAGTCTAGTCACGTTCCCTCGGCAAGTCCTTCGGGTGCCGCGCGACTATTACCACTGCTCATCACCGTGTTTAACGTCGAAAACATACTGTTACAGGAAAGGAATCGCCCTCATCCTTCCCATGGTTGTCAACTTCCGCTGTCCTAACAAGCTCTGCAACAGAACCTTGTCTGCGGCAGGCGGATCTAACGTAGATCCTGGACAGCGCCTGCCGCGATGCGCATCCATTACCGTACCACAAGGACAAAAGCCTTCTGCTGTCATAAAGCCATATCCGTTGCTTCAGTCGCCTCTTGGCCCAGCGTGTGGTGCGCGCTTCTGCCTCGGTCTCACACCTTGGTCCTTCTCCTTAGCAATGGTTTTCTTACGCCGTGGCTCCCAAACCATCTCCATAGCCTGCTACTCAAGGTAGCTAACGAACTTGCGGATCACTTTACGGGCGATATATCACGCTGTGCAGAGCAGAGAGCCCATTCTTTTTTTTTTTTTTTTTTTTTTTTTTTGATAGCTGGGACCCACGAGGTCGTGAGGATTTATTAGAAATAGACTCTATAAATGGATTGCCCTATTTACTATTTTTTTTTTTTTTTTTTTTTTTTGATAGCAAGGACTCTCAGGGTCTTTTTTTTAGTGTCAGACTCTTTGCCTGTCTGCAGATAAGCAAACAGCCCAGGACGCACCACGAGGAGGTGGTCTGACTATTGCGTCCTATGGGTTGCCCTATTTACTAGGGGCGCAAATAAAGCGGCTTCCAATAATCGGTCTTAACCGCATCGTTGAACTGTCACTGTACAACATCCTAGTCACAAACCGCGTCAGCATGAGTGGTAACTCTTGATCCCTACGGAACTTGTGACGAGCCCTGCTCCCTACTTGGCCTATTGTGCTCAGGGTCATGGGATCTTACTAATTTTTTTTTTTTTTTTTTTTTTTTTTTGATAACAAGAACCCTCAGGGTCATGGGATTTATTTTCTACATTCTATGAACAAAATGCTCCAGAAACTATAGTCAATAAACAGCTATTACTGCACAAACGACAAGAGCCGCTGTATCCATGATTTCATAAACCCTGACCGCCGTGGTTGGTACTCAAAGTCCACCTTTCCGACGTGGCCTGTTGCGCAACGCGACAAATTATCCGCTATCCATAGTCATCAAAAACTTCATTCCACCTAGCCGCTCCATCACGTCCAGTTTGGTTTTCCCAAGGTAACTGTCCCGGACTCGGTCATCCGCGACCTTGTAGATCTCTTTTACATTCAGCTTCTGTCTTTGTCTGAGGGAAGGGACAAGGAAATCATTGCTACTACGTCTGTGCTCCCCAACACAGTTGCCTCCTCTAGCGCGTTTGCTCGTAGCAGTGATTCCACGAGTCTTTTCCCATTCAACGGTGACTTTACACCGTTTGTTCCAGATTTCTGTACGACCGAATTCTTCTATGGCCTTGACGAAGCGCCCCGCCATATATGTAGCTATCCTTGTTGTTGTCTTGAAGCCAACTTTCCAACTCTGAGCAATGGACTTTTTTTTTTTTTTTTTTTTTTTTTTTGATAACAAGGACCCACGAGGTCATGTAGGATTTATTTAGATGTTAGCTCTATAAATGGGTTGCCCCATTACTGGGGTCGCAAATAAAGCGGTATCCAATAATCGACCGAAGCCGCATCGTCATACTGCCACAGTACTACACCCTGTTCATAAACCACGTCAGCATTGAGTAGACTTCCTTGGTCCCAGAGGACCTGTGGCACGGCTCTACTCCCTACTTGGCCTGTTGTGCGCGAAGGTCATCCTTTAGCCGCTGTCCTCAATCATCAAAAATTTACAGCTTTCCAGGCGCTCCATAATCGCCAATTCCACCTGTTGCCGGTAGCTTTCCGCCACTCGCCGGTCTGCCTCAGTCCTGATCGCCTTCACATCTGCTGTTCGTCGTTGTCCCTGGTGAGAGCCAAAGAATTCACCTCTGCTATGTCTGTGCCTCCCAACACAGTTGCGTCCCCTGGCGCGTTTGCTCACAGAGGTGATACCATTGTCTCTTTCCCAGTTGACGGTGACTTTGCAGCGTCTGTTCCAGATTTCAGTCCTGCCGAGTTCCTCGATTGACTTGACAAAGCGGCAAACAATGTACCTTGAGATCGATGCTGTGGTTTTGAAGATCGTCTTCCATTTTTGTATCAGTTCCTTCGGCACCAAACCGTGGTACAAGTCTTGGACAGTCCAGTGGGCATCCTCGCCCTCATTCCTCCGTCCCATATCCACATCTTCCTCACCAAACAGAGTGCTTGCATGTCGAATCTCTCTGACGCCCTTGAACATCGCTTCCAAAGAGCCCCAAATCACGTTGTCGGCCCTGACCTGGCACATGTGTGCTTCACTTTTATGTGCCTTAACCAGGACTCGAACCCGGCCCCTGGGCTAGACAGGGGGGGTGCCCTGACGAGTATACTACTCAGCCATTGGGCAGATAAGACGTGAGCTTAAGTTGCCTCGATTAGGACACAATTGAAAAAATCACTGTCTTAAGAACCGGGGGGTTATACTGAGATGCCCTTAAAAACCGCAACGAGACGCAAATACATAGAACACACTGAAGTGTTGTACCAAGATAAAGGTCTTTATTAGTTTATGATACATATAATACTATACAAGTAACTAGTGCTGAGATGAATGAGGTTGCATACCTGAAGTGTTGTACCAAGATAAAGGTAAGGACCACTTCAGGGACGGAGAGTCCACTATTTATTATAGCGGGGAGGATCGGGTGGCTGAGCTCACGTCCAGGCAGGACGGGGTGGGTTTGAGGGTACCACTATAGGTATACCTCTGGTCCTACCTACCATGACGTCACTTGTTATAGGACGTGAGCTTAAGTTACCTTGATTTAGGACAAAATTATAAATTGGTTTGTTTGTATGGTGTAGTTGGTTATCACGTCTGTCTAACACACAGACGGTCCTCGGTTCGAGTCCGAGTACAAACATTTTCCTCTATGCTCTTTTTGCACAACCCATATATCTTAGGATTAATCTTTTTGGCAGCCTACTTCTGGGGACTGCCACTTAACTTCGCACTCTTGGGTGGCAGCTGGGCTGCCAAATACATTACTTTTTCTTTTTTTTTTTTCTTTTTTTTTTTTTGATAACAGGGTCATAACATCAGTGGTAAAACAGGCAGCGTTCTGTGGATACATTGCCTTGCACAGCTAATGCCGCCGGAGGTACTAAGGGCAGCGGCGATGACATCTTCACAAAACAGTCTTCAATGTACACGGTTAGGGAATGATTTATTGAAGACGTCTAGGTAGCAGTGAGACGCGTTGCTCCGAGCGAAAACCTCTCATAGGCATTGATCTCCAAATGGCACCTCCAAAACTGTATGAGCGACCTACTTGAAAAAAAAAAAAAAAAAAAAAAAAAAAAGTCATTAGTTTTCTAAATGAGACAAGACAATGTCACTACACATAACTATGACGTAGAAGACGGGAGCTTTATTAATTTAAAGTATGAGCGTTATATACAAATACGGTTCCTAGGAATGAAAAAAAAAAAAAAATAGTTAGAGGCCAAATAACGCTGGGTAGGCTGCCAGGTAAATAATGAATGTTATTTGGCAACTGGGCTGCCAAAGAGAGTCTTGAAAGTTCACTATATTTGGCAATGGGCTGCCAAATAGATTAATCCTATATCTTATCCACTTTATGACGAGCCATTAAATCGCTGGGAAAAAGATATTTGTACGGGGTCTTTATTTCAGTCGTAAATACCACTACCAGGAAGCATTCCACGACACAAGCTCGATACCCAAGCATCAAATATTGACCAGAATACTTATCAAAGCCGATCTAGCCTAGAATAGATGTTGATATTCTTTATGTGATTCTGGGACTAAATAAAGAACTACAAACGATTTATCTATAATAGGGAATAGAAAAAAGATATTTGCACGGGCCCGTACACCTCTTATTTGCACGGGGGCCGTACAAATATTTAAAAAATCTATTTGCATTGCCCCGTACACACCTTATTTACACCGCTCCCCCCGTGCAAATAAAAAAAAGTTATTTGCACGGGGGGTCTTTTTTTTTATTTGTACGGGGTCTTTATTTTAGCCCTAAACACCATAACCAGGAAGCCTTCCATGACACAGGCTTAGATCTAGAGTCGCTGTCTAAGCATCAAATACTGACCAGAATATCTTATCAAGTTCGTATGTAGCTCAGAGTAGATGTTGGCATTCTTTATGCGACTGGGACTAAATACAGAATTACAAATGATTTATCTATAGTTGAAATATACTATGCAGCTTTACTTTGCACTTTTGTTGGTTGCATTGTTATGGTTCCCCGATGCTTTCTTTCATTTAACGCGTGCATACATCTTAGGTATTTCCGCACACTATTAAGCACACAACGATGAATTCAGTTATTAGGAATCTCTAACGTGTAGTTTGTGTCGGTAGATGTACAACCAATCATACTACCATACTCATTGCTATGATGCATAGCGCGCCATGTTACTAGTCTCTTTCTTTCCTCTTAGATGTCCTTATCTCTGTCGTCCTTTATTAAGAACTCAAGCGCCCTCGATACTATTTTGTTTATCAAATTCATCAAAATACAATGGGTAGACTTCAGCTTATTTTGTGGAATATCTATCCTCTTACCCGATATTACTTGTCTTTTGATAGTTGGTGACAGTTCGCACTCAAAGCCGATCGTGCCACAATCACCTATATCTCTATATCTAAGTGGCTAAAATACTTTAATAGCATAACCGTGACTAATAGTGATAGAAAAGAGACATAAATATTCTTTTCTGTTATTGAAATATGCCAGGGTCATAATAAGTAGCGAGAACGAAAGAAAGGTGTCTTTATTATGATCCAGGGATCTTCGTTAAATAAAAAGGGTAAAAACCTTAGCTATAGTAAAAACCCATATAAATGACTGCTAATCGCAACAATCCTTAGTTTTGTCTCATTACATTCCAAGTTTATTATCATAGCCAACTTACCTTGGTTCGTCTTTAGCACGCAGTATTGCATACTCAGCAGCACATGTAGATGCTCACTGCGTCTAAAGGACCAGCTTCATATTGTACAATCACTTGAAATGGTAATGAAGAGAAGCACTGTCTTCAATCTTATTTCTTGCCGTTTTCCCTCAGCCTGTACTGCCCAAAAACTTCAGTGATTATCCACATTGCCTCATTAATAAAAGGGTAAATTTATTGAACTTTAGCTCCATATTACATACATAGTAAGTTATATCAGTTAGGTTAAAACATTGCACCAACTAAGAAGGAGGACAAAGAGAGGGTTCTTGTCTGCCCCACGTGAGTGGTAATTTAAATCATCGTATACGCTATATGGGTCTAATGGTAGTATTTTTGTATGTCACAAATGAGCTGTTTGGCAGCTCCCACGGCGCTGCAACTTCCACCAGTAATAATTCCAGACCCCTCTCTACTCTAGACTCACCTCCACTTATTTATATAAAGCCAGAATCATGTAGTCTGTAGGATACACGTTGCTGCTTGTAGATGAAAAAGAGACCCCGTGCAAATAAAAAAAAGACCCCCCGTGCAAATAACTTTTTTTTATTTGTACGGGGGGAGCAGTGTAAATAGAGTGTGTACGGGGCAGTGCAAATAACTTCATCCTAAACGATCATACTCATTGCTTCGATGCATAGCATGTCGTGTTACTACTCTCTTTTCCCTTTCTTCTTTGTCCTTATCTCTGTCCTTCTTTATTAAGAGCTCAAGCGCCCTCGATACTAAATTTTATTTATCAAATTCACTAAAATATAATGGGTAGACTTCAGTTTATTTTGTGGAATGTCTATCCTCTCACCTGTTTGTAACCCGAGAGATTACTTATCTTTTGATAGTTGGTGACAGTTCGCACTCAAAGTCGATCCTGCACAATTACCTATATCCCTATATCTAAATAGCTAAAATACTTTAATAGCATAACCGTGACTTATAGTGATAGAAAGAGGCATAAATACTCTTTTCTGTTGCGTTGATAAAGGTCCTTATTTTTGTCTCATTACATTCCAAGTTTGTTATCATGTTCAATCAGGGTTGATTTTTCACCAGTAATAGCCAGAACTTGCCTTGGGTCGTCTTTAGCACGCAGTGTCGCATACTCAGTAGCATATGTAGATGCTCACTGCGTTTAGGGACTAGCTTCATGTTGTACAATCATCTGAAAGAAAGTTTGGTCAAAAAAATAAAATTTCGAAATGGTAATGAAGAGAAACACTGTCTTCAATCCTTATTTCTTGCCGTTTTCCCTCAGCATGTACTGCTCAGAAACTTCAGTGATTATCCACATTGGCCTCATTAATAAAAAACCTAAATTTCCATCTTGGTTGGTGAAGTATTTTTTATGTCACAAATGAGATGTTTGTCAGAGATTCAAATTAAAAAATAATAATAAATAACCCACTTTGACCAGACTTTCTTTCGGGTGACTGTAGAGCGGAATAGAGCGTGAAAAATATTTTGTAGATAGATAGTAAGCAGTAGAAAAGTAAGTGAGAATAAGATATGGGTCCACACACCACACCCATGGGGTATTTGTTCATTTTCTGGTAGAGGGACCTATACCAGGTAACTACCTATCTATCTGTAGGATGACACAGGTTCGTTCTAAATACTTCATATCAAAGATTTATCGCGTCTTTGTGTGGCGCGTTATTGCCACTAATTTCTACTGCTAATCGTTTTAGCACACTGATGTTTTTTACTCAGTATTTTCCTAATTATTTTCTAGCTAGGCCATCATAATATTGCATACTGTGGAATATCAACAGAGCGCGATGAGTATCACAGCTCCCACGGCGCTGCAACTCCCAACAGTAACAATTCCAGACTCCCCTCTACTCTAGACTGACCTTCGCTTATCTCCTTCGAAATAAAAAGCTAGAATCATGTAATCTGTAGGATACACGCTGCCGCTTGTAGATGAAATAAAGACCCGGGGAGCAGTGTAAATAAGGTGTGTACGGACCCGTGTAAATAACTTCATCCTTTTGGGTATATCTATCGCTTGTAATTTGAGCGAGCCTTCACGTAAAGGGAAAACGAACTTTATTTATTGTTGTAGTATAAATCTGCCAGCCATGGAGGCTCTCTAGTAAAAAACTAAGGAAATCTCATTGCAGTTTCACCTCCTTTTTCGCCAAGTTGTCCATGCTTCAGACAACATGTGAATGGCTTCTTCACCCGCCGATTCTACATCAGTTCCATAAAGAAGACAAATGTCTTCAGCTCCCATTAAACTACATGAGATACAGTTCAAAATCCAGGTAAGTGAGACTGCTTGATGCTCGCGAAGCCATCCATGTTTCTTTACTTCTGCTTGAGTGAGTGTCCTTCCTCCAGAAGGAATACTATTTGGATCACAGACAATTATTGGTAACGATCGATCGATTGAAATCTCCCATGGCTTGAAATCCTCTGTAACATACAACAGCTGCCGATCTCGCGAGAAGAAGTTCCTTACTACCACTCCCTTTGACGAGAACATTGGCGGCGTGGAAGAGGGTTTCGCAGCAGCCGGTCTTCTAAGCCAAGTCTCGGCACCTCCATCTCGGACGAGCTTCAGCAATTCATCCCTGGTAAATGCTTTTTGGCCATAGCTCCCAAAAGAGCCATAAAAGAACATCCGACAAGAATGAAAAAGCTTGAGCGACTGAGCATGGTCAATAATAAAATTTATTATATTAGAATAAATGCAAAGTATCCTGTATTTGAAAATGGTTGTTCATGGCAAACACAGGAAACTCACCATTCGATTACGAATCTCACGTCTAGTTTGTGTTCCAGGTGCAGGGCCGAACTGTAAATCACCTTGTATCACATAGCGGGAGTTAGGTAATTGTAGCCACTCCTTAGCCTCAATACTGTCCAAAAACCATTTGTGATCAACAATCCATGGGCTTGACAGCATCCCATGCAAATATTTTAGGACCCTAGGGCATAAAAGAGTCGAGTCCCGGTTTAGAGTATCTTGATCTGCATTAGTAATAATGTGAGTTGTGGACTCATTAAATGGTTGATCTTGAATATGTTCCATTTGAAGTCCAGCCTCAATGACTCGTGAAAGATTCGAATCAAAATCATTGCGCTGCTCTTTATTTAGTCCAGTAAATATAGTGGTGATGACCAGAGGCTCAGAGCTATTTTTGGCCTTGGAGGATATATTGTGTTGGGCCATAACAGAGCTGTGCATAGGCGAAGAAGAACGATGTTTACTGCCTCTCGAAAGGCTATCATGAATCACCAAACTAGGGGTCATCAAATCGAGAGTTGGTTGCGATGATTCAACTACGAATACATTGTCATGGTTCGTGGTCTTTGGAGGAGACTTCCTGTCCCCAGCTATAGTATCCTTGAATAATCGCTGCTCTACTCTTGTATCGTCAGACATCATTCGACGCTTCCTGTTGGGACGAACTAGATTTTGAGACGAATCTCCTTGTTTAAATTGATCGACAGAAACATCATTTGTGGCTTGAAGTGATTCCAAAGATGATTCGTATAGTCTAAGTGTAGGTGATGGCATTCGTGGACTTGAAAACTCGCGCATCTAAGTATATTTGTAAATAGATAAGGCGTGATCATGAGTACTTGGTGTATTTTGGTTTGACAAAACGAGGATATTGTCAACGATCAAAATCCTTTACATCTTCTGGCGGTGTTTCCGGTTGGCTTGCTGTATGAAGCGACATTGTTTGGATTTCATTGCCTTGCAAGCTGACCGGTTCAACGCCTTTTCCTTTATGTATACCTAACAGGCTTTGAAGCTGTGACATGGTCGGTACTGGCCGTGGTTGTGCGGTTGACAAGGGAGGTGGCATCAATTGACGCACAATATCCTTCTCATTATGAGGAAGAACCTCAGTGACACTTGTCTGCTGATCAGTATTAGGTTGGTCATTATTCTGAGCATGATTCTTTGTCTGTAAGGCGTGTGCTCTTTCCTTGTCATGGATCGCGAGTATAGTATTCAGGGAGGGGAAGGTATGAGCCTCAACTTCTGAGGATGCCAAGGAAAGTGGAGCGGAATTTGAAAATGTAGGGCCACAGTCAAAGGTCCAGAGGAGTGATCCAACTGGCGTTCCACTATCCGAAGCTTCTGAGTTATTTTGTTGTTTGGCTAAATCATTGGCCCATATAATCATGAAGCATTCAAGAAGCGAGGTACAAGCAAAGTTAGGAAGAGGATAAGTTTAGTAAGCTTATTTGTGATATTTATAAGGACATATTATCAAGGAAGTACACGCCAAAAAAGCGAAACAAACCAGAGGGGTGCAGGTCACGTAGTTTGGATGCGCACGCCACCAAGATATCATAGGACGGATTCCTGAGCAAATTACCAACTCGTGCAGGGATACCACATGTAGGGCACTTGCATAATGTCCCTAAGTTATTATAGATACATGTTCTAAGGGAGATTACAAAGAAACAGGGATGCGAGTCATGGCATTCCGTTCAGCAGCTTCAATCAAGGTATTTTTATTTTTATGTTGACACATATCCCGCATATTCACAACCGCACCTGCAAAAGTGATGGCCACATTCCTTCACTGTGACCGTGGATTCTAACTCATTGCCACTACAAGAGGAAAGGAGTAAAACAATTTGTTAAAATCATTGAAGTCATGAAGCGACAGTGAAAGAGAGGGCATCGATTAGCGTGAGAGCATTACCACAATGAGCAACAGAGAAGGCTCCTAAAATTTTCCAAAGCATCGTCAAACGATGTCATGGTTGACATTGTGAAAAGTGATTCTTAAAGACAGAGGAAATATTTAAAATTTACAATCGCACACACAGCCACCATTAATTTTTATTCTTATTTTTGAACAACCTCTCGATCCCAGCCCAAAGAAGCGGGATCGCCCGACGTTTCGGGTGGTGACAATATCTCAAAGTCGCGACGGCAGATTGCAAATGTGGTGTCAATCATCAAGATGATCTCACCAATCCCGTAGACTAGCCCAATCGCATAGAAAAAATTTGCATTTCCACTCCCCACATATACCCAGAGGTACCAAAAGATAGGTGCTAAGAGCGAAGAATACAGGAAAAGGTTCACAACAAGGAATGTATAACGCATATCTACCAAAATAAATGAATTCACTGAGTTAATATCAGGAGACATCATGATGTAATGTATATAGTGGCTGCCATAGTATGATGGCTTACACTTGAAAATCTCTGAGCTTAAAGGCAAGAGCCCGAGATATAGTGCGGCATCTCCAATCGAAGGATAGCCTTTAAATGTTCCCATAATGGCACACAAAATGAAAGATACAAACAAGGGATATTTCCTAAATAATAAATGTCATAATGGGCATAGTTTTAGCGTGATTAAACGAGGTGTTTGGTTTCCAAGGTCGTATTTATGGCTTTCCATAGCTTATCCTTACCAAAGTTTGATAGAAACTGGTACAGCAAAGATAAAGACATGGAGCTGAAAGACAATAAGGAAGAAAGATCTGAAGTGGTCGAACATCTCAATGAAGAAATACCAGAGTAGACCTAGGTTGGGTGTCAAATCGGTGACAGCCAATCTTCATGGTGAAAAGGTATGAACTGGTGAGATCATTAACAAAGACCACAGATCAAATAAATACTGAAAGGCAACTCTAAGGGATAATTGAGGCGTAGCTTCTACTTACATGGTGCCATAGACGCCAGAAAAGAAGCTCCAAGAATCCACTAAAACAAAGGAGAGCAAGAAAAGAGATATCAGGCAAGCCAGGAATAGAGCCCCGCATTGGACTGAAATCCGCTATTAGGTAATATGAGCTAGTTAGCCTTATTGGTTTTTCCTTTTCAGTAATAAGTTGGTAGTCGCAACGCATCTTGTCAACTACCTTTTGTTGCTGTTTGCCAATATCTCCTCGAGTGAGCATTAATACGACTGGGATCATGAGCATGGCAGGATAGAAAGAGAGGTATGTCGCCAATGCTATGCTGAACATGGCAAGGCCCTTGTTGCCTAAAATGATGGACACGTTGATATAGAGGAAACAGTACATCATCAGCAATACGATATCCACATTATCAAAGGACTGCGGAATCATTGGGCAGCACATATAAAAAAATTGCATACGCTTCATTCCCATCCATATCCCTGCTACAACTGCCATGTTGGAGAACAGGATCGTGCTTTTCCCGATACAGCTGACAATTGTGAACGGATTGAAGAGATAAAGACTCGCCACTGTAAGACCGCTCATTCCTGACTCCTCAGTCTTATCACCATACTGCATAATCTTCTTCTCACTCGTCGAATCCCTTTCCTTTATTGCTGTGATTTGTAGCAGCATGTATCCAATTGCTAGATCAACGAGAATGTACAATGCATTCACTAACGGCGGACTATTAATGATGAGATAGAACAGTCCTAGAAGCAAAGGCGCCTAAAATAGTAGGGTGATTGATCGTTGCAATTCATTAGTTACTCTTATAGATCGATCCAAAATGATCAGAAGAATGGCAACGGACGACCCGAACCTGGTGAAATACCCCACCATCGTATGGTGGTACGCCATTACGGAAGAGAAACACGCCTTCTGATACTGTTCAGATCAAGCAGTAGATTATAATATAAGACGAGACACATGGATTGGTTTAGCAGTTCATTATCGAGCTGTAGGTATAACGCAATTTGTAAGAGTCAATCAGTGCTTACACCTCTTAAAACTGGTGATGGGAGTCGAGATCTCAACCTGGTCCGCCAGAATGCTGGGAAACGCTGGCAAGTTGAGCAATCCTAGACGTAGGGCAAATGCTGCACCAAAGACAAGAGCAACATTGTTGGAGGGAGTATTTGCTGCCTTTTGGCCCCCCGGTACGACATTTGTGGACATGAAGTCAGAGTACAAGATGGAGTTGAGAAGAGAGAGGGAGAAAGAGGAATTGAGAAAGAGAGAGGTGCTCGTTTGATGAACACTGGGTTAAAGTAACCATTCGGCAGGCATGAAGACGTGTACGGAATTTTAGGGGCATAGAGCAGCATGCAAGGCTTGGAATAGTTAAAATATGATGTGCCCACGGATTTATTGCTTTTGCTCTGTTACTAATGACGTGGTTCCATCCATTTGTTTTGTGTGCTTCACTCTTCTTTCTCTATCCCTTCGTACTGCTTCAACGCCTGTTCGTGTATGCTCTAAGACTGTAGCGTGTGGACTCAAATGGCCAGCGAAAATAGATCCCTTCTCGAAATGCTCCAGGGCCAAGGTCAGGGCCAACAATGTCAGCCTGGGCAACCAGCTCACGGTCAAGGACAAGGACAAGGACAGAGTCAAGGGCAAGTGCATGGACCACAACAGCAGCCTACTGCTGAATTGCCGTCTTCTGCCCAGTCTCAATCATACTACCATAACATTGGTCCACCCATTGGTCAAATGATGCCTGGCTATGGATTTGGCCAGCAATCCATGGATCCTCATCAAATGTACTTGCATCAAATAATGCAACACGGACAACGCGGTCCACCCATAAGTCAGTTCCAATCTGGACCATCTTTTCAAAGCCGACCGTCGTCTCAAGGTCAATCCTTGGCATCTCTGCTCCAGAGTCTGAATCAACCAACGGCCGTTTCCCCCACCAACACATCAACACCGACTTTCTCTACGGCTCAAGCGCATACTCCTTCCCAAACGGATGAAGCCACAAACAGTTTGAAGCTCGCGCTTTTTGGACCACCCAAGCAGGAACCCACTATTGCTCAGCAAAAGACGGAAGATATCAAGCTAGCGCTCTTCGGAGGGCCGCGTACTGATTCATCACAGGCCCAACCAAGCCCCAAGAAGGAGGAAATGTAAGTCCATTCAGCAAGCCCTATGATGTGATCGTTGATGATATATGAATGATTAGGTTCGGCCAAAAAAAAAAACCAGTGTCCAGATTTTGCTGACGTTTCATGTGCTTTTAGAAATCTATTGGCGATGCTGCAAAATTCATCCAGTGCGCCACAACCTCTATCGGAGAGTAAGATAGAGAGCTTGGTAGAAAGCAAGAGTGTTGAAGCGAGAAGAGAAAGCACCACACGATCTCCAACTTCCAAAGAAAACACGCTCCAATCGACCTCGAAGGCGAAATTCACATATGTGAATCCTTTCCATTCTTTTTCAAGCTCAGCAAGCACCGCTACTGTCACCGCCACTGCTCCAATAATCACACCTGCAGTAGCTCAATTCAGCCCGGGATCTCCATCGCAAACAAGAACATCTACACCCATTGCAGGATCTCAGGATAACATTTCTGTAGGACCCCTCCCAAAGCGACCATCATTCAGCAACCCAGCGCCACGTCGAGAAGAGCTGGACACTGGTATTCATCCTCATGATGACCAGAAACGTTATCAACTTGATCAGCTTCTTCCACCTCATTCTGCTTGGAACCATCGCGTCCAAAAACTGGCTAAGGGAAGTTCAGGGTAAGAAAAAAAAGAGAAAAAAAGAGAAAAAAAGAGAAAAAAAGAGAAAAAAAGAGAAAAAAAGAGAAAAAAGAGGAAAAAGTCTTAGAAGAAACAATGAGTTAACAATTCTATCTTATCGGGCTTTAAAATTGCTAGAATCCCAGATGGGGTATATCTCAGTCATCCAGGGTCTGGAGTGACGACGTATGATACCGGGCTTGACAACTCAGAGGCAATTTTCTCTGAAGACTTGGAAACCATTCCTATCACACTTATTCCTACTGACGTAGAGTATTACCATGGAAAAATGGTTGCTGCTAGCAAGGGCTATATCAGTTATGCTGCTAAAGGTTAGTTCAAGCCCAAGTTCCAATAGTTTCTTCTTGACACTCATCTTTTTGAAATTCACATACAGTCATTATAATACTCTGGAAATGGATTTATGATCCATAACACTAGGTGGTAAAATCCGCGTCATTGAACAATCGCTCGGACACCGTACTCTCCTTCGTGGTCATACTGACCAGGTCATTGATATGGGCTTCTCGCTTGCTAATGCAAAAGACTCTGGAGCCCAATTGCTAGCAAGTGTTGCTAAAGATAGTAGGCTTATTATTTGGGAACTTTCCGGCTCAGATCACGATGCGACTGATATAATATACTCAAAATGTTTGGAGCTGATCGGAGAACCTCAATCAAATCAGCCGCGCTACAGCCATATTGCTTGGAGCCCTGTTAAATCATCGCAGCTAGCCCTTGTGAATAATGATGACCACTCTGTATTGATCATCGATATCAGCAATCTTGTCCAATCTCAGGAAGGCAGTTCCCCCGTGCTCACCGAGGCGCAACTCTGGACGCATGCCACCGTTATTCAAGCCCATGATCAGGTTTGTATTAGTGGACATAAGCAAGATATAAAGTGCTGATAGATTAGTTGCTGGTTTTTAACCCATCTCATTCTAAATTTTTAGGCAATCAATGACATTTCTTTTTCTCGTGATGGCTCTGTTCTCGTCACAGCCAGCGAAGATGGATCAGTCAAATTCTGGGATATTAACGCACCATCAGAGAATGCTTTGTTGAACGAATTTGTTCCTCATGGCGGGCTAGGCGTGACGAATGCAATTTTTGTAGACCAGACCGACGCCACTACATCCCGCTGCGTTGTCACTGCCTGCCGTCGTGGAACCGAGTTAAGCCTCTGGTGGGTTGGTGGTACAGGACCACTTGACCAGTTTATTTTCAAGGAACCTCCTTCATCGACTCGTCGTACCTCTGTTGGCAAAGCTGCGCAGCGCCTACAAGAGATGAGAATGTTCAACTTTGTGGGCTATGACTACGAGACTTCAAGTTTGGTTTTAGCAAACAGTGTCCGCCTTTCGCTCTTTGGGCTTAAGGTAAAAGTGACATCAACATCCGAAGCAGAAATGCCATCCAACAATGTTGATCAAGCGGCCTACATTAGAGCTAGCGCAGCAGCAGAGGCGGCACCATGCACTGCGACCTTTGACTTTATGATTGAGTATCCAATGCCACAGCACATTGTCAGTTTTGTGGTTATGCCGGACTCATCGTTGGAATACAACGGGTTTTCAGTGTACTGTATCCAGACCAAGGCTGTCCAGCAATACATCATCAAAGGTCTCGAGCCTCATGACAAACACAAATGTCAGACATTTATCTCAGCTCCACCTTCAGTCAAATCTACTGAGCCAAAAGTTAGATCTACTTCAAAGACAAGTACACCCAAATCTTCCCATTCACCGTCAGGCAAGACTAATGAGGGCTCTGAGTCTACAGGATCTTTCAAGGCTGATAAAGCCGTGGTAGATTCAAATGTCATAGCAGCTTCTATCGCGGCAGCAGAGACTCAAGAAAAGGAACCTGAAAAAACCATCAAGCTTCATGGCGCTGTCATTAACGGTGCCATCGCAAAGCTTAAAGAAAAGAAGCGCAATTCTACAGCAGATACTCAGCTCCCTGCAGAGAGTTCTGAAAAGAAGGACCCTACTAAATCTGGTGCCTCAGGACGTGGTGGAAGGAAAACTAGCCAAGACATGACAACCAGCGTTTCAGCAGCAGATGGCGCAAACAATAAAAAGGGGCAAGCCTCTATTGATATCAAACCCGTGTCAGAAACGACTAGGCCGTCTGGACGCAACTCACGGCAGGCATCCCACCGCCATCAAGAGGCAGCTGAAGGGCCTTCCACTGCTGAGCAGTCATCTATAACTGCAATGTCAGCAGGCCACGTTACAGTTTCTATAAATGAACTTCAGTCAATGTTTCAGTCAATGGAGGACAAGATTACGGCTCGCTTTGAAAAGAAGTTGACCGCTGAATTAGAGTTGCAACACCGCAAGATGGATCAAGACCAAATCGCCAGACAGGAAGTCGTTTTGAAAATGATTTCGCAGACTTTGGCTAAGAACACTGAGCAACTTTTAGTCCAAACTGTCCATAAGGAGATACAAAACTCTGTTGTACCGTCGCTCAATAAGATTGTTGGCGCTGCTGTAGAGCGTCAGCTTTCACGGAATATCAATGACGCCATGATTAAGGTACGAAAGAAGATCCTTTGAGTACTCTTGACGCTTTTTTTTCTTTTTAATGATCAATGTACCCAGGTAAAAATGTTGATCTTTTTTTTTTTTTTTTTTTTTTTTTGCGTGGTGCTAATCTGTAGACATTGCCAACTGCTGTTGAAGCATCTGTAAACCAGAATATCCATCATATTATGGAAAGCTCTACCTTCTTCAGCAACCTAAGTAATCAGGTTGCGACATCGATCCGACCGTGCATTGAGGAGTCGTTCAAGGACAGCTTTACCAAAGTGTTGATTCCATCATATCAAAAGGCGACTCAGGCCATGTTCCAGCAGATTCATGCTGCGTTCCAAGCTGGCATCGAGGATTTGGCATCAACCAGCAAGAAGGATCACGATTCGATTGAAACTCTCACGACCAATGTCAATAAGATTGCTTCAACTGTTGAGGGCATTCAGTCGAGGCTCTTCAATCTTGTTCAAGTTGCGCAGGCGCAACCTGATCAGTTCTCTTCCAACATCAACACTGGTACCGGAGGTGGATATCAAAGACATGATCAGCAGCGTAGGAATAATATCAGTGGTCTTCAAAGGACGCTGCAAGGTGATGACATTATGGGTGGCGCTGATGGTGGGCTTGGGCCCCGAAGAGCCTCTCAGCAAGCTTCGCCAGTTGAAACTAAGCAGTCCGTAACCATTAATCAACTTATTGCACTCGGGGAGTTTGAAAAGGCATTTACGGAGGCTTTGTCAACCGATGATGCTAATCTTGTTTTCCAAACCTGTAGTAAGGTTTCTCCTAGAGCCGTGTTTCAGCCAACGTCAGTCAATCCTAATGGGACGCTTAGTCAGCCTGTTTTGTTGGCACTCACACACTATCTTGCAAATGAACAATTAAGTCAGGACCTAAGTACCAAGTTGACATGGCTGCAAGAAATTTTGAGACGTCTAGATCCTAAGGATCCAAAGTTAGGCCCTCCTATGGCCAAAATCCTTCCTATTGTCCAAATGAGACTGGAAGAGACATATGGAAAGATAATGAGCAGTGGTGACAGTAGCCCTCATTTGCATTCTCTCCAGCTCTTGTTGCGCGTTGTGAACAATATGAATCCCTGAGCAAGTCTCTTTTTTTTTTTTTTTTTTTTTTTTAGTTTTACTTTTTATAAATTTAGTTATTTGGATAATTTAAAGAGATGCAAGGAGTAAAGATCGTATAAAACAGGACTTAATTTTTTTTTTTTTTATTAAAAAAGGGCTACCTGGTCTTTTAAATGTTACCATTGCTAATCGACGTCATTATTGTTGCTATTATTCTAGGTACCATCGTCGTTGGTACCATTGTTATTGTTATTATTACGATGTCTCCGTTCACAGATATGGTTTCGCCTGGTAGCATGGGTAGGGTTTGTAGGGTTATACTGCGTGCGACATTCACGCCCCCACCAGCAATCCTCACGTGCAGCTACTTGTGCTGGCAGTCTGTTGGAATCCAGATTCTTACGCCATTGGAAAAGGGGGCCATTTCGGAAAAAGTGTAGAGAGCATTCATGACAGATCTTATCTGCACTTGTAATTGCAGAGTTGCGCACTCGAGCATTGGGCTCGCTTGGGACCAAGTAGTGGAACATATTGCGATCCATACCTGCCTTAATTTCTTCCCACACATTTTGAGAGGTCAAGTTCTCTGCTGCCATGTAATCTAGAGCCACCCGCTCTTCATAGTGGTTCAAAAAACCGTAAATTGTACAATGTCCCTCAATTCTATCTTCTACACTTTTTAGGCCGCAGCCACAACTTGGAGTTTGACACATTTTGCCTATTTAGGATACAGATAATATGGAGCACAAATTAAGTAACATGCTGGGTAATCCTCGATGTCTATGATGAAAGCAACTTACATCGGAATTTATCTGCAACAGCATCTGGAACGGTTGCCGGGAGAGAAGGAATATGTCGTCTGCATTGTGGACATTGAGCATGTCCAGGCTGGATCTGGCGTCTAGCATAATAGTCAGCATAAGTCGCCTGGCCAGGTAAAGGGCCTAGTCGTACTGCATCAGGGCAAACATATCCCAGTGTGTTGGCTGAGTCACAGCATGGACAGCTGGGTGGAAGACCAAATCCAGGTGGAAGTAAGACAGGTTGTGCAGCCTCATCTTCATTCTCTTCGTCCTCTTCGTCCTCTTCATCATCATCACTGTGCCCATAGTCATATCGACGCCTTCTATCCGACCGTGCCCCTATAAGATCTGATACGTCGCTTTCTGCGCCATTGTCCTCATCATCTCGCTTCAGTTCCGGCCTAGATTCGATGAAGAGCTGGATCAAGTTGTTAAGCCTAAAGTCTTTCTTTGTCCTATTGACAACTTGTCGACAGGCTGGACAATTTGATGAGCTACACAAAAAATGTTCAATAAAAAACAAGGTGACGCACTTTGAGTAGGTGGTCCAATCTCGAGCACGACTAAATCAGACTGAGAAAACCTTTTTTTTACCTTCGGAACCAGGTTTTGCAGCACTTTTTGCAGAAGGCATGTAAACAGGGTTGCATTACAACAGGTTTATGCATGATTTCATAGCAGATGCCACATCCGAACTCCTTTTCAAATCCATCATTTGCATTGTTTTGATTAGCATTATCATTCTGAGTATATTTGCTTTCATCCTGGCCTCTGCCTTGTTCCTTTGAATCCTCCAGTTTTCGCTTCTTTTTGGTGTCTACCTCTAAAGAAGCTGATGTACTATCTAAGGTGCTAGCATCCAAATCTACATTTTTGCGCTTTGAATTTGCTTTTCTTTGGTCCATGAAGACAAATGTTGGACCATCCGCTGAGGACGAAGATACAAACATTTGCAAAGAAAAATATTACGTTAATTTTTTTGTTTTTAGATGCAACTGATGCCAACACTGTTTAATACTAGAGCCCTCCTCACTCACCTATGCTTTTATGGGGGCCAGGCTTGAAAGTGATGATATCGCGGTGAGTGATCTCGCATAATTCATCCTTAGGAATTTTTGTATCATTAACCCAGACACCATTTGTGGAGACATCCTTGATATAAACTACGGCTCCAGGGTCCGTCAACGATTCCAACAAGAGCTCACAATGGACTTTGGAAATAATTTTGTCTGCAAGTACTGCTCCTTCAGAGCATTTTGCTACAGAGATGAGGAAACAAAAAAAAAAATTTATCAATTTCCGGCTACGGTTTTTGAGCATATTTTTTCAGACAAAGCAAATGACACTTTTGTTCAAGTACAGATGTCTCGTCCCACAACAGTGGTGATCTGTTTGAGTTGGATATCGGGGATAGTGGAGTTGAGTGAGGCGAGGACAGCGTATGCTTGCGGGATGTGTCGTTCTTTTCCTTGTCCCTGCTGTATTGACTGTTCATTATCATGTTCTGGTAAATCGTCGAGAGTGTTCTCGAGCGTAAGAGTGGAATATTCAGTTGTATTGCTGTTAATGTCGCTACTCATGGTTGAGACTGCTCTAGTGTTTGTTTTCGAAAGAATAGGGTTCTTGTAGAGACTGATGGAATTTCTTTTAAAATGAGATGTTGTTGTTGTAATGAAGGATGAAAGATGACAGAAAGAAAAGGTGTCAACAGTGTCAGTGTTCATTTTTAATTTTTATGTTTTGCCACTGAAATTAAGTTTTACTCTTTCATCCAAACATGTTTTGTTTTGACAGCGCTTTTTTTATGTGGTGGCAATGAAAAGAGAGAACTCAGTTGTTGCATTACACATCTATTGTAGATATTCACCCCTAAGCATCGACCCAGAACTAAAGGACACTGAGCTATTGGGAGCATATCAAAGTCAAGATTATTTTAGGATTTCCACTTGATAGATCTCCAAGAGTTTGCGCGTCGCGGTATCCCTCTGTTGTCTAGGATGTGGCTGAGATCTGTTTATTCCTTTTGACTCCAATTTCACACACACTTCAACTCTTCACATTCATTCACTCTTACACACACATTTACATTATATTCACCCATATTCACACACTACGCTTCTTTTACATTGTTCTACCGCATCCCTTTTATACACATATACCCATATCTACCTACATTCATACCTCTCATTCCTCCCGGTTTACAGCCCACAACTCATTATAAAGAACATTATTAGAGTAATAAAAGTTAGGCGAGGGGTAAAAGGGACAATTTAACAAGAGAGACAAGGAAACAAAACAACCAAACGGGAGCAGGAACAGCGAGCCAGGCTACTCACGCTACACGATAACACAAAGTCATGTTACTCTCGTTGCTCAGAACGAGTTGGCGTGGAGCACATTATCTCGCCTTGTTAGCCCTACTCACCCTGGCTTTCGATGTCAGTAAGGATTGTGGACTTGAATACTCACTCTGGTTAGTCTCATGGTATATCGCCATGGTGTTCTTCCGGCGCATTGTCTCCAGGCGATCCATCAGAGTTGCGGTACTGTCATCTTTTTCTTCCCTTTGCTTTTTCTCTCACTCCTTAAAAATACAAAGGCATAAATACAAACCCATTACTGTACTCTTAGTTTTATCCACAGTGATGGTGGTGCTTGACTTTTTTTTTTTTTTTTTTTTTTTCTCCTTCCTGTTTGCTATACTTTAGATAAAGAGCGGTATTATGCTTGAGCCTTTGATCGTCGTCGGACTCTTATTCCTTGCAATGTTCAGATCAACCAAAGGTACATCGGGATCACATTGGTTCTGGGAGTCCATTATTAAAGGCTCAGATCCTGTCCTTACCATTCTCGAGGGCTTTGGCACTATCCTTATAATCCAAAAGTCCTCTCAACTCATTCGTCGTCTTGCAGCAAGAAGCGATGGGTATCAGGTAAAACAAAGGCTTTTTTTTCTCCCGCTTTGAATGTACTATTGAAAAACATGAGCTACCGTGTCAGCTACTAACCTTGTTCTTTTTATGTTGCCTTGTCACTGTTGCGAAATCAGATTGCGTTCTTAGTGCTATCTGCATCTGTTTATGTGATTTCTGGATTTGGGCTTTATCATCTCTATGCAGCTTCTTCTCCCGAACTCGTACCAAGCGTCAAATCAGCTTCTGTCATTGGGTGTTGCATGACCCTTACCATTGTCCTTTCCATCATTGCGCTTGTCTCTGGAAGAGGCGTCATTACAGATACAGCTTTTCTGGTAATAAGGCAATGCAGTACAATCTTTACACGGCTGTCTTTATTTCTTTTTGGAATCATGTTCATTCAATCTTTTTTTTTTTTTTTTTTTTTTTTTTCTCACAACACTATCTTAGTTTGCCTATATGGTCATGAGCATGTACATTGCAGCAAGGAACGAGGTTATTGAGAACGGACCTGTCAAGGCCGTCATGCCTCTTCACAGCGCGGTACAGTTCGGACCATTCTCTATTCCTTATCTTCGAAGGTAATTCTTTAAATGTGACTCGTCCTCAAGCGAGAGATTGACAATCGTAAATTTAATGTATATTGTACCTTATTACGTTGCTACAGCCTGACCTTACAGGATGCTGAACGGATCACAATCCAAGCAATGGTTCATCTCTCTCAACTTATGACAGTCTTGGTCCGTGCGCTTTCGCCCAATGTACTCATAAGTCTCCTCTACCGCATGGGTGTCCTTGTCGCTGTGTCCCATATTGCTCCAAGTTTGAATATCGGACAGGACGGACTTTCTGGATCATCGTCTTCGGCTAATGGCCATGGATATACCAGAAGCAGTAGAAGAAAATCAGATGTCTATGGTGATGATGATGATGATGATGACCTAGTCAGTATAGGGATGATGCCATTTTTAGCCAGCATGGCTAAACCTGTGCTGTTAATGACTCATACTCGCATTCTTTTGCAATACTTTGGGTACTTGAAACCGTCGTTGGCAATCTGGGGCTGGTTAAATAGCTTTTTAAGCCTTGCTCTATTTGCAGCTGAGTTGGTGCTGGCGCGAGATGATGCATGGGGGCATTATCGATCTGACTAGGAAGGGAAAATAAAGAAATCATTGAGAATTGGAGGTTGGGCTAGCGGGAAAGCCAGCAAACATTTGTATCATCATCGCATATATTGTTTCGTTTAGTTTGTTTTATTCTTTAATCAATAAAGATTATATTTCTGTCTTCTTTTATTTACTTCTATTTGCGTGTGGGCAAGCTCTGTTGGTCAAGGCTTGATGAGAAGTGGGGGAAGGCAAAATCTCTCTTTGCAAAAACCAATTCTATTAACACGTCCTCTTCTGTTTTTTCCTCGGTTGTGTTGTACAAATTAACCAATAATAATATAAAAAAAAAAACACCGCCTTTAGAATGTATCAACTGAAAGCTGTACAGCTATGAGCGATGTGAACAGTCCTCTCCACATTTTTTTTCTCTTTTCTGTACCCCCTGCCTCCTGCTCAGAATTACCCACAATTAAAATTATATTTCCTTTTTCCTTTTTTGTGATAACGGTTTGGATGTAAAAAAAAAGACACAGTCATTTCACTCTGTAATACCAATTCAGTCCAATCCATCTTCCTTCTATCTCCTTACATAGCATCCCTAAAACCCTCGCTCCTAGTTACTCATCTTATGCTCATATTTCCTTGAGTTGACGCGATAATTGCTGGATATTAGGTCTGTACGTGTATGTGTGAAGACATGGAAAAGAGAGAGAAAAAAAAGAGAGAGTGGAGAGCGTGCACATGTCTGTCTCACTCTCTACTTAGATCATCATGCCCTGTCCAATGCGACTGTCTGTTCCGTAAATACAAGAGCTCCATCGCTGGTCCCTATATTTACGGACCTCGTTCAATGGCGCACGAGTATATGAAGGAATCTCCATAGAGCGTCCATGCACAGGAACGTACTCGTTTTGAGTGTTGCCATTTGTGTTGCTAGAATTGTTATAGTTATTGTTGGTATGATGGGACTTTTGGTTCACCAAGGAAGAAGCTGCCGAGTTATGAAATGTATTGGGGTTCTGGAGTATAGAAGAAGAATCACGAGCAGTGGTAGGCGTCAATTCCATATCGATATCCATAGAAGAGGGGGCAATAAACACAGACGACTGAGTTGAGGGATCAGCATGGGTGGCTGTACTTGAGTTGAAGGTTGCAGTATTGGAAAAAGCTGGTGGGTTGCTTGTGTGAGGTTGAGGCCAGGCTTGTCCATTGGAAGTTGAATGGAGAGTCTGGTGACTAAATGTGGACCCGAATGGAGAGAATTGTTTGACCTGGTTCAGAGTACTGCATGCTCGCTTTCCATTTGGCTGTACAGGAAGAAGAAAAGGGGAGACAAACAAAAAGTTAGGTCAATAAAGGATGCAGTGGATGATCATGATCGGACCAATGATCCGCAAGGGTATTTTTCAACCTATACCTGAACTTCCTGATTTATCTCATCGTCATATTCGTTGGAGTCAATTTTACGTTTAATTGTACCAGCATCCAGATTCAACATGTTTCCTATAAGCAATCAAAAAGATGATCAGAATAAACATCTATACTGCATGTTGCCTTATCTTGACCTTCCATATACTAAAGCAAACCCTTAACAAGTTTTATCCCAATTACCTGTACCGTATTCGACGTAACTGGACCTGGTAGGATTCATAGTCGCAAGATTAAAGACAGATAAAAACGAGGGAAGACAAAGCCGGATACTATCGAATCATTAGTGTGAGAAAGATTAGGAAAAACAAATAATAAAATGAATGAAGAAGGTTAATAGCCATGCATGCATACAAATTTACATGTCGCTCTCTCTGTGAGCCACATTCTGGGCCCTTCAGATTCTTGTCTGGGTCCAGCTCCTGTATACCAACAAAAAAAAAAAAAAACTATTCCCCCAGATAAAAAGCTGATTTCTCTTCGAAATGCTATTCTCCTTGACTCTACTCTTTTTACTGTATTTCAAGAATCAGAAGTACACAAACACACAAAAAGGGCTCATATTTTTAAAATGAAGTCAATGCTCAAAAGCCTAACCCAACTTGGAAAAGGGGGAAGGGTATTTTCTGATCAATAGCTTCTCCACTACTGATACTATATGTAGACAATGTTGTTGTGGATGGCCATGTCCAGAGTCTAGGAACAGATGATCTGGCCAAGGGAGAAGTGAATTACTTACATTTATGTGCAATGGAAGTCAAGAGTATTTTTGAGATAATGGGTAAAGAAAGGCGGTCGTGTGTGTATAGATGTTGAGAGAGTACAGTCTAATGCCTTGGATGAAGGGACGAGACGATGGTGATGGGCTAAGCAGCAATTGAGTGAAATCGAAGAAATGTCAAGGTAAAGTGGAGGAGCAAAGAACAGAAGTGATGTAGTGATCAATTGGACTGTTGAGAGCAATTCAATGAAATAGAAGGGAGGGAAAAGGAAGGACGGATCAGAAGAAGAAGAGAAAGAGAGAAAGAGAGGGATGAAAGGATGAGGGAGAGAAAGAGGAAGGGGCTTTGGTTGGCAGAAGTGAAATGAATTGGACAGGGTAACAGACATTGTCTTATGCATAAATGCAGCCCAATGCAATTAGAGTAACATGTACGTGTACATGTCATAGATATATATGTGACGCTCTGTACGTATAGATGAGCAGAGTCCTCGATTGCCTTGGTCGCGTTATTGTATTCCTTAATTGCACATTACCAAATACAGTAGGGTGCAGGTTACAGCAAGCGACAGGAAAGAAGATAGAGAGAAAAAGACAGAAGGAGCATAGCAGCATAGGAACAAAGGAACAAAGGAGCATAGTGACATAGGAGCATAGTGACATAGGGGCATAGAATAGAGAGTATTATGTTATATAAATATGCATGTTTATTGTGATTGGCATTGGTAATGATCTAAACGCGAAACGCGTTGCATTGTAGTCGACAAACCACTGTTGTTAATGAAATCTTGTGTTCAACGGAAACAAAAAGGATGGCAAGAAAACGTGTGAGAGGAGAAACCATGGCTAATTATATAAATAAAAATAATCCAACGCATGGGCTCATCTTCCACACTGGCAGTTACAAACGCATAATATATAGATATTATATATATATATATATAAATATATATATATTTACATGTATTAATACACGTTCATGTTTCCGATTTTTAATGAAATGAGAGCGATCATCAGTAGTCCAGGCAGGTTTAATGTTTGATATGGATGTTGCAGTCCTTTTGTCTGTTTTTATTGTTTCGGTCGAGAAGGCGATGCAAGCATTCGATGATTTTGCCCTGTGCCACATGCATGCATGTGCAAAGATGTGGCACAGAGTGGAAAAAAAAAAAACAACCATGCATAGACACACACTCGTCTTTTTTCCCCACTTTACTCCTTGACTCATTTACATTAAGAAACACATACAACTCTTCTCCTTTATTGATTTTTTTTTTTTTTTTTTTTTTTTTTTTAATTCTTCCTCCTTCGCCCCCTTTCGCCCTCCTTCGCCCCTTCACGCTCATTCATTTAATTACATTCATTCGTCATTTGTTCATTGTTCATTTCGAACTGATCGTTATTTCTTGTCCATATTGCATTTGTTACTTCTATATTTCACTTATTCTAACTCTGTATCATACTCTTTCTACCACACAACATACACTTTTACGGGGTATGTCATAACCAATTGGTACAAGAATAATGTAGTGCACACCTTTTTCCCTGTACATACCATTCTTTCGTTTGTCTACAGTGCAACTCACATAGTACCGAAAGCAAGCAAGTAAATGGACAGGAAGGGAGCGAGAGTCTTATTAATCTTCACTGGCTCACTTCTTTACTCTTTCTTTCTTTCTTGAGGTTGATCGTAGTCAAGCTTTTTTTCATTTCTTTTTTTTTTTTTTTACTCCACTCTGGTATATGGTTATAGTTTATTCATTTACCTCGTGTGTCAGGATTATTTAAACAACCCCATTTTACACATTTCCCCTATGATATCTATGTCCATCCATGGATGACCTCCTCAATCTATCTACTTTCCCACTGCTAACATTTCTTCTTCTAATATTTCTTGTTTGTTTCCTGTTAACCTGGTTCAATCTCTGTTAGACCCACCTATTCAATTGAATGCACCATTGCATCCATCATTGCTGTGTCTCCTTCGAATGACATAAAATAAAAAGGAAGAATAAAAAAAAAAAATAAAAAAAATAAAGGTAAGTTTAATTCATTTCCCCGAGTTCGATGCTCAGAAGAATGCCATTTTATTTTATACTTATCCATGCCATGGTCTGGAGGCCCAGTCTCGTTCAATTGCCCTTGGTTTCCATCACCTTTCCCCTGTCTCTCACATCTTTCAAATAAACATGTAGCTGTCTTGCATCATCTCAGTATTGTACACACTTCATCATAATCATTGTTTTTTTACTTACTCTTTCTCTCTCTTATTCTTTACTCCACATTGACAGAATATTTGAGCACAGCAAGCAACATCAGGCTCTTTCTGTCTGCACTCCTTCCCTCCCTTCTTTTCCTTATAACCCAGAGCATAAATGTCCTGGATCCTCAAGAGCAAACGGCTCCAGTCGGCTAGCCATGGAGCCAACAACAACACAGGCAGCAGTGGTCTTCACAGTAACAGTATTTATAGCCAGAGTACCAACAACCTTAGCAGCAGTAGTCTCAATAGCAGCTCGGCATGCGAGTTTGGTAATAATAACAATCTCAGCAGCAGCGTCTCATTCAATAACACCGCCTCTGCGCAATCGCTTTCTTCACACCCGCACCATCTCGACGCAGGTGACGACATGGTTCGACAACTCAACACCCAAAAGACTTCATTCATGCGATGGGTCAATGTCCAACTCGCTAATGCTGCGGCCTCTGCAAATAATAATATTAATAATAATAAAAGTAACAATAGTAATAATACCAACCTTGGCACAAGTTCATCAACTAAATCCATCTCACCCTCAATATCAGCAACGACAACATCAACAATCAGCAACATCTATACACCGATGACTTCAATTGAACTTGACTTGCGGGATGGTAAGCGACTGGTAGCATTATTGGAGGAGGTCTCAAAAGAACCACTCAAACCCGAGCGAGGCAACATGCGGATTCACCAAATAGCCAATGTCTCTAAAGCGCTAAAGTTCCTGGAGGAGAGGACTGATGAGCCCCTGGGGTCGATCGGTACTGAAGACATTGTCGATGGCAAACTCAAGCTGACCCTTGGTCTACTCTGGATTATCATCTATCGATTTCAAATCCAGCAAATCGCCAACACTATGACTGACCTATACCCCTTTCTTGCCACGGAAGATATCCTTGTAAGTTGCTGATTCACTATATCCATTCACAATGTTATTATATATTTTAGGGATTACTACAGATAATGATGGTAATGTAATGGACTGTGGAAGTAGAGTAATGGGAGTGGCGAACCACAGAAGTCGCGCATGATGCGCCAAATGGGCATCTGAGTTGGAACATAAGAGTGGTCATGATATGGTATGCTGGTTTCTCTTCATACTACTCACGCGCATCTGCCAGTGAGACTTGCATGTGCGCCTGAAGTTACTACGATAACTGTTCTTGGCATGTGCATATTGTTTCTGTTGTCATGATGCGTCTGCGTTTCTGCTATGGTGTTGTTGTTATCCTCTCCTGCATGTGCAACGCTTCCACTTTCCTCTATCCTGTCCGTTGAAAGCATGCGAAAAAAAAAAAAAAAAAAACCACATGCAATACTTCCAGCTTTGCTTTGACCATCCAGAGGCAAATGTCTGTTTGATCACTAGGTGGAATATTGGATCATTAGTGCTTCTTCCCGTCCCGCTCGTGCAGCTTTGTTTGCACATTGAAGAAAAAAAAAAATGCATGATTGACTGATCTATTAATCTATCCATCTTCTATTTGTATATCTCTATTGTTTTTGTTATTGTTCATATTGTAATTTCAAATACATCCCGACTTGACTACGGTGGTGAATATTGATGGTAATGTTTCGATTGCATCCATGTGTTTCGTGGGTTGCAGGAAGGCGATGACGGCACCAAGGGCAAGAAGAAAGGAACTTCACAGCAAGTTGATGCTAAACAAGCACTTCTACGATGGGTCCGATACCAGCTCGAAGATTATTCAGATGTCATCCCGCCCATCCAAGATTTTCATAGATCTTGGCGGACAGGACTCGCCTTTGCAGCCTTGATCCATCGTCATGACCCCGAATTCCTTCCCCAATTTTATTCTTCAATCCTTCCTTTGCCATTTGAAACCAGCGACGAATGGCGTCAGACACTGACAACGGCATTCGAGGTTGGACTGGAAAAGATGAAAGTCCCTCGGCTACTGGAACCAGAAGATTTAGTTGATGTTGAAACACCAGACGAGCGATCGGTTATGACCTATGTGACCGAATACTACATCGTCATGTCTAAACACCAGATGGAGCAGGATCCAGCGGTGGCTGCAGAACTCCACAGGCTGCGGCTACAGGCTAAGGATGGACGTTTAGCCTTGGCGGGAGAGGACGAGCAAGCACGTCGATTCCGATTACAGGCCGAAGAGTCACGTCGGAAGCGGGAAGAGGAGGAAGAGCTTGAGCGCATCCGGTTGAAAAGAATGGAAATCGAAGGCTGGTCTGTTCGAGCTGCAGAGCGCGCAAGAGAGGAGGAGGAAGCTCTGCGGAAAAGGCGCGAAGAGGAAGAAGAGAGGCGCCTGCAACGAAAACTTCGTAGAGAACAGCATGAGCGCGAAAAGTCTCAGTTATTGCAACAACAGCAAGGTAGTGAGGCCGATCTTGGTTCTGGTGCCAATGCTGGCTCAGGTGTAGGCATGGACCATCCATCGTCAGATCACAGTAGACATGATGCCGACATACTATCAGCTTCCTCGGTATTATCCGATTCTGAGCGCGACCATTCTGACACAGAGACAGGAAAGGCTGATCCTGAAGAACAGGAGAAGAGACAGCGAGAGCTGGGAGAAAAACTGGCCGAGTACCACCAAGGCATTGGTGAGCTCACGGCCTGGGTTCGCGAGCAGGACACTGCATTCCCTCCATCTCCCGATATGACATCACTGTTGGACAGGGTCAGGGACTTGGAGCCACTTATGGAAACCATCAAAGTTGTAGAGGAAGAGCAGGCTATCAAAGAACACATCATGTCACATCTGCACGACGTGCGCGAGGAACTGCTTGAGTATGAAAATCCGGATCTGGCCCCAGAGCAGATTAGCGAAATGGACAAAAAGTGGTGGGAACTCGAAACAATTTGGACTTCACTCACCAATAAGGTTGTCAATGGAAAGGATACAGCAGAGGAGATCAAATGGATCATTGATTGCTCTCAAGAGATCGGTCGCGTCAATGGCGAGATCTCAAAATTCGAGGCGCAGTTAGAGGCATTTGCAGAGAAGCGTTCACATGAAACGCCTCAGGAGCGATGTGAAAAACATGTGCTTGAACAACAAGATGTCAGTCTATCATCCATTAGTTTCTTGCTCAAGACCTATGTCGATTTTTTGACCGCACTTATGGATCCAAAAGTCCACCACTACACTGCACCAGAGCACTTAACAGCTCTCAATAATGAGCTAACCACTGTGCGCTTGCCTCGATTGGGCATTGTTATCGAAAAAGCGCAGCAAAACCTAGCGAACGACCGCCTGCTGAGGAAGTTTTTTGATTCTTTTGTTCTCTCGGAGGCGTGGATTGGTGAAAGTGTGGAGTGGTTAGCGAACATTGAGGTCCCTATTTTTGTCACACATGACCAATGGAATGGGGCTACAACCGTCAAAGAGTATATAACAAGAGACGTCTCACAGGACCTTGACCTTGAGTACTATCAAGCCGAGATTGATGAACTTGAAGGCGAACTCAAGGATGAACAATCAGAGGTGACTATGTTCCGTTCTAGTGGGTTTGCAAAGCTAGATGAGCAAGCCAAGGCTGTGATGAAAAGCGTGGTTGAAACACAAGATGTGACAGCTGAAGAAACGACCAAGGCCGTGCAGAAGCTCATGAAAGGCGTGATGAGCAATCTAGAAAAGGTCGAGAAACTGCTACCCAAGGAGGCAGAACACTGTGCTTATGCTGCGCGCGTTCTGGATTATCTCTGGGAAGCCCGCACTACCCTGATGGAGCTTGAGCAAGCATCTACAGCCATCAACAAGTGGGAGATGAGGCAACCTGATTCAGAGATCGAAGTGTTTGTTATACAGGTGGAAGAGCAATTCAACACTTTGGACTTATCCATCACTAATGAACGGAGTCAACCCACTGTCCGCGAAGCAGTCCAGAACCGACATGCAGGCCTTACTTCTGTGGTCCGAAACCTGAGGACTTACTTTGAGCAAAAACAAGAAGCGATCAAAGGTGACCGAAAAATGAAAGAGTTCCTTGAGCTCACTCTGACCTGTCAAGCAACTTTGCAAAATTTCAAAACTAAACTTCAAGGCCCAGCACCCATGACTGGGTTTGGTTTGAACGACACAAAGCCTTTCGATGACTTTGCCACCATGGTGCTTTCTATTGGCAAGGCCATTGAAAATTTTGAAAAGAGTGAGCATGTAAGCCTTGTAGAGATGGGAGCACTTGTCACGACCATGTCTGCAACTTCAAGTCTGAAACAGGATTCGACTGTTATTCAGAACAAGCTTCAGAGCGTCAACAGATTACTGAAGGAGACCAAAGATTTAAGAGGGGACCGCGAACGCGATTCGGCCACAATGACAGGATGTCGCAAGCTGGCTGCCTCATTGGTCGCTCTCGATTCCGATTTAAATAAATTGCAGGCAGATTTTACAGCACTTGAGGACCTAGAACCTAGCCAACGTGATGATCTTATTGAGTTGGGCCATCGATCGAATCAGTTACGGAGCCAATATGTTCTTCTTGAGCAGGACAGTGTCTATTGTCACTTGGTCCAGGATCCATCCTGTTCAAAGCTCCTTGAGGACATTGCATCGCTTCAGATATCAATTCAGCAGACACAAGAGCGCCTTCAGAGTCGACTTGAATTGAAGCAACAATGGGATCTCGCCTGGGAAGCATTTTATAACTGTACTGACTCTTTGCAAGGATATCTCAATGACCAGGAGAGAGAAGTTATTGTTCGGGATATCTTTGCTCTAGATTCTCTTTCGCCTGATGAAGCTATTTGGAGAAAAACGGAGGATTATATCCATAGTGCCGAGGTGGCAAACGAAGAGACCTTGTCTAGACTCAAAGAATTTGAGACCACACGCCTGCCAGAATTGATAGATCTGCAAGGAGTTCTTAAGAAGGCAGTTGAGTCCGCTGGTGGACTTGAAAAGTTGGATGTAAACCGTGCAAGGCGGTCTCGGAAAGCAGAAGTTATACCTAAGAATTTGACGGAGCATCTAAACGACATTTATGCAATGAACGCTGATGACAAAAGCCTACTTGATACTTTGCGAAAGCGTCAGCTCTGGGCGCAACACTTCACGGAGTCCACAGCAGAAGTTGATGCACTGAAGGATTCCTGTTTAAGTAAGTATTAAAAAAAAAAAAAGAAAAAAAAAAAAAGTAGCATAATCGCCTAACTATTAATTATTCTACTATGGTCTATTGTTACCATCAATAGACGCCATTTGTGAGTACACCGCGATTCTGAAGCCGTGCGAGCGCAGCGGAGACACTGCAGGTACGAAGCGAAATATCAAAAGGATTCTATAATATACAAATTATTCACACTAATATTCTAATACCTCATCTGATTTCAAAAAAAAAAAAAAAAAAAAAAAGGCCTTGACCATACGGCTGCAGGACGGCTGCAGGAGCAAATCCAGTGCCTTGTTTCTCTTGCTTCTAAGGAGAAGGAAGCACGGTTTCACGAAGCTGTTAATGCGTTTACCTTACTGAAAGAATCAGTTGCTATATCCATGCCAAAGAGGGTTATGCCCAAATATCTGGAAGACGAGCTGATAGCATTCAAGGCTCAATACGACCGTCTCACTCTCCATCTGGAGCATGCTGGTCAGTTTGCAGAGCATGCTCTTCAAGTCGCCTCATACCTCGAGAAACATGATGAGCTTGACTTTAGGCTGAGCGCCATCGCCAACGAGCTCAGAGCTGAGCGAGAAGCCACGACTGAGGCGATTGTGCGAGCCATGAAAGCATGTGCGGATTTTGAAAAGCTTACTGAGGATCTCAAATGCATATTTTCCACCAGCCCACGACCATCAGATAAGACTCCTTCAACAGTGTCGCTAGCCCTAAAGGCATACAAGATTGATTTGGAGGTCTCGTTGAGGAACCGCCTTACCAACACGGAGAGCCTAAAGGACTCATTGGAGCCCCTTTTGGTTGATTACAAGAGCCTTCTTCGTTACCAGGATCGCTTGCGCGCCTACATTAAGGGTCTGGAAGGCCATAAGCAATGGCTAGACCCTGCAAATGAGAAGATACAGCGAGTGAATGAACGTATGCAAATGGTGTTCAAGTCTTGGCCCAATGAGGGTATGAATGCAAACGATGGCTTTCACATCCTCTCTTCTTCCGTCGATTCATCCAACAATCATAATGACAAAGGAGGCTTTGCAGACTTGGAGGCACAGCTCAAAGAGTTGAACGCATTGAAGACCGAGTTAGAGCAGGTTTTAGCTCTTGTTCGGGATAAAGAGCAGGATTTTCAAGTTTCCAAGGATACTATCAACCAAACGCTTCTGTCTGCTACAGCTCACTCAAGGCAGTTGCAAGTTGAGCTTAAAAATGCCATAGAGTTGATTGAGAGCAGAATCCAGTCCCTCAGATCAGACATACGTCACAAGTCTGATGAGCTTAAATGCCTTCAAAAACAAACAGCTTGGGAGCAGGAGCTGAAGGATGCGCAGGATTGGTGCCGAACGTTTGACATCGCTGTTGCAAATTTTGTAGAAGATCAAGCGCAATGGAAGGATGACAGAGCTAATACGGGCGTAGATGGCAGCAGTATCATGGATGGGTCTACAGAGTCTGCGGTTATTGAGGAATTACTTCGTCGCCTGGATGCCAAAGTTTTGGGGTTTGAAGGACAGTTGAAGGAGTTTGAGGATCAAATTAAGCCCAGCGTGGAAAAGACTTGGACAGATTTTTGCGGATCCTTGGTGTATCTTGACAGAGGAACCGTTCCTGGCGTGTTTGAAAATCAACAGGCTAGTCTTGGTAAAAAATACCAAGAGCTATGGTCCAAAATCATGTATAGTGCCGAGGTGGTAAAACAACGCAGAGTCCTCGAGCGTTTGAATGCCCGTATGAATGATCTTTCTCAATTAAAAGCAGATCTTGCTGCCATGGCCGTAACTAATATCAACGAAATTACTATTGATGGTGACAAGGGTAAGTGGATCACAAAATTGTTGTAAAAGGGCACCTGTAGTTGTTATATTTGCTCTAATCATTCTATTCTATTCTATTCTTTTTTTTTTTTTTTTTTTTTTTTTTTGCTTCAGGTATGCAAAAACTTGAAGCAAAGATTCGTGCATTAGGTGCGGAATTTGAAGCAGGCGTTGCTACACTCTGCTATCCAGTAGATGCCTCTAGCGATGAATCAAGGATGAGATTCGAAGATATTAACTCCCAGGTGCGTCGACACATCCAAGTCTGTCGGACCCGCCTCGAAAACTTTAATCAAACCCTCAACCAGGTTTTACACGACAGAGAGGTCATGAGGAAACAACAAAAGCTGGAGGCAATCCAACAGAGTCAGAATGAGGCCATCCATGTTAAAACCCAGTACCTGGAGGACGCCTCGAGCTTGGTGGAATGGGTAAATGAGGCTACGATATTAGTAGCAAGAGTTTTTTCAGGCGACGAGAGGGACGTTGATTCCTCTGAAGAAGGGAAACCAACAACATCAACAACAGGTTCTTTGGTAGAGGAGAAGAATGTGGACCATCTCCTATTCACGGCTGAAGAACTGTGTTCACGTTTTTCCCAAGAAGAGCTTAGAGAACGCAATATCAGATTGGAGAAGCTGTATCAAGGAGTCCACGAAAAGACGGAGCACAAGAAGGATATGCAGGTTCAATTCCTGGAATCCCATACTGCTGACAAGCAAGAGTCTGAACTGAAAGTACACTATGACAGAGTCCTGTCCCTATCTGAGCCTTTGGTAGCCGATAATGCGACATTCAGTAGCGAATCGTCCCTCTATGGACTTCAAGAAAACGTTAAACAAAATCGATCCACGATTGAACAGCTTGATCGTGACATCTCCTCAAAGTTTTATGAATTTGATGCTAAGGCAGAAGCCATGCTCGTTTCATTGGAACAGCAATCAAAAACCCTTGAGGCTGCTCTGGAAGAACGTATGCGGCTTGACGAAGAGGAACGCCTACGTGCCCTGCGAGCTATAGCAATAGGAAAGTTTGATTCCTTGAAGGTTGAGTTTTTGACATGGTCCGACAATCAAATCAAAGGACTGACTCAGCTCTGGGATTCCTATGGTTACATTGCCAAGAATGAGGGTACTCTAGATAATGCGGTCAAGACCTTGGAAACGGAGACAGAGCGTATTGGCAAGGAGCTTTCGAACCAAGAATCAGTTTATCACGAACTTAAGGACACACTAGACACTCTCTTTAGCAGCGAAGAGTATGTAGCCGATCATAAGCGGCATGCTGAAGCCATCGATTCCGCTTGGTCATCCCTCAAGGCTGATTCTAATGGCTATACTACGATCTTAAACCATATGTACCATTGGTTGGCGCTTCATAATGCCCTTTACCGCTTTAAGAAAGAGCTTAGTCACCTTGAACAGCGCGTTGAAGCATTGCCATCAATGGATTGGAATGCTTTCCTTACAGAAGAAGAAGCAGTCCGTCAGCGTATCATGGACCTTGAAAAGCAGGCTCACGAGATCATGGCTCGTGCTGATGAAGCCAACGCCATCAAATTTGGTGTAGACATACAGGCGAAACTCCATAAGGTCCTGAATGCTAACAAAGCCTATTTCGAAGAGCAATTATCCATGATTTCGGGTCATATGGAAACTGTAATAGAACGCATCAAGCTTGAAAAAGAGATTGCTCATGAAAAGGAGTCGGAGAGGTTACGTGTCCTGCGGGCTATTGCTGTCGAAGAATTTGAAGCATCCAAGCACAAGTTTTTGACGTGGTCCGATAATCAAATCAAAGGACTGACTCAGCTCTGGGATTCCTATGGTTACATTGCCAAGAATGAGGGTACTCTAGATAATGCGGTCAAGACCTTGGAAACGGAGACAGAGCGTATTGGCAAGGAGCTTTCGAACCAAGAATCAGTTTATCACGAACTTAAGGACACACTAGACACTCTCTTTAGCAGCGAAGAGTATGTAGCCGATCATAAGCGGCATGCTGAAGCCATCGATTCCGCTTGGTCATCCCTCAAGGCTGATTCTAATGGCTATACTACGATCTTAAACCATATGTACCATTGGTTGGCGCTTCATAATGCCCTTTACCGCTTTAAGAAAGAGCTTAGTCACCTTGAACAGCGCGTTGAAGCATTGCCATCAATGGATTGGAATGCTTTCCTTACAGAAGAAGAAGCAGTCCGTCAGCGTATCATGGACCTTGAAAAGCAGGCTCACGAGATCATGGCTCGTGCTGATGAAGCCAACGCCATCAAATTTGGTGTAGACATACAGGCGAAACTCCATAAGGTCCTGAATGCTAACAAAGCCTATTTCGAAGAGCAATTATCCATGATTTCGGGTCATATGGAAACTGTAATAGAACGCATCAAGCTTGAAAAAGAGATTGCTCATGAAAAGGAGTCGGAGAGGTTACGTGTCCTGCGGGCTATTGCTGTCGAAGAATTTGAAGCATCCAAGCACAAGTTTTTGACGTGGTCCGATAATCAAATCAAAGGACTGACTCAGCTCTGGGATTCCTATGGTTACATTGCCAAGAATGAGGGTACTCTAGATAATGCGGTCAAGACCTTGGAAACGGAGACAGAGCGTATTGGCAAGGAGCTTTCGAACCAAGAATCAGTTTATCACGAACTTAAGGACACACTAGACACTCTCTTTAGCAGCGAAGAGTATGTAGCCGATCATAAGCGGCATGCTGAAGCCATCGATTCCGCTTGGTCATCCCTCAAGGCTGATTCTAATGGCTATACTACGATCTTAAACCATATGAACCACTGGTTAGCCCTATATAATAACCTTGTTCGCTTCGAGAAAGAAGGGCTTGGGCGCCTCGATAGGCGCGTCGAAGCTCTGCGGTGGATGCACTGGGACGCTTTCCAGCCTGAAGAAGAAGCACTTCAGCAGTGTATTAAGGATGTAGAAGATCAGGCTCGTGATCTTTTAATTCGTGCTGATGAGGTCAATGCGATGGGGCTTGGTTCAAATATTCAAGCTGATCATCAAGCCATCCTTAATGCTAATAGAGTTTACTTTGAAGAGTATTTTAGCAAGATTCCAAATCGTATTAAGTCTGCTAAGGCTCAGATGGAGATAATCCACGAGACCGCCAAAGAAATTGCGCTCCATGCCAAGTTCCATGCTGATCTCGTCCGTGTTGAGACTGCCATTGCTCAACAGATTGATGCTGTCAAGGCTAGACTAGGAAGCTTGGAGCGATCAAGTTGTTTTGCGCTCAACAGTAGAGCACTAGAAGCTGTAGTTGTGGCTGCGAATGAAGTATGTATGGATGGCAAATACCAGTTTTCAGTTCTTCAAGAGGTAGAATATCCGGCTCTTGAACAGATGGCCTTTGATCTCGATATGCTTACGGTGCCGGAGCCAGCTGACGCTGATGGCAATATTTCTTCGATCCGGACCGGAGTTCAAGGATCAATGGAACGTATTCGTGATTCTCTAAAAAAGCTAGAGGTGTATATTGAGGAGGATTGTTTCGAGACTTTGCTTGCCGCCAAATTCTATACTCATTGCAAAGCTACAGAGGATATTCGACAGTGGATCACAGCCTGTCGTGAATCCATGGCACAGCTGGATCCGTTCCTGTCTAGCAGAAATGAAGACTTGGGTGACAAAGCGAAGCGTCAACAGACCAAGGACTGGAAGACCCACCATTTGGAGTCTTTAGAAAAGAAAATGAATGCGTTTGGTGGAACTGTCCAGCACTATGATGATCTCTCAAGCGACTTTATGCTTCTGCATCATCCCGACACGAGTGCCTTGGACCTCACTGATCAGGTTGCGGGAACTACTCAGGAAGAAGGAACTCCACCTATCTCGATGCGTGTAATTCTGCGTCAAACAGTACAAGAGCGCACGAAGCGTACTCGTGAAGACTGGGAGCTACTCAAGCAAGAATTCTTGGCCAAAACAGCTGCTCTAGACGAGATGAATTCTGAGGATGGAAATGCTAGTGAGGTCTCAGATTTGAACGGTACAGATTTAGGAGAGCATGGTCGTCGGGGGTCCTCAGCAGATAATGGCACCATCCCAGTTGTCAAGGCTAAAGCACTGAGCCGGTTTGGAAAGGAGATTCTGGAGGATATTACTAGGGTCTCGCGTGAAGTTCAAGAAATGTTTGACTATGTGCCTTCGTCACATTCAGCTCTGTCTTTGGCAATGGGATCTGATGGTACTTTGATAAAGTCCAAGGATGGTCAAGTCCGTCTAGAAATGATTGAAGCATATATTCGTGATGTTCTCCGGGCCAAAGTTGAACGGTTTGATGCAATGCTCTTGGCTGCAAACGAGCAGAATGAGCAAGAGCAAGCCTGTCTTGAAAATGGTAATACTTCAGACCAAGGCATTAGCACTCGTAGCCAAATGCGACACCATGAAAGAATGGTCGGTGTGGCCATGCAGCGTGGGCTCATAGCAGAGTCGATGAGTCGACTGGTAGAGTCTTGTAACCATCAACGTAAAGAGGTTGAGGAGACCGATCGAGTACGAGACGCTATGGGTCTGATCCATGAGGCCAGCATGCTCTGTGATGAGATGGCCAAGGCTCTTTCAACTGCTGATGGCCTCTTGACGCTGTCCACTACATGTGGTATGCCTACTAGCGTATCGCTGTATAGCTTACCTTCGACATCATCATCGTCTGTATCCGTTGCATCTATACATAATGCCAAATCACCGATCGCTAGTCCTCGGATGTCACCTGCAACGACTGTTTCTAGGGCTACCGCCATATCAAGAGAACGACGTGCTTCACGGGCAGCGAAGCGTCGATCCTTTTCGCTCTCATCCTTGAGTGAGGAGGATGCTCAGCAATGGGAAGCCAATTACTGTGGTCTGATGAAGGAGTTGGACAGATTCACACAAGATATTGAACAGCGTTTGGACGCGGTTTCAAACATGGCCGACCATCTAAATGATTGGCGTCTGGACGAGAACTATGGTATAACGACTGAGCACTGGCAAAGGCTTAAGAAGTCTGCTTTGGCCAAGAAGGAGGAGCTGGACCGTATTCGGGTAGGTCGGTCTGGTAGTAGTACTGCCAGTAATGAGTTGAACCAAGGATCAGGAGTCCATCCCCTCGATGGCCAGCTGTCGTTGTCGTCTCGACCCAGCGTGATGCAGCCCACTATCTCATCCAGCAATCGTGCCAAGACCAATTTAGGTACGCCTCTGGAACCTTCTTCATCTGGTCAACAATCATCTGAAAAAAAGCGTTTCTCGACCGGTAACATCGTGTCGCGTGGGCCACCTGTACCTCCCTCAACAGCTAGCGGTGGAAGTAGGTCTAGTACATCACGATCAACAACAAGCGGTCGAATGCGTTCGGGTACAGCACCGGGTCGAGCCACAGCCAGCCAAACAGACGTGAGCACGCCCAAGAAATACACAAATATTGGCGTCTCTCCAAGTCTGTCCAGCCTCCATGGCATGTCGGCTACGTTCTCACAAGAAACCAAGAGACGCCCTTCTGTCGTCCACAAAAATGACGAAGCGATGGCTTTGGTTCCCTCGCTTGCTCAGAACAATAATAGCAACGGTGGCAATTTAGATGTGCCAAATTCATCAACTACAAGTAAGCAACGGATGGTTTACAAACCTGACCTGGACAATGCATTGGATGTTGAAGTGGCACGTGTGGTAAATGCGAGCGGATTCTTGATGAAGGTTAAGAGGGTGAAGGATAGTCAAAGCCCTTACTTATCTGCAAGTGGCAACAGCACGGGTGCAAATACACCTGGTGGAGGGATGGCTAGAAGTCGATCTGACTCGGCTTCGAGTCTTGTATTGAGTGGGTTGTCTGATAATGGAGGGTATGAAGGAGGCACTGATGGCATAGATATTAGTAGTCCACGAGCTATGAAGGTGATCCGAGATCAGGGTCAAAATCGGTTGAATGTGTCAAAGCTTGAAAACAATGGTATTGATGAATACAATGGACAGGTGGGACGATATGTGTTTGGAGAGATTGAGCCCAAGGTTTGCTACTGCCGTATCCTGAGAAGTCGTAAGGTCATGGTCCGAATCGGAGGAGGATGGTGTGAATTGTCCAAGTAAGTGGCTGTTTGACATGTTTTATTGCTTATAAATGTTTATTATTTGGGTATATGGAGATTAAACTGAAATTATTATTGTTTTTTTTTTTATTTTTATTTTTTTATTTTTATAGATTCATGGAAGATCATGCGTCGCTTGAGCAGCGGAAAGCCAAAGCCAAATTGCTTTCAGCATCCAACTCGTCAGTCTCGATGTACCATTTTGGTGGTTCGGCCCCTGTTCTTAGTGGGACTGAGTCGGGTCCGGCGAACCACACGTCTGTTGGAGGATTGGATGGGTCGTCAGACAGTCTATCAGCTCACAGTCAAATGAGTGGCGGTGATATTGGTGGTGGCGGTAGTGGTGTCGAGAGCCATGAGGGCAGCAGCCATGTTCAAGAGACATCCAAGAGGAATAAGAAGGAAGTAGTTTATGCTATTCGGCCAAGTGATGATCTAGCGCTCAAGACGATCAAGTTTGTCAAGAATGGTGCTGGCGAGGGACTTGTTGCCATTTGAAAGAGAGCTTTATTTCTTGTTATTGACAATTCAACAAAGATAATTGGGCGATCAAGGACGCGTGAAATTAAAGAAAGGGCGAGCCATGCGGAGGGTTTTCTCTAAATGCATGCTGTCCATTTTATGTGCATGTCTCCCAAAATGACAGGGCGAAATAATTATACGTATTTATAAAAATAAAAATTATTATTGTTGAGCAATATCATCCACAAGCTCTTTCTCTTGCATGAAAAAAAAGCTTTATTTTTACATTTTTCTATTCGTAACTCTCATCATTTTTCATTCTTCCCTCTTTTCATTTATTCAATCACTCATTCCTTCTTTCATTCGTTCATTACATTCTTTCTTTTCATTTGATTTGATTTGATTTGATTTGATTTGATTTGATTTGATTTGATTTGATTTGATTTTTTTTTATATTTTTATTTTTTCCTTCTCTCTCTCTCTCTCTCTCTCTCTCTCTCTCTCTCTCTCTCTCTCTCTCTCTCTCTCTCTCTCTCTCTCTCTCTCTCTCTCTCTCTCTCTCTCTCTCTCTCTCTCTCTCTCTCTCTCTCTCTCTCTCTCTCTCTCTCTCTCTCTCATTAGCCTGACTCAAAGTTCGACCCAAAAGAAACACATTTGTTCCATTTATCTCTCTCTTTCTCTCTCTCTCTCTCTCTTTTTTTTTTTATTTTTTTTAAAAAACTTTTATAAATATAACATGGGTATCCCATTATCCAAGGCGATTGCAAAGATCTTTGGCAACAAAGAGATGCGTATTCTGATGCTCGGACTCGATGCTGCAGGAAAGACCAGTATGTGTTTTATTTATCATATCTGATATTTTTCACACACATACGTACATGCACCCTTTCTCGTTCTCGCTTTCTCTCTTTTACGATTCATAAAGCCAGGAACAACTACAGACAATTTATATTGCGATATATGTATTCATTATGGCGAGAGGACTGGATAAATGACCATTGTTTTCTTGATAGTCAACCATTCATTACTACTCCCAGTCTCTTTTTCATCCTTACGCTTTTGTAAAACATGTGTTTGCATACTGCTTGGTTTCCTTTGTGTTCATAAAGGTTTACATCAGGCCAATTGCCTCCAAGGCACAAAGTGGATGATGATCCTATCTCTGTGTTATAATTGACCTTTTGGTCTTTTTTTTTTTTTTTTTTTTTCCTCATTTCCTCCTTTTTTCTCGGCTTGCTCCCCTTTTTTTTCATACATGTATGCTCACATTGACCGACTGGGTCGATACCTCGACACAAAGCTTCGCTCTAAAAAATGAAGAAAGTGAGCAACAGAAAAACAGAAGGAATTGCTCTCAATCCGACAGTACTTTTCGGCTAACTGAGTTATCTTGTTCTTTTTCTGTACGGCCTATCGAGTCGGTCGTTGTTATTTTATTTGCTGATGTCCTACATTCACTCTTATTTGCATTTTAAAACTCGCGCTATGAAGGGGAATGACGGGGTTCATGGGAAAGCAATGCAGAGCAAACCAGAGCTTTTAAAAGACAGTATCTGACTTTTTTTTTGTTTTTTTTTTGTAAACTTAGCCATTCTGTATAAACTGAAGTTGAATCAGTCTGTTACAACTATTCCTACTGTTGGATTCAATGTCGAAACAGTGGTGTATAAGAACGTCAAGTTTAATGTCTGGGTAAGTTATCATGATTATGAAGAGCGGTATTGGATATTGACAGGTACCAGGAGAATGCATCCATTCAGACAAACAGCGCTTGAAAGAGAAGGGTTGTGTTTTTTAGATGACATAGCCTTTTCACCTTTTTTTCTGTCGAGAGAGGCTGTAATTTCTGCCATACAATGCCTGTATATTTGTGTGTGCCTGTGTGCCTGAAAGAAAGGAACAGCAAGGCTCGTTCTTACACAACATTCACAACACGCAACCCACGACGTGCAATTCTACAAAAACAACAAGCCTGGAAATGAAAAAAAAAAAAAAAAAAAAAAAAAAAAAAAAAAAAAAAAAGATCGTAATTATTATTACAGTGATTGTGAAGCGTTAAGGACAAAAAAGTTTCCTCCCGCGGGACAAAGACATCACACGCATTTATAGTGTCATTCATCGATCATTCTGTACGACAAACAATATCCGAAATATTGTAATGAGCTGATGAGCTGTTTACGATCGCCATGTCGCTTTCAATACAAAGGCTTTCTCACACGGCTGTAACACAAGCGACATACTGAAAAAAAAAAAAAAAAAAAAAAAAAAGCAGAATGACAAAGAGAGTTTTTTTTTTGTTACCATGCATAGTTTAATGGTGTAAGATGTTAATATGATTTCTTGGATGAATTATTTAGGATGTTGGCGGTCAGGACAAGATTCGACCATTGTGGCGCCACTATTACACAGGCACACAGGGATTGATCTTTGTGATCGATTCACAGGACAAGGATAGGATAGACGAAGCACGTCAGGAATTACACCGTATCATCTCAGATAGGGAAATGAAGGATTGTCTATTGCTCGTCTTTGCTAACAAGCAGGATCTTCCTGGAGGTGAGCCGTTGAACTCTGATCTTACAATATGATATTGCGTTGACAATTGTCCTACTGCATGATCCACTGACTTTTTTTTTTTTTTTTTTTGTGTATGTGCTATGTGTCTTACACTTGTAGCCATGACGCCTGCAGAAGTAACAGAACGTCTTCAATTGCATACTATGCGTGAGAGACCTTGGTATGTGCATCCGTCATGCGCCACGACGGGTGAAGGTCTATTTGAAGGCCTCAACTGGATGAGCCAGAATGTCAAGAGCAAGTAAAAAGAAAAAAGAAATAAAAGAAAAAGAAAAAAAATAATAATAATAATAATAACAATAATAATATATAAAAAAAAAAAAAAAAAAAAGAAAAAAAAAAAAAAAAAAAAAGAAAAAGAAAAAGAAAAAAGAGAGAGACCAAATGACGAGCGGTTTCGGTTGTTCAAAACAAGGACTTTGATCTGCAACGGACAGGAAGTTGAGATGTCAGAGGACAAAGTAAGGCAGTCAGGACCCTTCTCTTTGGAAGCATAAGCTAATGGAATCTCTCCTTCGCTCTTCTTTGATACCATTAAAACAAACCAAAGTTATTATCATCAACTACCAACGACAAAGGCAACTCATGTTATTACTAGGTTTAGTCTCTTTTGTTCTTACTCAATATATATATTATTACTACTATTATTATTATTATTACTAGTATTATTATTACATTTATAAATGTATGTTATTGCAATTGCTATTGCTATTGTCATTACTTTATATATGATATATATATATATATATATATATAACATTAACAGTGCTAGACTAAGAGCTTAATGAAAAAAAAAAAAAAAAAAAATCTGATTTGTTCTTGAAGTGGAATGAAAAGGAGCTTATTTGGATAATAATGTTCATCAAAGACCTGGCCACTGTTCTCTCCTCCGTAATGAATCCAAATGCTCACTGCACGTGCTCTCAAGAAGGAAGGTGGGAATAGAGTGGGGGGTCGATATAACCGAGTGTTCCCTGGTCTAGATTTTATTTGAGCAATAGAACATTTGGCATAACGATTCGCAAACAAAAAGACACCCGTATATACCAAGCATAGCATCACAATCATAAACATGGCGTATGGGCAGTCAAATATGCATTGCTTTCCTGCCTTACCTTATCAAACAACGTGGCCTCACTAGCTTTTTCTCTCTTTCTCTTTCTCTCTTTCTCTCTTTATCTCTCTCCTTTTTTTTTTTTTTTTTTTTTTTTTTTTTTTATTATCACAACAACAGCTCCTTCTCCTCCTTCTCTTTCCTTCAATCTGACAATGTCTGCATTGCGGGCCATGCTGCAGCTGAGGTCCTCTTCCTCACAGTCAGACTCCTCCTCCTCCATTGCAGACAACAACAATGAGTCCCTTCACTCCAACACAAGCCATCCTTCTTTCTCTCCTTCCTCTTCTTCCTCTTCTGCGGTCCATAGTGTCTCCACTGCATCTCTTCAACTCAACAACACTTCAACAACAGCAACCCTTGGAAACACTTTAGGAATAGCAACAACACCAGCAACAACTACAACTACCACTACTGCTACTGCTGCTTCACCCACAACCGTCATCAATTCGTCTATTACCTCCTCCCTTTCATCTAAACCATCCTCTCCTGCAAAGAAACCTCCACCCTTTCAGAATCTTGGCCTTCATTCAGGCGCTGCGTCAGGCAATCTAGGTACTTTTTTTTTTTTTTTTTTTTTTTTTTTTTTCGATATCCAATATATTCAGGTTATAGTCAATACTGGAATATCATAAGAACCTTGATAAGCTCCCTTTTTACCTCGAAGAGAATAGAGACAACCACCTAGTCTATTATTTTGTAAACTCTCTGTTTTACCCCTGCACATCATTTATCCGCTCTTTTTTTTTTTAACCTCCTTATTGAGCGTAGCAAAAATGGCTCGCAGCTCTTGATTGTTTCTGTGTTTCTGTATTCTGTAATTTGGTTCGTTTGGATGTGATAATTTGATGTTCTTGGTGTGTTGTCTTTGGATTGGTTGTCGTCTGCCTTTTTTTCACAGTTGCAAAATGTGTTTGTGTTGACAAATGTAACACTGAAAGATAGTTCATTTGGTGTCATGCATGGAGTGCCGTTTTTTCTTCTTGTGCTCTGTACCCGTTCAACTTTTTTTTTTTTTTTTTTTTTGTGTTTAGGTTGCGCCTTTGCCTCCCAAAAAAGCTAAAGCATTAACTCGGGTTGGGTAGCATGGGACAAACCAATTCAAAATTATATCATTCACAAAAGATAAAAAAGTAACGTCAAAGCTATGCAGATGTGCTTTTAATCCCGTTTTTGCTCATCCCAAATTATTATGTTTTCTCTGGATCTTTGAAGCGATAGTTGCTATGATCTAAAGCCCTTATTATCACTATCTATCGTTTATTCTTAAAAAAGGGGAAAAGAGAGAGAGACTCTTTTGGACTAGTTATCGAATATCGAATGGTGATAGAGATGAAGATGACATTTAAGAGAGATTATCAAAGAACAGATAAACAGATTTATGATTCCCCTTTTCTCCTTATTCTTTTGTCATTCAAAACAATGGTCAATTGTGAACAAAAGGATACATGAAGAAAAAAAAAAAAAGGTTTAGCAAGGTTACTCACCAACCTTGTTTTCTTTTCCGCTATTGCGTCTAGGCTTGGTCAAGTTTGCGCTTGACAACGGTCAGCCGATTGACTCCGTGCTCAATGGTGTCTACGCCATTCATGCTGCCTGCTGCAGCAACGCCAATGTGGCGGTCGTGATGTTTTTGATTGAACGAGGGGCTGATGTCAATGCTAGGAGGCTCCCCCGGAAATACAGTAACGAGAAGAGTGTGTATGTATGCCGCTTTCAAAAAAAAAAAAAAAATTGTGCAACACAGATATAATATACACCATGCATGTGTGTATATGATACCACCATCCCTACTGACTCATGCAACCTTTGTCCATATTCGTGAATGGCAGTCAGACAGTTGGTACAACAGGATCAACTCCTTTACATTTTGCAGCCGCTAACGGATGCCTTGCAATCGTCGATATCCTGTTGAGGCATGGAGCAATCGTAGATATGACTGACAAGGTAGATGATGAAAAAAAAAAAAAAAATTACACTCTGCATTTGTTCATTTTCTAAACTTTCTTTTTTTTTTTTTTTTTTTTTTTTTTTTGTTTGTTTGTTTGTTTGTTTTCTTTTGTTTATAACGTAACAATCATGCTATATTTGCTATAACAGTATGGTTCATCACCATTGTCTGTAGCAGCGGCAAGAAATCATCCCGAAGTTGCTAGTTTGCTCCGTCAATATTCAGCTATGCAGCGTGGTGTTCAGGATTTGACACCAGAGAGTGAGGCTAAGGATCCATTCGCAGACAGGAGAGGCAGCAGTGATTTCCATCGAGGAGCTGCCATTATTACGCCTCCAATCCGTCCTGTTGTATCTGTACCAACATCAAATGGTTCAGGACAAATAACCTCTCAGCCATTACCTACCTCAGCACAGCGCTCTGGTCAAACAAACCGCGCTTCCGGTCAACGGCGCATCAGTCTGCCTTCGATTACCGAAGCTCCATCTCCTGCTGATGTTCCTGTCCCAATGCCACGACAATCCTGTGATCTTGGTCGCATTCCTCAATCAACAGAACCTTTGATCAGAAACAGTGCGTCTATCCGATCTACACTCTCACAGCCAACACGAAATATCTCCATGTCGCCTACAAAATCTGAAGATCGCATCTCTGTGAAAAGTTTGGCACGAGATCCATCTGATCCAACTCTGAGCGTCCCATCCAATGGGACTGGCTCTGCAGCAATGTCAAACAGCCCTGCTAACGATACGAGTCCATGTAGTATGCAGCACCCTCAGATAAAGGCAAGTACACCAACCATAGGAGGGCAACAACAGCAACCGAAACAGAAACAGGACAATGATCTTGTGGCCCCATCACCAGCTGTAATAGCATCAGCAACAACAATAAAACGACGAAAATCTATGGGGTCTGCGGCCCTCTTGTCGCCTCCCACTGAAAATTCGGTTCACCGCCGCAAGTCGTTTGACCACTTGATGAGTTTGATGAGATCAAATTCAAAGACTAGGAGACCATCAGATGCATCGATAGCGTCAGAGGGAACAGCTTGCTCTTCAGAAACCACAGGAACATCCCGCACCAGCATTTCTGATCATCGTGGTAGTCTTGATGCAATCAATGTTAACGTCAAAAGCAAAAACAGCGGAAGCTGTGGTAGCAAAAAGGACAGTCTTCTCGCTACTATCAAAGCAACTGATTCCGATAGCGGAAACGGGAATGGCTCGACTTTGTCGTCCCATTTGACAAGGTCGGCCTCACAACCTGCGTTGGAGGACAACATCAAGCCAAAGCGATCACCGGTAACGTTCGTGAAAGAGGCAATAGTCGCTCGACAGTCACTGGATCTTCAAAGATTGGCAGTGAACCTGGACAGGACAGCAGACAAAGCTAGGAAGAGCATGGAACACAGGAATGATTCTGACTCTGACCTGCCTGGCTTGCTCTTCCGCCGGCGAACCATGCAGGAGATCGTGCCCTTCCCAAAGATGAACAACAAAACTTCACAATATCATACGATGGGACCATCAGTCAACCTAACAACCCTCTCGGATAATCAGTTTCATCAGCAACAGCATTCGAATGGGTCAACATCATCGCTTCAAGAGGCATCACCTCGTCTCAGCATCGGATCGATCTCCTCTGGTAGTGCGACGGTTTCGGGAAGGTTCTCACGGATGTGGTCATCGTCCAATTCAACCAGCAAAGAGAATCTTGACGTGAATGACTTTGGTGACTCGATCGTTTCTTCTGGGGAGCATGCTTCAGCAGGGACCTTAACACCGAATGGTACTACTAACCGACCTCGAAACAGCATGCTGAACCGACTTTCTGGTCTCTGGTCTCGCCGATGAAAGATTGAAGAGGATGTAAATGCTGATGTAGATTTTTTTTTTTTTTTTTTTTTTATTATTATTATTATTATCTCGCCTTATTCCTCCAAGCTTCCTCTGTATATATCATCTGTAAATATTTTCACAAAAAAAAAAAAAAAAAAAAAAAAGGTAAAGGTAAAGGCAAAAGCAAAAGCAAAATAAAGAGAAAAGACAGCTTTTGATGAGGATTGGCATTGGTGTTGTGGTGGAGGCTGTTGCCTGCATTTCTGTGCAAATATAATAGGTTGATTTAGTCTCTGGGTGGACAGACTTATTGAAATAAACCAATCTTTCATTCACTCACTCTCACTCCCTCACTCATACGTTCTTCCGCTCATTCTCACACATTCTCTTTCTCGACCTTTTTCTCAAAGTAATCAGTCACTTTTTTAAACCACGGAGAAAGCATTACGATTCAAGATGGACTCATCTTCTCTTCAAAGAACAAGCATGGGGCATGAAAATATACACAAACAGGAACAGGAACAGGAACAGGAAAAAGAACAACAGGAGCAGGAGCAAGAACGGGAGCAGGAGCAGAAACAGAAACAGAAACAGAAAAAGGAATATCAGCAGAATGATATCAATGCACAAGCGATGAACCCTTCATCATTCATTGACACTTGGAACGTTGGCATCAGAAATCGTCTGGGTCATGTGTCGTCGTCGTCGTCAAGTCAAACAATCGACACAGCTGCTATTAAGCCTGATTATATAGAACAGGAAGATGATAATAATGTCGTGGGCATCTCGACTGCAACTCGACTTCATTCCAAGGCTACTGTTGCGACCTTCTCTCCTGGGACAACGATGACTACGACTATATCTACATCTACTTCTGCTTCTAGCTTACAAGAATGCGACTTGGCAAATAGATCTGAGGTTGACATGGGTAGTTCGGCTCAAATAAACAGATCAGTTGAAACTTCATCAGATGAATCTGCACCATCCGCTATTGCAACAACTTCCATATTATCATTACAACCGTCAACATCAACTTCAACAGAAGCAAGTAGCAATTCTATGATAACAACTTCTGGTGCTACTACTTCCTTTACCACCACTTCTTCTACAACCATAGCAGACTCCGACTCCAACGCAGAATTTTCATGCAACATTTGTTTTGATACTTCTGTATCTCCTGTTCTTACTTTATGCGGGCATTTGTTCTGGTAAAAAAAAAAAAAAAAAAAAAAAATGCTCTGGTGCTGTAGCGGATCTTCATGTTCTCATTCTTTTTTTTTTTTTTTTTTTTTTTTTTAAAGTTGGTCATGTCTTCATCAATGGCTAGAAGCTCAGCGTCAGAATCCAACATGCCCGGTTTGCAAGGCTGGATGTGCGCAGGATAAGGTCATTCCAATTTATGGACGAGGTAAAGAACAGGTAGATCCACGATCAACGACCCCTAAGAGACCTGCAGGCCAACGACCGGAACCGTTTCGAAGCCCTAATCAGATTGGAACTGGATTTACATTGGCTACGGGACAAGTAACATTTACAGGAACTATGATCCCGCCATTCATGTTTTCGCCTTTTGGGGTCCATTATGGCGCATCATATGCCGGCGCCATGGGTCCTAATGGAGCAGGTAATTTTGTTTTCCTTCACTTTGACATAAAAAAAAAAATGGAGTCTAATTTGGCTTCTTTATATCTATAACACTCTCTTCATTAGTACAGACCCCTATGCAAGCGTATGTTTCGCGATTATTCTTCATGCTTGGCGCTCTAATATTGGTTGGGATTCTGCTTTACTGAATAGTAATAAAGTACAAAAAAAAAAAAAAAAAAATCAAAAGCGTTTGTTTGCGTTGATGCTATTTCGTACTTCTTTATGTCAAAAAATTACTTTTCTACAAAAAAGTCATTCAACTCCTCCAAACTGCCAGTGTGTGGTTTCCTTCGCTCCTGATTAATATTGTGCTAAAGTGGAGTAGAGGAATTACATTTCAATAGTCATAATCGAATGGGTTCTCATTATCATAATTATTGCAAAAGGCTTACTTTCTTTTTTTATTTCTTTCTTACTTGTTTCCATATTCAACGGAAATGGTGGGGGTATCTTCATTACCACCAGTCCTCAGCTCTGTCAATTCCTTAGCATGTGCAGCAATGGAGGCAATAAACCCTGCAGATGAAGCTTTAGCAATACCACGAACTGTTGTCAATTATTAGTAAGCTGTGATACAATCAATCTCTATTTCCCAGATATTGAACTGTTCCTGATGCCTCTTTTTTTTTTTTTTTTTTTTTTTTTTATATCCAGTAATACCACCAAGGCAAAGACCGTGTTCATCGGCAATTAATACACCAATGACCCCTTCTGATTCCGTCCTATGAGCCAATGTTCAATAAAGGAAGTTCAATGTGAATGTAGAATGGATTATTAGAACTCCACATGTAAGGGCTTTAACACTACTTAAGCAGCTCAACGAAGGTGTTCATGCAAGACTTTCTTACAGCTTGTTAAGAATGTTGTTAATGCCAGTTTCCATAATATGCCAGTGTTGTTATTCTTTTTCTTTACAGCCTTTTTGAAGTAGGGACGTGTGTGAAGGAAGCAAGCAGGGATGAAGAATGAAAAGGTTGGTTAAGGTCATGCCAAAACCACGTGAACAAAAGACAAAAAAGTTGCAAATGTGATAAAAAAAAACAACCCTCTCTCTCTCTCTCTCTCTTCCTTCTCTTCTACCACAACTTCTTCGAAACAAAGAGGTGAAGTTATAGAACTGAATTCTCTGGATAAAAAACGTGAATAAATCTCATGGATGTAGACGACACCCGACCAGTAGGATCCTCTGGATATCAAGAGATGATAATAGATCTTATTGAGGATCAAGATCCAAATACCACGATCCATAATACACAGCTACTAATAGAAAGTGGAGGTACCGAAAGGGTAGCTACTGCACTAGAAACAATAGTAGCTGACGGAGTCATGAGTGAGGAGTATTACTCAATGTCCAAAGGTCATTGGCAGCAACAAGCAGGGTGTTTTCAAGTGTTTGAGTGTAAATTCGGTCCATCGACTATATCAAAAGATCAGCAAGGGATTGTACGATCGTTTACAACCGGGAACACATTCAATTCAACAGTAGGGGAATCTAGGCGGTTATATATGGATATTATGGATGAAAGCTACAAGAGGACAAACGGACATGAAAATAACTTCTTCAAAGCTATCAAATGGTAACTTTTTGTTTCTTTTTATTTTTATTTTTTTTATTATTCACATTCTCTGATTTCCTGGACCTGATATGCCTTCTGGTTTTAAATAGGTCTCCGGATGGAGCTTGCCTGTTGTCATCTACAAACGACAATTGCCTCAGGATATTTCCACTGTAGGTTCCCTTCATCTTCTTTGCCTCTGTCATCTATGCGTTATGGATTATTTATGATTATTCTGACATCTCTACTTTTTAAAAAATAATAATAATGAATGGATAGCCCCGATGCTGCCGCTGCTACTCCAGAAGGTAATTGCGTCTTTTCAAAGAAGCAAGACTAAGATCATAGAACAAAGGAGTTTATGAAACTAAACTCTTTTTTTTTTTTTTTTTTTTTTTTTTTACGCCGCAGATACTCAGTTGACTTCGGAGTTGCTAATAAAAGAAGGGGAAGTCGTTTATGATATGTGTTGGTACCCAGGCATGACTAGTTTGGACCCAAGTACTTGTTGTGTGCTATCATCCAGTCGTGATCACCCTGTTCATCTATGGGATGCTTATACAGGAGAAGTAGGATTTTTTTTTTTAAAAGAAAAAAAAAAAAAAAAAAAGCGGAATTTAATCCGCAATTAACGATTATGACAATTGGCCACAACTTATCACTTACTCTTTTTTTTTTTTTTAAAAAAAAAAAAAAAAAAAAAAAAAAAAAAGCTTCGATGTTCGTATACAATAGTAGATCACTGCGAAGTCAATGTCGCGCCGAACGCGACTTGTTTCAACTTGGATGGATCAAAGTAAAGTGAGAAAAAAAATGCAGAGTTTACCATAAAATGTTCAACACTGACTTTTTTTTTTTTTTTTTTTTTTCTTTTCGCTTTAAAGGATCTATTGCGGATACAACAACATGATTCAAATATTTGACACGGCACGGCCGGGAAGAGATAGCGTCAAAAGACCGACTGTACCAACACGAAAGAGTAAAGAGGGGCAAAAAGGGGTCATCTCATGCTTGGCGTTTAATCCTGATCATTCGGACGTTTATGCTGCAGGGTCGTACCTCAAAACCATTGGGCTTTATGATGCTCGAGCGGAAGAATTGATCATTCTCTTACGGGATAATCATAAGAAGAAAGAGAAGCCTGGATATTTTCATTCGTCACCAATGGGGGGTGTGACTCAGGTTCGGTTCTCTCCAGATGGCCAATACCTGTACTCTGCATCCCGTCAAGATCCTTTAATTCGATGTTGGGATACTCGAAATACAGCCGATGTGGTTTATTGTCTAGAGCGGCCTGGGGAATTAACGAATCAACGAATTAGCTTTGATATTTCGAGTGATGGACGATGGCTCACTACGGGGGATATGAATGGCGATATATCCATATTCGATCTGCGGGGTTTAGATAGGCCAATGTCTAGTACTACAAAGATTGCAACAACGACAACGACAACAAGAGGAAAAGCGGCAGAAATGACAAGCGATATAATATTGACTAATGCAGGCGATGAAGATGGGTATGATGGAGTAAACGAAGAAAACAAGATTAATGATCGGTTGGTGTCCCGGCTACATGTCCATGACGATGTGGTTTCTGCTGCAACATTTCATCCTAGTGGCGCTTTGTTGGCGACATGTTCTGGACAACGTAAATATGAGTTGCTCTTCCATTCTTTGGACTCTTCCTCGGATGCTTCGGATGTAGAGGAAGGAGGTGAAAGGGAGTTGGGCAACCAAAAGACTGAAAAGAAAGGTGTTGCTGCTCAAGATTCAAAGGGTTCTGAGGGTCCTGGTACTCCTCCTGTTAAGACAGTATCATACATCGATAATTCCATTCGCCTCTGGACACTTCCTGGCGATTATGTATGGTATGTCGATGGACAACGTTGGAGTGAGTCTACGTCCATATCAGCAATGGATGCAACTATGCCTGTGTCGCCTTCACCTTCGTATCCAGTGAGTCAATGAATGCCTGCGGACACGAGTTTAAATTCAAAAACTGAAATATTATCGAGCCCCTCATCCGATAGATAATGACATTAACAATTAAAAGTTAATATGTCATGTTCACACGAGTGACATGGAAGAAGAATTGGAGCCTAGACTAGACTACATCATGTTCCTTGTTCCTATCTTGCGTTGTTGACATAATCCTGTGAATTGAGCAATGTTGTAATACAAAATAAGCAAATTTGGTGTCCAGCTGTCAAATTATTACATCATTACTTTGCAAAAAAAAAAAAAAAAAAAAAAAAAACAAGTTTAATTTTAACATTAGATGGAGAAATAAGCACGCACATTCTTTCGTCACGAACTTTCGTTTTAATCCATATTTATAGATCATTCTTTAACAAATGAATGATGAAGAAATGAGGTCAAAAATAAAATATGAGAAGGATGGTCAACTGATCATTAATTCTCCTAGGACAAATGATATTCGATACAAGGAGTAGAAGGAAACCAGCGCTTTTATGCCTGAAGTTGCCATCAAAGCGAATGAGACAACAAGCATGACATGCTTTACCTTTGATTACCATGAAAAGCATTCGGTAGGACAGAGCAAGAAAGAAAAAGGTATAGCCGATACTATAAAGATACTTCTATTTTACCCCACGTTGAACTGTCATAGTGACGGGATACTTTTGGGCAATTAACAGCTGCAGGTACCACAACATCATATTCATCTTTACATTACATACACGTATCTTTTTCTTTTGAGAGCGCGAAGTAAAATGTGCTCAGGTACAGACAATTCTCTACATGTCCATGTCTAAAATTTGTGTTCAAGTTGTCATGCTGAATGAACCCACTTCGTGTCAGACCAAAACATAAACAAACAAAGACGAAATGTTGTTTTACAGACATAAACTGTAAATCATGGAGACAAATGAGACGGATGATCCTACAACGACACAATGCTCTGCTATTTTGATATGACGGCACTCTGACATGGTCAAGGGGACAAAGAAACGAAGAAAGGAACGAAGAAAGGAACGGAAAAAGACTTGAAACCCTGCTACGCGAATATGTTGCGTATTATTACTATCCTTTGGTATAAATACCTCCCCTCCATCTCCGGATTCAACAGATTCATCAACAAACAACTACCGTTTAATTTTCTACTTCAACCAACCCTCACTACCACTAAAAACACACATCATCCCTCTACTAAACAACTAATAATCAAATATGTGCGGCACTATCGAATGGGTTGCTTGGGTATGTTACTGAGCTGTAAAAATCCATTCCAAGCCAAGCGCAGCATCAAATCTCAAATTCGTCTTGCTAAAACTCTTTGTCTCCTCTCCTTTTCTTTTTCTTCATATTTTAGGATGGTTTGATCATTGTCGGCCTTATCCTCTTGATTATCTGGATTCTCGGCTTGGCCAATGTCATTCATATCGGTAATACTTCCGGATTGAAGGTGTGTACATTTTCCTCAGCTCTTGAATTTGAGTTTATTAATAAAAAAAAATTGCTAAAAAAAATTGCTTAAAAAAATCCCCATTCTGACGAATTAACATGTCATTCCTCCGTTAATATCAATAGCACATCTTCATTGCCCTCGCGGTTGTCTTCATTATCGCATGGCTCTTCACCCGCTGCTGCTATGGCCGCCGCCGCCGCGCCCGTGGAGGAGTTGTTGTCTAAAAGGAGTACACACCTCTTAATACCTCATTACTTTTAATAGTCTATCTGAGTGTACATTTATATTACTATTCTATCACTTATTTATTGGCTCGAGACACCTATCTAATTTCCTAATAAAAACGTGTCTTGGAAAGATAATGCAATTATATATAATATTTACACTAACATGATTGTAATACATTTGTATCTGGACCCTGACTAAAAATACTTCCCACGTTTGTTGTTCGATCATTATGAATCTGTAAAAAAAGAAAAAGGGTCGATCAAGAAAAAGGGATGAAAGTGAATATTGCTTGATTTATTTATATCATTATAAGCTATACAAGTTTTGCTATTCTATATACATTGTTCTAAATAAATAAGACTATGAAAACAGAAACGTGTAACCTTTTTTTTTTTTTTTTTTTTTTTTTTTTTAACATTCTTGTGCTGCCTTAAGAACCTTAAAGAACCATGTTGGTCGAAGCAAGAACTGCGCGTGATCCATATCCTCCATTATATGAAGCTCTTGCTTGTCTTCTCTCAATCCGACACTTTTCCTCAGATACTCTGCAATCATATCCATGTTTAGCAGATTGTCCTTTCTCGACAAGAAAACCCGAGTCATTTTTGGCAAAACGGGCGAGTATCTTCCTTGTAACGACAATACTGTCTCACGTCCACATTTGATGCTTGCTCTGCGCCTCCAGAGCACAGGGAATATAATACACTGATCCCAACAGAACCGACGCATGATATACCAAGATGTACCTATTTCCCGAGCTGCAAACAGATCCATGATCAATTCAGCTGCGGTCGATGGAATCCGGTAAGCAAAATTACGGGCAATCGAATGATGTGTCAAAAAGCAGATGGGGTCCGCCAGAACCAAGCCATGCACAATGGATTTAGAAGAATTCGCAGGACTAGCACGCATGACTGCAGCACAGAGCATGGTTCCAAGAGAATGGCCCATGAACGTGGCCTTGGGGTATTCATGAGTCTTCAAGATCCTTGCAATTGCAAAATAGGTTTCATCTGGTGTCATGCACTCGCTTCTGAATAATTTGTTAGAGACATAGGGAACCTCAATTAGGATCACTGGACGCGAAATTGTGGAGAGAGCAATCACCCAGTGAATATATTGCGCTAGACCGATGCCGATGCCATGAATAAAAACCAAAGGGATCTTGTTCTTGGGATCTGCTGGCGATCGATGCCAGTAAGTAAGATCAGTCGCAGGATTGATATTCATATTATCCTTGTTACCAGCTACTTTATCGAAACTATTTTTAAATAGATGTGCACGATACGACGTGCCTTCAAAGCGAATAAATCCTAATAGATAGAAGACAAGGCTAGCGATGGCATTCGCAGTCCAGACCAACTATTTTGAAACAGTGGAATATGTATGTTAAAAACTATGTCATTCGCTCCATGTCACCGTACATGACACAGTAAAAAAAAGTTGGTATCATGTCAACAAAGAAAACCGTCCGATTGTCTGTTTACAAGCGGGATTACAAGCGGGGGGTTTTTTTTTTTTGTGTTTTGCTTATGTACGCAATGATGCTGTTGTACGACTTCACTTACGGCATAATAAATAAGCGGGCGGTGTGAAGCAACGACTGGATCGAATGCGAGACGGATGCATTCTACTTCCGGGTTATGACCGTCAGAGAACTTGATGCCCTTGGAGCTCTCGAGACTATCGACCATTTCATTCAGATCCATTATGTCTGTAGGAGAATTGAAGACCTCTTCAATTGGTGCTGCCCAATATGCCCATGCAAGCCTAAAAATAAAGCCAAAAATAAAATAGAGTAAATATATATCCTTATACTTCTCGGACAGATACCAATTTCCTGGGTTGTTTAAAAAAAAAAAAAGTGAACCCCCTTTTTTTCATCTCATCTCATCTCATCTTTGCCGTGTTTATGCATGATGAAAAGCACATGTTGAAACCCAACCCCACCTCTCTTTCATTTTTCCTCAGAGTATGTGAAGAACCAAAAGCGATAGAGAAACTGCAGAAATACATGAAAATATAGGAAAAAAAAAAAAAAAAAAAAAAAAAAGAAAGAAAAAAAAAGAAGAGAAAAGAAATTACCATTGCATCATATTGGATCGTCCGATCTCTTCAAACTTGGCAGGTCGGGCTGTTCGGCCAGTATCAAACCAGGTCTCAACCCATGTCTTGGCTCCATCCCCTTCAGCGATGGTCTCGAGACATCTCTGAAATAATTCCTTGCGTTCTCGTCGAGTCTTGGGCCCCTTCCCATATCGATCTATCTCCTGGGCCTGTGCTAGTCTTGTCCAGAAATGAATGTAGAACAGAATTTCGGTTGCCAGCCAGATATGAAACAATGAAACTACCCATGCAAGCGCCTGATGTGATGCTATGTAGGATGCAACAATGGGATGTTGCAGGAGAGGTTCTACACGAGCTCGGAGGGGTCCCAGAGCATTGATAGTATAGTGATAACCTGGAACGTTAGTCAGAGCATGATGCCACCATCCGTGGCTCTCCAAAAACGATGCCAGTGCTAACAATGTATTGATGGTGGCAGGCGATAGATGCACTTTGTCGGCTTCTGACAAAATAGCCAAGATTTCACTATTGGGACTATCTGAACATGCTGCTGACGCAGATACAACACCAAAAGATCGGGAGCTAGCGGCCATAGATGTGGCTGCTGCTGCTGCTGTCAATGATGAGGGTGAGGATGATTGCGATAATACGTTGGAGGCAATAGTGGGTAATTCAGCTATAGTGGAAGTGTTGGATTGTAGGATCCGAAAGAAGACGGGGACATTGTGAACAAGAGTATCGACAGGCGTTTCCTTATAGGCAAGCACATAGAGAAAGTAACCAGTGGCGAGAGGTACTATAGCAGCGAGTAACAACCCAATGGATCGGACAGCGCTCCTGGTAAGAAGATGATCCACAATCATCGAAGTTAGATATGTAGATCGGTGTGCACTGACGAATCAAGTTGGTCAAATTGAAAAAGGAGAAAAAGGAGGTGGAGCACAATGTTTTTTTAGAAAATATATCTGTGTTCTTTTTTTTCTAGGAATTAAGCTGTTAATGGTAAAAGTACATTTTTGATCTGATGAAAAAGATGGAGAAAAGAATGAATGATGAACAAGATGCAAATTGTCAGATGAGTAAAGCATGGCTGACGGTGAAATGGAACCCTTTTTATATCTTTTCTAGCATTTGATGTGTAAATAACGGGAAAAAAAAAAAAAAAAAAAAAAAAAAAAAAACCGCTGTCAATTAAAAATACAAAGCCGAGGTGAATCTCTTTTTTCATCTTCTTTGTGGCATACTCTACCATGTGAATGTATAAAATTGAGATGTATATTTATACTACTGCTTTTTTTTTTTTCCTTACCTTCGGTTTTTTAATTTGGATATGAGGATATGTTGGTCAACCTACAAAGACGATGGGGGTATTAATTATGGGGTGACGAGGAGTTGTGCCGCAACAGTTTTCCTTAGCGTGAAAATATTTACTTTGGCCGGAATGTTGAATGATGACTACGAGACATGACCAAGCAATGATGAACACTCTTGGATCTGCATATGATGTACATGTAGATTCTTTTTGGGCGAAGTTTACGCAGAGAAAAAGTAAAAGACAATAACAACAAAACCAACATTTGACTGAAGAAAGGATCTGTCAATGATACCTTTCCTATTACAACTAAACAATCCTCTTTAGAAGAATCGTTGCCTTTTATCACCCCACCGTTTATTTCTGTGGGTGTTAAACAGCCAACGTTCTCCCCCACTCATTTCTTTTTTAATCACTATCCATGTGCAAACTGTAAATTCATAATGTAGCCTTTGCATCTTCCCGTTCTTTACAAAATAACATTATCCTCTTTAGCTTTTTAACGGCCCAGTTCTCCTTGGCATGCAGAAAGATTTCACAATCTGCCTCAAGATGTAGGAATGCAGTACCGATGATGGACCCCACTCCTTGACACAGGCGCCAGGTGGTCAAAATCAATCATCAATCATATGCCTCTAAACATCACCTGGTCACTAGACGTATCTTTCATTGATCTATTGACTCTCATGACCCTGAAGGATTCTTGCTACAAAAGATTCAAAGAATCATCTTTGTCCTTCATTCTCAAGCCTTATTCTTTACTGCATTTCCACCTTTTCCTCCATCACTCCTTACATTTACCATTAATATTATCGATGGCTTCTTTTTTTTTTTTTTTTTTTTTTTTTTTTTTTCCTATCTTTCTCTTTCATAACGTCGCAACTTTGCTCAACTCCCCGATTTCTCTGCCAATTTTCTCTCTCGTTTCATTCTTCATTATTCCATTCTTACCTCTTTGATTATACCTTTCAGGTGCATTGTACTTCTAACCACTTTATTATTTATCGGTAAATTAACACAGATGTAATGATGACCTTCACAACATCAGTCCTCGAAATTTTAAGTGTTCTTCCTAGCACAGCTTCACCATGAAGACATATTAGTTCAGATCGCATCTGACTTCGAGCCTGGCTCCGACTGACTCTAGGACTGTCTGCACTTAATAAATAAGCCAATTCATTCTTTTGGCCATCAGAATTGACCATCACTTTCAATTTTTTAAACAACAAGAACAGCATGAACTTCGATGGAGTTTTTCCGCCTGATAAGTGAACCATGACGGAGCAAACCATCGTTGAATACATAGCGCCCCTATTATATCGAGTGGAACTTTTAGCAAGGGATTTTGTATTATCGTGAGATCAAAGCCCACCATAATCCAGCAAAACTCCGTATTCTTGGGACAGAATGAAACAAATGATTTCTAGATCAAGTTGCTCAAACCTGAAGGGTATCATTAGCGCCTTTCATAAATCATCAAACACTTACGTTGCCATTAACCGCCCAATGGATATTTATGTTACATTTGACTTGAATTGGATGCTGGATGCCCAAGCTTTTTATTTATTTTTTTAACTATCCCAACCAGGACTTGTTGCACCGCCATGGGTGTTGATGTTATCGATTCCAAGCTTGAGGCAAGACTGCAAGATTGGTAAGGAGGGGTCGTTGGTATCACGTCCTCACTGTCTGATAAATTGGCCATAGTATCCTCTACTGTTTTGGATGTCGCACCAAAGGTAAAAGACTTGTAAGAGGAGGTCTCTAGTATTGCATTTTCGTGATCTAACTGATTTTCTCCCTCTTCAACATCGTTATCTCCAAGTAGCTTAGAAGGCGAAATTCTAGGCAGATCAATATCACTAAAGAAGAAACAGAGCCAGTATCAAAAATGGATATATTAGAATTGTGCAGGGTCAAAAAGGTCAGCTTTTCCTTAACAAGTGGAAATCTTTCATACACCCTGGGATTGGATAAGTTTCCAGAGACATTGGAATGGCGTTGAGCGGTTTTCTGTCGCGATTCTTTATAATAATGGTCGCTGTCGCCTTCAGCTTTTGTTATCTGCCGTTGTCTGACATCATTAGCGCCCTACAAATTTCAAAACAAAAATTCGCCATTTGCCATTTTTAGGCGAACGCAATAGTCGAAATGTCACATTTTTTGTTTTGATATTTGAAGGGCACTATTAGATCGATCGTCTCCACGTTTACGCTTAGCAGATGTTTTTTGGTGTTCTAAGGGTAGTAAAGGTATATATAAGCATAAGATATTAGTTGAAGAATCACACAAAATGATGCCTGAGGATATTGCTGATTTTCAACTTACGAAATGAAATTCTACCTATGAATATTGTACCTTTGCTTGCCAGACGTCAAACTCCTTCAAGAATGTTGAGGTGAAATGTCTGGGCACTTGTTTCTGCATGTATCTTCGCGGCATCTCTTATGGTCTTGGCAAGCTCAAACGCAAAGGTCTCTGGCTCAAATTTGTTTAGAAGTTGCTTTGCGCGTATCTTGAGTATAGAAGACACGGCATGGTGATCTAAAATCGTCTTTAAACTTTCTTCGTATATCTCCATATGATCCCATGCGGTGTTATTGACATCTTTGAACTTGCAATAGGAAGCTATGCAATGCCAGTTTCTTCCATCCACATTTTGGAAAAATCTGTGCACATTGACGTTGGTGGCTACAGTGCCGAGATTGCCTAGCGCGTTGCTCGTATTTAGAAACCTAAGCATATCAGTGAAATAGTGAAGAGTTAATAAAGCCATTCGTTCATGCTCCAGTCGATAAAAAATAGAGATGTGATGGGCGCGAATGCGTGATCCATACCCGTCATGTATTGACATGCGCCATTAGCAGGTGGCAATAACAACAGAGTACTTTTGTAGTCTTGGTTCAGAAATATTTTTACCATTGAGACTACAGTAGAAGAGCGCATACTACCACCATCGAAAAGAAAAGTACATCAGTCCTCTATTTTGATACCATTACGTGGCTACAAGGGGCAGGCGCAATAATGATCATAAGAGAGTTTCATCTTACAAACATGATTGATTTACAGAACATGCACTAGAGAACGACTGCCGATGCAGAGAAGAAAGGCAGCAGGTACTGGTGAAGGAGAAGAAAAGAAAAGAATTAATTGCCTTAATTTGTGCACTTGAACTTCGTCCTCAGGCTATGGGGACAAAAGCCACTCAGCTAAAAATTTAAATTCTCAATCATCAGCATATTCAGCTCCAACACAATCATTAGCATATTCAACTCCATCAGCACAATCATTAGCATATTCAACTCCCTCCATCAACACAATCATCTATTCGTCTATTAATATTTACTTGATACATTTAAAATACTTTTGCATAATACGCTTCTCTCCCTTTTTCCTCTTCCCAAAAACGCCTCATTTGAACCAAAAATACATCAATTTAAGTAACTATAATTTAATTAATTAATTAATTAGGGCTTGCTTGATTTATAACACGTGAGCTCTATTTCTCGCTGCCACCTCTCCCTCCACTCTTTTTTTATTTCATTTTCATTCATTTTATAAGCTGTGCTTTTTTCCCTCTCATACTCCCCGTCTCTCTGCACCCATCTTATCACTCACTTTCTTTTTTTTATGATTCATTCTCTCTGCACCATCGATACCCTGTGTTTACTCGCCTCTCTCCTTATCTCAGTATCTGATAACTCCAAATATTTATCATCGCGAACAAAGGGGATAAGGATGCAAACGCGCTCCCATTCCATGGCGTTTTGCTGTGGAGTGCCCGTTTAAACCGCGCCCCCCACAGAATGTGTTGTCTTGTTTTGACCTTCCTTGACTGTGAGCAGGATGTATGTCAAGATCTGATAGCTCTCGTGTGGCCCGCGTGCTTGTTACATCCGCAGACTGAGACGTGCAACGCGCCCCCATTCCATGGCGTTTTGCTGTGGAGTGCCCGTTTAAACCGCGCCCCCCACAGAATGTGTTGTCTTGTTTTGACCTTCCTTGACTGTGAGCAGGATGTATGTCAAGATCTGATAGCTCTCGTGTGGCCCGCGTGCTTGTTGACGCTCAACTTTGTGAACCTTTGCGAGCCAACATTAACACCTGTTTTGTTCCAATTTCATGAGCCCTTCCTTTATTGTTCATCATCATTTGACATACATCTTGTGCAACAGTCCAGATGTGAATAAATAACAACGGAAGCTGTGCTTCTAATTGTTTCACATGTCTAACACCCTTAATTCTACTCTTTTTTTTTTTTCTGATATCCTAAAAAGTAGCCCATTATGGACACCACAAACCATATCAGAGGCGAGAGAAATGACGGAGGTAATAGAATGAAGGCAGTTACGGAACAGGATATATCTTGGATGGAAGGGAGCAGTGACAAATCCCCTACAGCATTTTTTGACAAGTTTGGTATCTTCAGCTGTGAGGAAGGCCACCGTAGATATGCCACAGCTATCCGCCGTTCTGAGATATGCGAGCAGGAGAGAATGTTCTTGATCAGCAACTTTGAAGTATGGAAGAATTCAGAAAGCCCCATCTACTGGGAGCGTAGGAATACAAAGGCGATTGCGAACAAATTTGCATGGAAAACAGCAGGCAACATGATCAGAGGCTCTGAGCCGTTCGTGGAGAACATTATTATCGAAAACGCCAATGAACAGAGACAGTGCTTGTCTGTACCCTCCGATGTAATACATGTCCCCAACACACCTCATCAAGTATTCGACACATCGCATCTTACTCCAAGCACTAAGTCTACAGGCAAGGACCATACGAAGAGGACGATGAATACAACGATGAGAGCTGCTCCAATGAAGAGAATAAGACTCCAAGACCCTTGGCATGACTTGGCAGATGCCGCCCTTCATCTGGTAAGTTATTCTTGAGCACACCTACAGAGTTATTACTGTATATGGCTATTTGGATGTATTAATGCTATCTTATTGTATTCTTTAGTACAAAGGTCATGCCGTCGATCTTCCCTCAGAGGAAGCCAAGGACACTGAGAAGGATCATGAACGCCAAAAACTATATGGATTGGCATGGCGGCATCTTAGAGATGCCAAAAAAGCCTTGGAACAACAAAATAAAGACAAGGAAGCACGCCTTCATTTCCGTGATGCTTTCGTTGCATTGTCTGGAGTCTTCAATTTGTACTCGCCAATAGCAAGAAAAGCATTGACCTATGCTGATCGTGTGGATGCCAAAAGTCTTTGTTTGATACCAGAGTTGGAGCACAGGGACAAGGAGCTTACGAAGTTGCTGAACTCTCTAAAGACTACAAAAACAAAGAAATTGATCTCAGTCCTGGAGGATATATACTCATTCCTCAGTTCTAAGCCCAAATTCAGGCTCTTCCTACTTGTGCTAAGGAACATGTGGGTTGCACCTGATTTAATAAAATATTCTCTAGAAGAATTACTGTATCTCTAAGACACTAATGTTATCTCATTTTAAATATTAGCATTGAGAACATCCTCAACCCACACCATGGCGATAATAGGCCCTCAGAGGCAGATGCATTGTTGATCTGGGGCTCCATTCTCAAAGATGGGAGGCCAAAGGGGACGCCATTTACATTCTGTCTGTAAGTTATAGTAATTTACCAGGATAGGAATTCTGTGATTTCTTGCTTTATTTCTGACTTCTGTGGATGTACACTGCTCTATTCTTCCAATAGCGGTGATCAGGCAAGTCTTGATACTCGTGTGTCAAAGAGTAAGTTGGCATGTGCTTTAAATACAGGTTGTAGTGCGCGCAAGTGTGACTGTACTCTCTCGATTGGAAAAGTTCAGTTTGGGAACGCTGAAACAAAAAGGGCATCGACTCCACCTGATGCGGTTAAAATTCAGCTGCGAAAGAACATCAAGATTGCGCGGTCTGTTATGCTTGAGTTGAGTAGATTTGGCCTTGATAGTCCTCCCCAGCTCTCTCTCCATGGTAAATATACCGTAAATATAGCGCACGTTCGCCAGAAGAGTAAATACATAATATCTAACATGGGATCGCTTTCATACATGGATGTAGGTCTCCAGGCTGATGTTTTTCGAGTGGTACCATGGAAAGGAGTGTTTGTTGCAGCGCCAGCATGTGACCCCATTGTACTGCCAACAATGGAAGCAACCTGGAACCTCTTCATCGAAAACACTGCCTTCCGTCTGAAGAATCTACTTGTAAGAACTAATTATGTGGTTATCAAAGCGTATTGAATAGTATACATTCTTACCTGAGGCTAAAATCCGATATACTGCACATAGGAGTACTATCACAACTATGCAGTGGATGCAAAAGAGAAGATTGATCTCTTCAATTATACTCAGAAGACAATTGGACAGGAAGAAGAAGGGGAAGATGAAGGAGAAGGAAAAGGAGAGGCGGTGGTGGGTGATGAGGTTGAGCTTATCGACTGGAGCGACGTCATATTCCACACACCTACAAAACCAAGAGCTAAAAGATCAATAGTCGGTGTAATTAAGCCAGACAATCGCCGCTTCGAGCAGAAACTACAGGAGGCAATAACCGAGCTTGAGGATGATAACCTTGACAATGAGGATAATGATCTTGACAACGAGGACAATGATCTTGACAACGAGGACAATGATCTTGACAATGAGGACGAAGATTAGGAGCCCTACTAAAAAAATATAAATAAAATAAAAAAGGAAAGCTTTACGATGCCTGTTGGAAGCGGGACTATCATCTTATCATATTCTAGAGAGTACTACAAAGCAAATACATAAGTCCATGCAGGTTTCAGGTAATCGCCATGGATACGACAAAAGCAGCGTGAACGACAAATGTCCTAGCAGTATCTTCCAAAACCTGGCTAAACACGCAATAGAAAATGATTTTTTACTAATTAATTTTTACTGATTTTTTCCCACAAACTCATAGGCAGATCAAATCCAGTTTTCTGTGCTCCCTGCTTGCAGAAATCAACCGCTTATTACATACTAAGGAAGGAAAAAAATCAGTAGAAAAAGATCAGCAGACACCATATATCAAGCTATATCATCACGATGCGCCATGTCCACCATTTACTTGCTTCCACTCTTTTAGTGCATCTAGCACCATTTACCATTTTAATTTTTTACCCTGCCTAAAGAAAAACAAAACACCTCTCCGGACCCTTTTTTGCTAGAGGTATGTTGCCGAATCCATACAGATATAAAAAGATCGTATTGATTTAAGTATCAAGTGTCCAGTATGGCATTCTAGTACTGCGCGTACCAAAATAACAAAAATGGTATCATGAAAGAAGATTTAATATCACTTTCCATGGGTTTTGTGCGGGTCAGTTTTTGTGTTAGTATATATCACTTGCACCTTTATTTAGCACTTGCATATTTATTTATGTATATCAACTCTTATGTTAGTATCACCTGCATCTTTGTTTATGAATGTCTAGCATCACTTCATAAAAAAAAAGGGCACTCGGGACGAGGGTGAAATTAATATTAATATGCATTTACGGGATCCATCTCTACAATGCTCCCAGAGTGCCTGAGTTACTCCATATACGTATACCCGCGTTCTCAAGAACCATAGAGAGCAGATACTCTATACGACAGGTTTTGTGAAGAGGGATGGTGAGTTTGGATACTTTGCAGCTGTGGAAGGGGATTGTATAATAGTTGACGAGTGTCCTTACCTTTTGTCCAGGACAAATGCGGCTTAGAGCTCGCTTTAGAGCTAAAATATTTTATTTTCTTGAAAATTTCCTCACCAATAAAAGATCAAAGTACTATTTCCCCCACCATTTCTACTAAAATAAAATCTAAGTAATCTAGAAAAACCATACCCCCAGTAGTGAAGTTCACCAGAACTGCTTCAAAGCACCTGAAGCCCTCAGAAACGATGTAGAATATAATAATAAACATCTCTAGTGGCCTATTTCATGCTTTGAGTAAAAAACTAATAAGTTTTAGTACTGAGGATGTTTAATGAAGACGCGTTTAGACAAAGATTTGGCAACAGATCACATAGGTTATTATCTAGTTTTTACTTGAAATTGAACAGAATCTGCAAAAGATTTCCAAAACTCTTCAAACTTTCTAAATAAATAGAGCTATAAACATGGATTAAGGACCGTTGGGTTTCTCTGAGTGTTTGCCATGGGTAGACAGAGTCATCATATATCCAAATATCAACAGGTCTTCAAAAAATGATGTTTTTTTAGCTTTACGCTTATAAAACTCGATGGATACAAGCCGGATCTCACAAAACCAGACCTCGTATTATAGTTATGGGCAGTGGCTACCATCAGTAGCGCGAGCTATGGGAAAAAGCGATGTATGAGAGTGCAGTGTATATTCTAACACTGAAAAATACTGATTGAAAGACGGATTAATTTTGATAAAACACAAAATACCCCATAAATAAGCATCAGTTCCATTCCTAGCCTTTCAGAATTGGAGAAAAGCTCCTCCAGGGCCCCATGAAAGTGTCTTTATTATCATTAGCAGACATGGGCTAAAATGATATTGGTTCTATAGTATTAAGCGTCTTTGATAAAGACAGGGCCTTTTTTTTTACACAGGGATAGAGCGGTAAACCTTATTCTATTTTTAAATTCTACAAGTGTAAGCTTTTTTTTTTTTTTTTTTTTTAATTCAACGACAAACACGACATATCTACGTCTAGTAACGTTGTCTTGGCCGCTTATTCTCAAGTCCCTGTCCCTCTCGCCGGGGAAACACTGCCTCGAAACGCTCTAGTACAGCCTACAGGTCCCTTTCAATTTGCTTTCTTTGTGGAAAGTCAGCATTTTTATCCCTGAGTTCTTCTAAGAGCGTCAAACGTTGAATATAAATTGCAATATGGTCAACGTCAGGAGTTGGATTAGCAGAATGCTCCTCCTCAAGAGGCTCAAGCATCCCCGGCTGGAACTTGGACTCATGCTCCCATTGATCAACACGAAAGAATGTCACTGGATGATATTCTAGCTGAGCCAAAGCGATATGTTTACAACAAGTGTGGTTCATGAAGAAATAGTGACAGGAGCACGACATGATATGCCCAGTGGGAGATCTTGAAAAGTCAACTTTGATCTCATAAGAAGCCCCCTTCGTGGTGAATGACTCCACCAGCAGTGTATCACTTCCCGTTTGCCAAATAAAAAGACCTTCAAACCCTCTCGAATTTCAAGTCTCTATATGTTCGCGCGCACGCGTAGCGAAGATTTTTGCTCCACATCCTTGTTTAATTCCTGGAGCACGATTTCTAGTCTTGCCAGTGACACCTCCTTGAACTCTATCTTTTCTTATGCGCTTCTTGCCAGCACATTGGCATTCATAGGAAAGGCGATACTGATTGTCAACTTTGTAATCGTATTTTTTTGCCAACACAAAGTTGGTGGAGATAGGCCTTTGATGCTTCAGGAGCCAAGCATCGAAACGCTCAGGTTGAATGTAGAATTCTACTCTCGAGGTGTTCAAAACTTTGAACCGAGATTCAGGTTCAATTTTATAGTGCTTTGCAGATAAAAGAATCTCAGGATCATCACACAAAACCCCTCTCATTTTATCAATAACAATATTATTGAGACCATTTTCAATACGCGTCTTTAAAGGCTACAATTGACGCATAGGTATCCTGTTGAGTTATTACTTTATTATTATGCAACGGGCTAGACTTTATTGAATATAGCATTATAGCACTGACCTCAAAATTATATGCAGGACCAACTTGATCATCCCTCTCCCTTCCTGGAGCTCGACGGGCCTAAGGCTTCTCTCTGTAACATAATATTGGTTAGATTTCAGCAGATCGCTATTGATTCAAAAATTATTCGCGTTAGAAACACTATTTCTTCTAGTCCGCTGATCAGTATTTTTTCAATTTGATCGGCGGCAAGGACATCGTTGATTGTGACATCGGCAATGTCTACTTGCTCTTGAATTGGGAGGCCGTTGGATGTGTCCATGGTGAGAAGAATGCGCGAGACAAAGGGATGGAGCAAAATACTGTTTACGTTTGTGGTTGGAGGAAAAGAGACACTTGTTTATGTATTTATTCCGATATAATAAATAAAAATGCTACGTCACTCTCTTGGAAGCCAAATTGATTGCATCCCAGCGTCCGTGACATAAGGGTTCTCATAGTTGGCCACCATTCCCGTGACATGCATCCAAAGAATGGCAAAAAAATCAGTATGCACTGAATAAATACTAAAATCTGCAACTTTAGTACTCAACTTATTAGACAGTATGTCATACTGTCTATTTTCTATGAGTGTACAGATTCTAGAATTTCAGGACAGTAAAACTACGTTGCAGATTGATTGGATATGGCAGTCGGAGGAAAATGATGTATCAGATACCGTCAAAACAACACGAAAAATAACTGACCTTTTCCCTTCAGGCAGCAGCGAGCTTGTAGTCACCGACAACAATGCGGTTGAAAGTTTACTGGAGCGCTCTCTCCCAAAAATCTATTGGTTATGACAATATATGAAGGAGTGCTTTGTAGACAATTCTTTCATTCTCATCCCGCCCACATCAAATCATAAATCAATGAAATAAAGTAAATTTATGCGATATAATAATAAAATATGCAACATTAATATTGTATTAGTACAACGCCAGTCTGATCCACACAGATCTCTTTGTTTTACTGTTCCAGTCCATGTGCGAAAACATTAATACTCAGTTGTCGTTTACTGCCACCACCATAGACTAAGTTTTCTTCCAAGTTGCCGTCATGAAGCAAAGTATTAATTTTCTTAATGAGGCAAGAGCCGACTGTGGCCATGCGAAATACTTGAGATTCATACAGTGGCTTCCAAATTTGTCCAAATGTTCCACGCTCATGTTTTCCGTCTTGATTAGAATAATAGCGATGGTTGCTTGCACTTTTATTTTTATCAGAGTAAACAAGTATGCCAATGATACGTGGACTGGTTCAGTTTAAAATATCTCTAGTCTCATTCACCATGGTTTTTCATTGACAAAAGTATTTAATCTCATTTGGACAATTATACACTATCATGCAAAACTGATTCAATAATTCATTCCCATGTGCATTTCTTTTTTTCATTCCTCGAAACCGTATATGCATACAACACTCATACTTTGGTTTAATAAAGCTCCCGTCTTCTTCTACGTCATAGTGATGCGTTGTGACATTAGCTTGTCTCATTTGAATAGCTAATGACTTTTTTGTTCATTCAGGTCATTGAATCAGTTTCACATGTGCCCATTCGGTGGCCAAAGATCTTTATTCTTTTGTGAGCCATAACCTTACATCAATAAGTAGTATTCCAACCATGGGCATCACTGACAGCTTGGAGTCTCTTATGGATACCTATGATGAGTTTGCGGCAGAAGTCCACTGGGATCCTGTACCATTCAACCGATATTCGCTCCCATAGTTCATCACAGCTCTTAGCTCGCTCGGGATACCTAGAGAGCCTCCTATCCAATTCTGCCCACATGTGTTCAATAGGGTTGAGGTCAGGGGATTGTGCTGGCCACTCTAGAAGTGTACCTTCCTCTTCTGTCAGATGTACTGACTCCAAATACTTCCTAACAATCTTCGCCGTGTGCTTCGAGTCATTGTCGTGCTGAAAGACGATATCGCTTTTAGTTAGGCCCCAGTCATCAAGCGACATCTGTAGATCCTCCTGGAGTAGTTTGATGTAAACTTGTGCGCCCATATTATTGTCAATCTTTGCAATGTATCCAGGTCCGTACCATGAGAAGCATGACCACACTTTAACATTACCACCCCCAAACTTGACAGTGCCTTGCACCGACCTGCGAGTGAGGCGTCCCGGATTGTCGTCCCAGATCCACTGCACGCCATCAGAGCAGATTCGGTTTATTTTCGATTCATCTGACCAAATAACCTTTTTCCAATCTTCCAGAGTCCATTCCTTATACTAATTGATAAAATGCAAACGAGCTTTAATATGCCGTCGACGTAAAGCTGGCTTATGTACACGCCTCTTTGCTGTCAATCCTAACTCCTTGAGCCGTCGTCTAACGGTGGTCTCAGAAACAGTCGCTGGTATGAGCTGGTTGGCTCTGACGGTGGCCTCAACTGCAGACTTGAGTGTACCTCGTTTCATGTTCACCTTAAGATACTGCATGATACCTCTAGGTACTTTCCTTGGTCGACCGCCTTTATTGACTGGCATGTACTCCTTATTATGTGCATAGATCCTGGTGGCCGTCGCTATTGATATACCAACACTAGCAGCAGTTTCTCTAGTAGACATGCCTCCCATCATTAACCTCCTGGCTTCGTTGACTTTCCTTTGTGGAGTGGGTCTCATATTCTGTGAAGGTATAGTTAAGAGAGAGTTAAGCAAGTGTTCATAAAAGAAAGAGAGAAAAGTCCTTTTTTTACTGGCATTAAATGACGTCCAAAAGTTGTCATGGGCAACATTTTAGACCACATGTGAAACTGATTCAATGACCTGAATGAACAAAAAAGTCATTAGCTATTCAAATGAGACAAGCTAATGTCACAACGCATCACTATGACGTAGAAGAAGACGGGAGCTTTATTAAACCAAAGTATGAGTGTTGTATGCATATACGGTTTCGAGGAATGAAAAAAAGAAATGCACATGGGAATGAATTATTGAATCAGTTTTGCATGATAGTGTATCTCCAAGACATTAGGGCCTGCCAGGAGTAAAAGTAGAGCTGGTCGGCCAGGGAAGTTCGATTACCGGAATGCATATTATATTCGATTGTTGCTTCACCGTGGTGTAGTCTCATCAGCTGTCCATGCTACCAGACTCTATAACGATGAGAACGAAGATCCGGTGTCAGCTAATACGGTGCGTCGGGCGCTGAGAGATATAGGCATGGAAGCTAAAAAAGCCGTCAAGAAGCCTAGGTTAACAAAACGTCAAAAGAAAGCTCGACTGGACTTTGCTCTCCAGCACAAAGACTGGACCGAAGCTGATTGGAAGCGAGTAATTTGGTTCGATGAGTCCAAAATTTGTAGGATATCTTCTGATGGCATGCGCTATGTTTGGGTGGAAACAAATAAAGAACCAAAGGTGAAGGCGGCCGATATTGACCCAAAGTTAGTTTCGCCCACAGTCAAACATGGTGGTGGTTCGATCATGGTTTGGGGCTGCATGACGTGGGATGGGCCAGGCTACTTGGCCAAGATCGACTCCACGCTGGACTCCGAGCTGTATATTCGTATCCTCCAGGACGAGTTATTGAATACTGTGGATTGGTACAACATTGATCCAGAGCAATTTATCTTCCAACAAGACAATGATTCTAAGCATACGGCTAAGAGAGTCACAACCTACCTTGCCTCTATTGGATTGACAAGAGCGTCAGGTAGAATACTGACATGGCCTGCCAATTCACCAGACCTAAACCCTATTGAGCACTTGTGGGATCATTTAAAAAAAAAAATTCGCGAACATGGGACCATTCCAGAAGGCATGCTGGAACTCTGGGAAAGAGTGAGCCAGATATGGGAGGAGGAGACACCGAAGGAGGTCTGCCGCAATCTGATAAGAAGTATGCCTGAGCGGATGTTAGCAGTCATAAGGGCGAAAGGGGGCAATACGAGGTTTTGATAGGTGGAAAAAAACGATGGTTAAAAAATTGTCCAAATGAGAGGAAAATTTCAAAGTAGTGAAAAGCTATCAGAAATAAGCAGGATGTCACGAACAGCAAGCAATGTCTAGCTCATGAATTGATGAATGACTTTTGTCTGATTCGAATCTGAAAAAGATCACGTGTGCTTGATTAATTTGTTCCGCTCATTTCCTTCACTCATTCCTCCATGCATAGTTTGCCTGTCAAGCCAAGTCGCGTCTCCTAGTTTTCTAGCTTCGTGAATAGCTCCGAGGATTCTAGAAGAGCTATAAACCAATAACCAAGGCTTATAGTGCCAAGGAACCTTGAAATAAGATTGCACCAGATATCTTCCTCGGATCCTGTGTATTAAGTTAACTCAACACTTGAAGTTCCGCATATGGTAAAAGTCCTTAGGAAATATTTGAGTAAGCTTTATTTAGAGTTCTTGAAGCGCGTCTCCGCTTCAGTCAAACAAGTATAAATATGATAGATTTGTAACATAGTAAACCTCAGTCTGCAATAAAACTATTCTTGAATCTCCTAAGTTCATTCTTGTTCCTAAATCACTTACCTTCTCTTGCAATCGTCCTGTCAATCCTTGACACTGGGACCTTTTCTGCTCCCTCACCGGCGGCGTCAACGGAATTGACCACTAACTCTACTTCGTCCCCACTGATAAAGCAAACTCCATAATCCTCTGTAGTATTCAGGATCTTCTTGAAATGCTTCACTCCGACGAGGCGAACGTCTGTACGGTTCTTGGCCTCATGTTCTGCAGAGGTTGAGATCAGATGATCTTTTTCTTTTTCTGTAGATTCCCCATTTTTTGTCTCCTCATTTGCTTTCACCATTTCTACTTGCTCCATTCCATCGCTCTTCACATTTCCCATTGTTGCTTCCTCGCCCTCTCTTACTGTCGTATTCCACAATTCGTCTGTGCCTGCCACTGTCTCTGCGACATTTTTTATGACGTCTCCTTCCATTGTCCTTTCTGCAGTTTCCTTAACGCTCTTATTGTCGCTCGCCCCGGTAGATTCAATATTTGAAGCCAGCTGGCCATTATTTTCCTCCCTTACGCTGCGTATCGCCTGCCAACCTTTTCGACCTTGCCATTTGTATATTCCAGTACGCCAATTTACCTGCGGGTTCCACTTCCGCAGCCAGGGTTGCCCTAGGATGATATCGTATCTCAAATTATCAACGACGACTCCCGTTTCTCTCATTACCTCGTCGCCCATACTGAGAGCAAGAGTAGCCGTGGTTGACGAGACAGAGCTTTGGCCACGGGCCATCAGGATCCTGACTGGTTTAGGTAAGGGTAGTAAACGGTAGTCTTCCTTCTTGAGATCCCTTATGAATTCAGAGC